ACACCAGAGAGGGCTCATGGAGGGCTCTAGTGAAGCAGCCCGGCGCTTTCTGTTCCAATCCTAAGCTGAAGAGGCAAATGGAGAGCCGAGCATGCAGGTTGTGTATGTACGTATGACTGTACTGGCCAGGGCAGGAGTGGGCCAAGGTGGCTCAAAGCTGCACAATTGAGGTTTAATTAGCGACTGACCTGCTGCCGGGATGCGAGGGCTTGAGGAGAAGCTCTCAGCTCGGGTTAGGAGGACATATATGTCCAGGTACTCTGTAAACACAGAAGAAACAAGCCGTGGATGTCCCATTGCGACTTTTCCTTTCTTTTTTTTTTTTTTTCTCAACTTCATTCATTTTTCCCCAATGTCGCGGAATCGCAGCTTCACTGGGAATCCCGAGACAGAGAGAGAGACAGAGACAGCAGAGCGTTTGAATCCCAGCAGCGCGGTGCGTGGGTGTGGTGGCGGGCGAGAGGGGTAAAAGCAGCTCTTGTTACAGCAGCAAATTGGCCCAGGCCGGCGTCGTGTTTCACAGTTGTCAGAGGCCATGCTGAGATTTCGCAGAAAGAACCATTCAGGGAAGAGAATGAACTGCTCCTGTATCGTCTTAGAGAGAGCGCGCATGGTTAGTCGAAATGTAACGAGCTAGCTGACCAGCGCGCCAAAGTTACAGAAGAGGAGAAGTTAGAGCGTCACGAGATGGGCTTCCGCAGCCAGATCGACAGACAGCATCTGCACTGCATCGACTCCACCGCCAGCTAGCCAACTAATAGCGAGCGGGCCGTTTCTGCTTCGGCTTGCTTGTGATTTCTGGAATGTTGCCAGAACCAGCGGATGACGATGCTCGGCACACACGACTGCGTCCTCATGCCAGAGCTCCCTCCCTCATCCATCCCTCTAGGTGGAGGTTCCGAGGGAAGCGGCTCCATCTCCAAGCTCCGTACCTGCATACATACATACACAACTACATACTGACCATAGGCTCATTCCGGCCTTGCTATCCTGACAATGAAACATAGCGAAATTGCACCTGTTCGTAGCCGGCTAATTGTGCTGAAATCGCCCAACGCCTGGCGAAATAACCGCAGGAACACCGCAATAACAGCAGCGGCGGCGGCGGCATCATACTATGTAATTCACCAGCTAACCAAGAGCTAATGATGCTTCACGTGTCAGGGTGGACCGTGTGATTGACACGAGCTCGACAACGTGGAGAGCATCGCAGCGTGGAGGGCCGATCCCCTGGCTAGCTTCGACAGTCCTCGCCTCAACGTCAACGCTCAGCATCATCGTCATCTCCATTCTCCATTCTCCATCTCGTAAGCTTGTTCATTTCGGTAATTCCCAGGCCAGAGATCACCTAAAAATAACCACAGCAGATTCCCCTGGCCAGGTCGCGTGGTCGGTTAAGCTATACGTGTGTAAACATTTCAAATTTGCCCTTGTCCATCATCCATCTTGTAACTTTTGTGTCTTTTTCTCTGCTGCGTCGGCCCCACAAGGATCTTTTCTTTTTAAGGATCTTTTCTTTTTGCGGAGCCCCCAAAAAAAAAAAAATAAAAAAAATAAAAAAAGAAAAAGAAAGGCCAACTAAACAACATAAACTAGTGAACGATGCCATCCCTAATTGCAGGAAGGGAGACAAGGAAAAGAGGATTGATTCCCTCTGATCCAGAAATAGATTTTCACTCTTCTTGTCATCATATTTAATTCCAACTTTATCAACGGCCATCCCGGTAGTTAATTCCAGCAACCCAATACTGGGAGCTTGTCATATTTCCATGTCATTATTACGTTTCAACTAGTCGATCTTGCTTGCAGCGATGGGAGATGCTCGCGATTGATAGACTGATTGGAAAAGGATAGTCTATCTGCGTCCGTTTCTTGATATGGGGAAGTGCATGTCTAGGTGCATATAGATGCAGAGAGAGTGTGCGAGGCGGATCCCCCCCCCCCGGGGAAAACTCTCAGTCCCCCCCAGAGAGCGTTGGTAGTAAATTGCTTAATTTGACTTTGGTCTAAGCCGTCTCTGCCTGTTCGGTAGAAGATAAGGTAGTTACATCAGCCCAGCTGGCGTTTTTCCTGCAATAACCTCATCTGGCGCGGACAGGCATCGCCAGCTTTGGGGGGTAAAGAAAAAATGCCGAAAAATTCAGAGAAATTCGGAAAGGGACAAAAAAATAAAAAAGGAAATGCAGTTACAGACTGTCTGCAGATCTGGTTGAAAGCCTTCTCGGGATGCGACGTTAAAGGAATCATCCTGTCCAGGGCCCGGGAGAAAGAGTTCATGCCCCTTTCCGAGTCCCGACGGCAGATCCGTCAGCAGTTTGTGGGCTCTTGTTGGCCTTAGCAAAGACAGGCATTTCATCTTTAAGACACCGATCAATCCTTATCCTGGTCAGCTTTGATGCTCTTCGGAAGCTAAACCTGGCATCGAAGAACACTTTGACCACTTCCCCAAACAACATCATCACTTTTTCATTTTCCCTCTCTTTTCCCTTTTTTTTTTTGTTTTTTTTTTTTTTTTTCGGGTAATGCTGTTCCTCATCTCCTCTCTCAGTGTTCTTTTGTTCCCGCCCTCCTTTATTTTATTTCATTTATTTATTTATTTTAAAGCGCGACAGGTAAAACGAAGCTGTCAATGCAGACTATCAAGGCTGTGAGTCGCCACTATGGAGGCCTTTTTCTTCATTTCCGGCCCGACCATTCTTTTGAAATCTTCGTCTTAAAGCAAAAAAAGAAAGCGACATCCATCAATCAAATCGGTGATACCCCGAACGCACAAGGATCGTGCCCAGACTGTCCTGCTCTTTCGGCATCATCGTCTTGCTAGTCGGCAGCCCTAATCCACACAAGGCCTGCAGCCGATATCCCTGGCAGTGCACGCTATCCCCAGTTCCCTTCTGTCAGGTATTTCTCCTCCTTGCCGACGATCAGGTACGGTACATAGTTAATACCTCATGCCGGTGCCCAATCGCAATATTTTTCCCTTTTAACATTTCTTTTCTTTTCTTTTTCGTTTTCTTTTTTTCCCTTCTGGGGGGGATTTTTTTGAGCCGCCCGTCGGGACTTGTCCCTGAAAGAGAAAGAAGAAAATTTTTCATTTTTGTTGGGAGTTTACTACATTTCTCCCGAAATTGAAAGCATTCGGCCTGATTCCGCCTCCCCCTAGCGGGAACGGGTTCGCGAACCCCAAGCTTGATCTGCTGATGGGCGTCCAGGACCCTCCATGCAGGGTCACAGAGTTACCTCCGCAATTTGGTTTGCTCATGGGCACAACAAGCAAAAGAAAAAAAGTTATTAAAGTCAAGTATGTAAATCAAATCAGAGATAAATGATGCGTTCGTGGCCTGTATCAAGTTAAATCAACCCTGACATGTCGGATATGGGAGACCGAAAATGAGCCATCCAATCATCTTTTTCCGAAAGTGCGTCTTTAATTTCTGCTCAGGACCCCGGCATGGAGGGACATGCAACTCATGCACAAGAGAAGAGGATGTTATGTACCCACACACACATACACATACCTTCAGAGAGGGAAAAAAAAAGTTCGACACCACCATCATAGCATAATAGAGCACATTTTATTGTATAATGACACTGGCAGGACAGACCAGTGTTTCGACAGCAAGCGGTTAAGGTTGCGATGGGCCTCGCCAAGAGAAGACTGGGGCTTGGGATTTGTTTCTCCAGGCCTGCCTATCACCAGTCTTGTCAGGGCGGAAGCGGCCCTTTTGGGGATCAATCAATGGGTAAGAATCATGATTGCCAGGTCACTTTCCCCCGCACGGCTAGTGAGTTTTATGTATTTCGTAGCTTAGCTTGGTGCTTTTCCTGAGATTGAGTTTAAACGACTCGGGCGACTGACTCCGTTCCCTTTTGAGGGAAGACGATCAAATTTCAAGGGCCAAAACCCTCGCCCCCGGGTCTGACAAGCGGGTTTTGGAGGTGGGCGGGCTCCCATTCCCTGTCCTCCTCTTTTTTCTTTTCTTTTCTTTTCTTTTCTTTTCTTTTTTTTTTTTTTTTTTTTGTTTTTGGTTCCTGTCTCTCTCCCTTTCTGATCTTCTCAGGCACCGCAAGGCCGGATTTCGATTGGCTTGCATTGTGCATGAAAGTCTCGTGGCCGTAAGTTAAATTATGCCCACCCCCGTTACCTTAAGATTTTTGAGTTCGGCGCCACATGGTGGAGGATCAAGACCCCGGCCAGACGTTAACCACGCTAAGCACGCACAAGATTCCTTTTTGCTGGCAACCCCCCCCCCCCCCAGGAAGCCTGAAGGGGGGCTCTTTGCCGTTGGAAATTTTATTTGTATTTTTGCGCCACATCGAAAAGGTCAAAACACGCCGGCGAGCAAGATCCATGCGGGTTTCTGCGACGAACAGAGAGGCCCACGGCCGGACTCGACGCTGGAAAAACAAATATCCACGCGCTGCATAGTTAATTATCCGATCAGCAATGGGAGAACCTTGTAGTTCGCTGTCTGATCGGTGATGAAATGAGAATGCAAGACAATCCCATTTCGCTGGAAATGATATTGTCTTGTCCTGGTGAGGGGGTTTGGGTGTGGGAGGGTAGCTCTGGCTGGTTTTGAAATACGAGAACGAGCAAAGAGAGATCGTTCGACGCCCCTCGCAGTGCATCGCGACTCGCCCGTTTTTTCTTTCTGCAATTTCGAGAGCTCTTTGTAATTTTGTTTTTATTTTTATTTTTATTTTTATATTTTTCGCCGTGACTATCGATTTAGCCGCATGAATCCTATCGGGAGCCGCTCCGGAACATCTGTTATTCCGAAATCTACCTTCCCGTTACGGACTAGCTCCCCGCCTGCCCCCGATAGCACCCTCTTCTGCTCAGGAGTTGCCTGAGATAGCCCCTTTTCTTTCCTGAGCAGGACGGCCAGGCAAACCCCCTTGGACGAAAAAAATCTCATGCTCTCCGGCCGCTGTCCGGTGGCGAAAAACAAAGTATTGTTAGGAAAAAAGTATTACATCTGGTCTAATCGGTTTCAGCCTCAGGCCCCATCATCCTTCGTGAATAATCTATCCCGCTTCAGAAACAATGCAGATATCACCGCGGCCTCCCTGCTCCGGCACACATCCTCGAAATGCTCCTTTTGGATAAAGCCATTAATCGACGCCCCGGCAAGCTGAATACACCGGACGCCGGTGCCTATCATGCGCTGGACCAATCGCTTTTCACCCTCTTTGCTCCCGTCCTCGTAGAATACGCCCCAATCAGTCTCAACGGCATTATTAATCATCTCGCGCCCATGAAGAATCAGAGCCGATCTGAATACCTGCTGCCAAACCGGTATTTCCCTAGAATCGCCTCTCCCGGGGTGATCCACGTTGTCTAGCTCCTCCTTTCCGTAGTCGAGGCTGGTCTTGCGGCTGTTGTAGTGGTAATATCCAAGACAAAGCGTCTCCATCAGACGCTCAATGCCCGCGGGAACACGAGCTTTTTGACCCGTAGAGAATTTCCAAGCAATCAGGTAGAGGTGCAAGTGGGCCAGCAGCTGCGCCATGTCCCCATTTGCTCCTCTCCCCAAAGCAGCGAACTCCCAGTCGATAACACCGATGTTAATATCCACCGTTAAGCCCCCTAAAGCCCCCCAACCAGGATCCCACCGGGCCACAAGTCTCCGAGGGAAAAACAGCCCTCGTCTTCAAAGAATTCCTGCCGTTCAAAGTCCTTTTCGACAACTTGACAGAGCCCTTCGGGGTCAGGGATACCAAAAGCCATGCAGGTAGCCCCTGATGGGCGCAACAGCCACGCTTCTCACCACGGCTTTCATTTCCAGATGGAAGTGAGATCCCGCTCGCCGTCGAAGGGAGCGACGATTCCATCGAAGGTACTCTTTGAATGCAGATACGCGAAGAACTTTCCCAGGCTCTTCCCAACATATTCACAAGACTCGTTGTCTGTGAATAACTTGCCCGCTAGGGCTGAAGAACGCGAGAGGTAATCCAGCAAGGGAGGTAGACTACCAAGGTCTTCAAGGATCAAAACATGAGATATGGTATATCAATGCGGGCACAACGGGTAAGTTGTCTGAGAAAGCTGATACTAGAGGTCCGGCGAAGGGACGCAGAGCGTCCGCTTCGACTTTCTACGCATATGCGATTAAGTGAAACGAATTCGCGGAATATATATAAAAAGAAAGGAAAAAGAAAAAAAAAGAAAAGACCGAGAAAAACAAAACAAAGAGAACCACAGAACAATAAAAAGAAAAAAGAAAAACACCAGGAGAGAAGAAGAAGAAGAAGAAGCAAAAAAGCAAAAAAAGAAAGAAAGAAAAAAAGAAAGGAAAAAAGAAAAAGAACGAAGACCCATTACTTACCTGTCTCGCCTGATCAAACGGCGCACTTTCGCCCACACTGGCCACGTACGGTGGAGCATACTTCGATATCAAGCTCCCATACCGCCCAATCCGCGGGGCGCCCGACCTTTCGCCTACTCCATAATATCGTCCGCCGTTTCCGGAACTTCGGCAGCTAGCACACACCCCTTCCCGCGAGCATAGCGTCTGCGTCTCGGCCCGAACAGTGAAGATTGACAAGCCCACCCGTCAGGCGCGTGATCCCCCACGTGTGTTCAGGGTCGAGGCGGTGAAGGCTGGATTGGAAGTCGAAGGCCATCGCTGTTTGGCCCTGAAGATCGAGCGATACCTAATGTCTGGGGGGCTGGGCAGGGATTCCTTTTTTTTTTAACCCCCAACCGTGCACGCACTACAGACAGAACCCCCAAAATGCGCGGGGAAATGCGAACTAAACAACTAATAAAACACCCGTCCAAGAATGGCGCTCGGTCGATGTTCCTGACCTGAAATGAGCATCGGAACTTTTTTCACAACTCTGGTGAAGCGTGGGGGATTAGGTTGTATCTTTGCTTTTATACTTTGTCCGGCGTGAGAGCTGGTTAATATTGCAGGATGTTGTAGGATTATGGAGTATGGGTACAGATATGATCTGCCGTCACAAGGTTTTCCGTCACCACGAAGGATAACGAGTTCGCGAGGTATCCAAACCTTAGAATGCGCCCCCGTTTGGCTGGATTCGATGAGGAATCATGAATAATTACTGGCTGGCCACGGTAACAAGCCCACCCACAGCGCAGGTACATGATCATATAGATGTAAATCCCTTCGTCACTAATACATTATTCTTAACCTGCCTAGAATACATATCCTTGCCAGTCTCAATCTCCGTGGTATTAAAAAAACATGAAATCATCTCCCAAATATAACGACTTTGAATGAAAAATACGGTCCCCTTTTGAAAAGCATTGCTAGAACGCCATACAATATTTGAAGTATTTCTTCTAACCAAAGTAGAACGGTAAGAATATGAAACGAGGAGATCACGCGAAGTTATCAGTTCGATCTACCCAGATATCCTCCAGCTCGGCAAAGTTCTGGAAATGTAAAGGCCTGTGCTGATCATCGTAGAATCGCAATGGAGTGTCCACCTTGACGTACACAGGTCTCTTCTCCACGCTGCTGAACGAGCTGCCCATGAAGCTGTAATTCCACACATTGTTCTCAGGAACCAAGAAATAACCACGAATACGATCGCTGAGCAGTAGCTGACACTTCTCACCAAAGCTGGTCGAGAATCCCTGCGGTTGGTCTGAGCTCGTATCCTTGTTCTCGGCGCCCCATTTATAGCCTTGAGGAGTCAACGACCATGCAGACAAGGAAACGGAGCCCGGAGTAAAAGATACTGTCATAGTCACAGTCTTCTTATCCCATGATGGATGTGCATTCATTAGACGGGAGTGTTGCGTAACGTCCATAGCGGTCATATACGATGGCTCGTTGCCCGACATGGTGTGGATAATTCCAAGCGGCTCAAGGTCGTTGAGATATTCGTGTTTTGGCAGTTGCTGGGGCAGCTGAACGTCTCGAGTGTTCCCAACTTGTGGTATCATGACGATGGTTATTATTTCCTTGATCTGTGCGTTATCGGGAGGTGAGCGACCGTATAAGAACGCAGCCACCTGAACCCGGAGGTCCGAGATCATAATGAATCGTTTGAGGATATTTTTTGGCATGATATACGTGAAATGTCCATCCTCTTGAATGTCCTCGGACGAGATATAGATATTGTTAGCCCGTGTCCGAAGATTCGATGTCGCAATGGCACGTGTACGCCACTCTGTCTTCGAGGCGAAGGACTGCTGCTCGTATTGAGACGTGGTCGTAACAATAATCTCTTCCCCGCGTACGTTTTGTGTCTTGGTAGTCACGGCGGTGAGCTGCTTTTGATCCTGTTGCTGCTTCTCCATTTCGGCGGCCTGCTGACGCTGTAATGACGGTGCACTAATCTCCATACCAAGAATAATATCCCGAACTTCGCTGCTGGTCAAACTCTGGGTGTTAACATTGTTCTTCTTGCCGTAGTCGTTCAAGATTAAATCACGGAGCTGAACTTCGAGTTTGATCCAATCCTCATCCGAAAGGGTAGGCCAGATATGGTGCTCTTGGGTAATTACACTCTTATCTGGACGCAAGAGAATCTTGGTCTTGTCAATGTTGACATGCAGTGCTCGGAGGATTAAAATCAACCGGGAGAAGGCAGTGTACGACGAGATTGTCTTTAGCCATTCGTCATACAAGTTGAACAGTACCATCTGTGGCTCCGTTGCCCGAAGAATCATATCTGCGAGTTTTTCAATCTTCATGGCGGCCTGGAATGGCAGTTGTAACTCGGAAGCTCGAATTGAAATGTTTGGGAAGTCAAGAAGATGCACTTCAAGAGGATCAAGAAGACCCTTTCTTGTAACAATCAACTGCTTGGGTTGTTCTTCAACTGGTAGAGATCGGATAAGCGCCGCCACTTCTTCTGCGGTTTTCCATTTAGCCAACTGACCCAGACGTTTTTGTCCGGCCCAAACGCTTGTGTGAATAATTTTCAAAAAGAGCTGGCCAGTACGCGGGTTGAAGATGAAAATGGCGCCGTTGATAGGCTTCGTCGTCAAGTTGCCTTCAAAGGTTTTGTGGATAGTGACACGATAGACATTGGTATCGTCGATGAATAGCTGGATTTGGTTACTGAAGAGTTCAGAATAATTTTGAGAGTTTAGAAACTCTTGGTTGCTCTCCGATGCATAAAGCTGCAGACCCTTGCGGATACGTTCTCTTAGGACGTACAAAGCTGGATTTGCCTTCATAACTTTGGCCATAGCTTGTTGGACGAGAGCTTTCAAACCAGGGAAGTACTGGCCATACGCAGAATACAGGTTATATGCCAGGTCGATACCGATCATCAGTCCAGTTGCCGAGGGATAGATGCTCATGCTATCCGTGGTATAATCAAGATATTTGGCACGGACATATCTTTCGATATCGTGAGAATCGTAATCGCCATATCTCAATTGTACATCCAACCAGAATTTGTTTGTCGTTGTGGCCTCGATCACATCCTTTGTATCGAATAAAAGTGAAGGGCGTGTGACGTTCCATTTATGTGTAGCGAATAAAAGGATATCGGCACAAGAACTGTTCATCTTGTAGGATTTACGCGGGTGAATAGTTTCCTTTTGAACCGTTTCAATGCCAAGTTGCTCGAGTTCCTGGTCGAATACCTGGCAAAGATCCATGACGACCGACTCGTGGATTTTCTGCCACAAATGTGCTCGGAAGATCTGGATCAGGGAGATCTTCAACGTTGGGATCTTGCCATGCAAGAAGATACCAGTAAGATCCAGCTGCACTTGGAAACCCACGTAAACATTGGCACGATTGATGGTAGGAGACCACCAAAGAGTGAAGCGACGATTGGGAATCTGGTTCAAACCGGATCTTTGGGCGTTTGTGAGCTTTTTGAATTTCATAGACTCTTCGAAGCCAGACGCTCTTTCCCAAAAGAGACCCTCCCAGGAAGGGAACGCGGTTGCCTTGAAAAGCGTGTGCTCCAAGATTGTTTCGACGCCTCCCAAGGCTTGGATGACGTCGGTACGGTAGGCGTTGAGATTCCACAGTTTGCCATCATGCCTTTGACTGGTCCACCAGAAAGGATTGCTTTTCATCAACTGATAGGTCTTGAACTCCGTACGAGTACGGAAACCTTTGTCAAAACTGAGCGTACTGCGATCCTTTTGGAACAAAGTGTTAATACGTGGAAGACCACGATCCCAGCTGTCTTCCAGATCCTCGAGAGTCAGTCGTCGATTCTGCTGGTTGGCTTCTTGTCGTTTCTGTGAATACTCCATCCAGACACGTTGTGAATCAATAAACTCGGCTTCCCACGGAATGATGTAACGGAAGATGTTAGGAATAAGCGTCTCTTCGTCATGTGACATTCCCGCTCTGTAGTGAGTGACTCCAGTGTCGGTCTGTTTGGACCACCGTTTGTCACTCGCAGGGATAAGGATGTGCGACCCGGATATCATGCCTAGCCCTCCTAATTCCTTGGGTGTATAGAACACCGCAGGAGGAAAACGAGAAGGCATCTTGGAGTTAAGGCCGATCTTCACTCGAGTTTGAATTTTGGTCTCGCACTTCACAATGGTATCTAGGAGGTTAACAGTCGAGACTGCAGCTTCACGGTAGTATGTGAAGAGCGCAATCAAGCTGGTATTCCATTTGTTCGCAATTTTGGTGAACGTAGTCGACCCAGACGACATAAGAATCTGTCGAATGCGATTATTGAATTTCTGGATATCTTCTTCCGTGACCTGAAGGAATGCATACGCAGTTCGCTCTTTCGTGGAATTATCCGTGAGGGACCAGACGCTGTCTTTTACCGAAAATTCCTCATTCTGGTTTCGAGTCTTTGGAAGGATACGCACTTCGAATCCGCACATGGAGAAGAGAAGATTAGGGTTGTCCCGGCTGTAGACACTCGCAAATGTGTCATCCCATTCAATTGTAGTTATAGACCTTGGAAGACGATTCTTCAAATCCCAGAACACGGCACGACCAAGGTTGACATCATGCCTCATCAGTCTCATCCTAGAATCTCTCGGCCAGCACTTTTTATTCTTATAACCGATAACATTTTCAAAGTTCGGGTCGGGCTGTTCGGTCAAAAACCGTTGGATCAAATCACGAGACTCGTCGGCGGTGAACCTAAAAAATACCCAGATTTTGTCAATGTATCTCGTGTAGAGACGGATCGGATGTCTGGTTTCTGTTGCTCGATCCCTGAACTGTAGGAAGTCGTTAGGGCTCTGGGGTGGACCGGCTAGCTCACTGGCTCGCTGCAGCCCGAGCAGGAGTAGATCGATCACCAAGCCATAGTACTGGAAGACGAAGCCGGAGAACTGGAGACCGCGGATTAGACCATAGCTGTTAGTGTGGTTCATATCCTTGTAGTTGAGCTGAACGTTGTTTTTAGACGTGATATAATCTGCCAAGTTATGGTCCATAATGAGACGGAGTAAGCGGTTGAGAAGTGTAAGATCAATCTTTTCATACACTTTCGAAAGCTCCGTCTCAATCATGACGTTGAATTCGCCGTCGGCGGTCTCCCACACATTTGAAAGGTTGTTGATGCCTTGGGCCCATTTATAAACGAGAAGCGGCGGCACTTCGGAATCAGAAGGTTTAATCCAGGACGGGAAAAGGTGGCGTTGATCAGCTTGATACCATAGATACTGGTCCAAATATGCATCGGTGATCTTCTCGATAGGCTCGATGTCATAAACTGGGTTGATATGACTATAGTTGTCGTTCATATCGATACCAACCTCTTTAAACGCTCGCTGAGTAAGAAGGAATCGCTTGATTCTCGCAAGAGTTGTGCCTGGGGAATCGTAGGCTTGTTCGATCAAAGCAAGTTCTTCTCGCTGGCTTTGATTCAAACGGCCTTTGACCGAATATGCCTCACGTAAACGTTCCAAGGCCAAAATCAAAATCTTTGTGTCGTGCTTGTAGGATACACTAGGGAACGGGATCGGTGAAAATTTGCGGGATTCAAGCCAATGAACGGTGGTAGTGTAGATAGCAACAGCTTCCTCAGAAGATACATACGGGCCGTCTTTCAGGTAGTTATGCTGTCGCTCTTGCTCAGCTTTCAACCATAGACGAGTTAAACGACCAAGGTTTTTCTTAGCCACTGTTTTATCAACGGTTGCTCCGCGCCGAATTCGCTCACGGTTGTAATGAGCGACCGATATCCACCAATCCGCCTTGCTCTTAACGTATCGCAAAATAATGTTCTCGATTGGAGCTGGAAGACCGGGTACTTTCCACGGAATGTTGCTCTTCCAGCATCTCCACGCTTCTGAAAGGTGCTGAAGGACTGTATTGACTTTGTTCTGCTTGATTCCCTCTGGCATCATGTCCATTAGATCCGCCATCACAGACGCTCGAAGCTCCAAGTCGAAATGAGACTCAACTCGCTGTTTGGTAACGGTCTTTGCCACTCCCTTACTATGTCGGCCTTCAAACTGTCTAGACAACAAATTTCCAAGCCATCGTTCAAGAAGAGGGATTATTCCACGGAGGAAGAAAAGCCACACTCTCCATGCAGGCGCCCAGAAGCCACAGCCAGGGCCCTTTCCTACAGGGCCGGAGTTGAAACGGTAATAAATTAGATGCTTCAGATCTTTGCAGGATCGGATCTGGTGCATGAGTTTGTACTTATATCTGTACATTCCGGTAAGCTGGCCGACATGGTTGAACGCATAGAGTATTCCATCTGCAAGCTGGAAAGCATCAATATTACCAAGGCGATACTGAACTTGGGCGTCGACGATCAGCTTGGTAAGTCGGAGGATTTCTCTCATTAAATGGAACGCGTTTCCAAAGCGAGACTTTTTACGTTCTTTAGTTGTCAAGGTTTTGACGGGCTTGAGGTTAAAATTGTAATCCAAATGCAGGTAGGTCAGGTTCTTCCGGTGGATTAGCAAATTTAGCATATTAAAACCTTGACGGCAAACTTGAAGACCAGCTTCCACCCAATCAATGGTGGTCTGCTGGAAAAACTTCGTTCCCTTTAAGGCTCTCAATAGATTTTGTTTGTTCTGAGCTTTCGGCTTTTTCTTATGCAGTTCATTGAGAACATATGTCTTGAGTAACTTTTGGTAAGACACCCGAACCTTTACGGGCTGACCTTGGGGACAATGTTCAAGATACCACTGCTTCACCAGAGGCACATCTTGTGCTCGTACCATTTTACCCGAACGTCTATCAAACGGATATGGAGCCCACCACAGACTAATAGCTGACGCTGTTTCGCTTGTATATAGCTCTTCGTCGGCTAAGAAAGGCTCAATATCACCAGGGAGCTCGAAATCATCTTCATCGTTTCCGGGACCGAAGATTTGATCTTCGTGGCTAACGGTGATGTTCTTTGGAGCGACCGATCGAGAAGAAATAGGATTAATAACGGGGTCGAAGTAAAACGCTGGAAGATTCGGATCGTCGGTTCGAACATATACAACCTGAGGATGAGAGTACCACGACAGCTTCACGCTTCTCGGTAATGAGTTGTACAAATAGGGAAAAGCGACCCTGTATTCAGTTCTAATTGGCGCTCGGAAGATGATGCGATCAATAGCGTTGAATTCACCGAAATCTTCGTCGTTAGGGTCTATATCCTTGTATAACGGCTCGAACCTTGGGCCACCCGGAATAGCAACGTTGAGGGCCTTTGCTGTTAGGAAACTATTCAAATCGAACATGTGGAAATAGTTCTTATCCACCACATCGCTCAGAAGCTGCCGACTGAGTCGATATAAGGTCGCCATTTGGGGGAGAGTCAGGTTCCACGTTTTGTAGCTAGGTCCATTCACATGAGGTGTATCAAGAAGAGGCCTATGGTCATAGAACCATTCATATACCGGGCCATCTTCACTTTCATCTAGCTCCATCTGAATGGGTTCTAGGGGCTCCACATCTTCAATGTTCTCCGACCATGATAAGGGAGGTTCCTCGTCATCAAACGGCGGAAATCGCATTCTCTTGAAATGCCTTCGGTCGCTCTTCTCCCGTCGCATACAGACCCACATAGTCGCCCATTGCGCATGGAAGACCGGCTCAATCACTCGAGGAGTTTCGTTGACAAGGGTCAAGCAGCCATTCACATGATAGAGCACTTTGACCTCTCTAGCAGACTCCCATGGCATCGGCATATTCTCCAATAGCTTCAATACAGCATGCGGCATAAACTTCAACGCTCCAAGGTAGCTTCTTTTATCAGTGCTGAACTTTTTCTGGGACACATCTCCGATATCCTTCACGATCTTTCGCAAATGCTCCGGCGGCATATCGGCCTTCTGGGTTTCCACAAATCCTGCCTTTCGCTTCTCCCCGAACCGATTCCGCTGTGTTCGAAGCCACTCCTTCTTCTTCTGCTCGAACTTGGCGACTCTTGGGTCGGCTGGTGGTCGGTATCCGGGGGGCGGAGGAGCAAGCGGCATGGAAGGGGGAGCTCCGGCGCCCCATCCTGGGGGCGGGGGAGGAGGCAGTGAAGCCATTATGGGTAATCAAGCTGCAAAACCAGGACTGTGTTTCGCGTCGATGATATGAACACCTCACGTCAGTTTCACCATGGGCGCCTCTGGAATATTGCGCACAGGGACGCCAAAACAACAAAAAGGTGGTTAAAGTAAAAAAAAGAGGGCAAATTGACGGTAAAGGTGAATTGTCGAGATAAACATCCCATCGAGACCTCTCAATAGAGCGACAAGGCGATGCGCGTTGAAAGATTTCCCTGAAGTGGCGACGTCGGATCTTGGCATGAGCTAGTCTACTTTGGGGTTAGCGCTAACTCGCCAAAATTTTAGTGCATCCAGCCCGCAACCCACACAAATCGGGGTTGCTCACTGAAATCTTATCGACGACGACAACGACGACACCGCCATCCTCCAGAACCGAATCTCACAAGTCGCTGAGATTAGAGGACAGTCAAAATGGGAAATACCAGACTCCAATACGTGAGTTCAAAGTGTCATTCCGGGGGACCAATTGAGGGAATATGCTGACCGAGTTTTTTTTTTATCCAGCGACGAAGGAACCCGTATGTGCACCTCTCACGATCACCAGGCTTACGACATGAAATTCAGAGTGAAATTAACAAACGAATGCGCTACCAGGTACAAGACGCGGTCCAACAAGGTCCGTGTGATCAAGACTCCGGGTGGTGAACTTCGATACCTCCACATCAAGAAGAAGGGTACCGCACCAAAATGCGGTGATTGCGGTATCAAGCTCCCAGGAGTGAGTCTCCCTTTTGGCTGGTTTTACAATTCGATTTGGGGATAATTTTGGGGGCGCAATATTTTGGAAACAATGCGGTTTGGATTGCGAAACTATGGTGGTTATGCGATACTGATGGTTCTTGACCAAAGATTCCCGCTCTTCGTCCCCGTGAATACTCCCAGATCTCCCGCCCAAAGAAGAATGTCACCCGCGCCTATGGTGGCTCCCGTTGCGGAAACTGCGTCAAGGACCGGATCGTCCGTGCTTTCTTGATTGAAGAGCAGAAGATCGTCAAGAAGGTTCTGAAGGAGTCGCAAGAGAAGGCCGCTGCCTCGGCGAAGAAGCGATGAAGGGATGAGAAAATGTTGTCGGATACGGTGATGGGTCTGGTATGACGTTGGATTGCACCGGAGTTCTGGGACATACATGGCATGGGATAACGAAGCAATCACCCATGCTTATCTTACCTGCTTGCACGAGCTTTCCAATGAAATCCTGTTACGGGGGATAGTTAATGGCCCTATTTTATTTATGGGATGCTTCATTTTGTTGGCTGTCATTAAACCAGCAGTGTCAAAGAATTACAATACCTTGAACATAAAATTTCAGCGTGGCCAACCTATCGATCACTAAGAGCTTCAGTTACCTTTTGAAGTCCTGACTCTGTACTTGCACTCGGTTGGGCGAAACAGCCTCAAGTCTTTCGGAACGGTGAAGCATGGATTGACAAATATAGATTTTTGACGAAATATCAGGAACAGATGCCCGCTGGCCGGCCTACATCATTCGGTATGCTCCGTAGAGAATTCTGAGTCGGTTCACGTTTTGCGCATCTTGGATGAGACTGCCCTTTGAATGCACAATAACGAGACTTGGCATGGCTTGCCCACACAAAGGGGGCGCAGCTGTCCGAAGAAGTGCCTGTCAAGCTAGAAGACGCTTTCTCAGTCATGTTGGGTTCTGGATATCGCTGCAGTTTTTCCATTCGGTGCTCTGTACGTATGCAACATGGCCGGTAAACTGCAGCGCTATTCATGGCACAGCGAATTGATGGCGGCTAATAGTCCTATCATCGATTAACATGCAATATCGTGCCACAAAAATTCGCCAGTTCGGATGCATGATCCAGGTAAATTTAGATGCTCGCGCCATGAAAGGCTAGTAGAGTTGGACTTCCATTCAAGGATCTTTGAGTGATGCAGAGGATGTGCCAGCCGAGCAACAGCCTTCCAAGGCTTCTCATATTAATATGTGTTCCGTAACGAAGGACCTGTGCCCATTGTAGAGGACAGTGGCTCCACGCTAATGACTATGTTCCCTACAAAACCAGCAGAAGAATGAGTATCTGCCATCCTTTGCTTGGTGCTTTGGAGGTATGTGCAAGAAGAAAATCGCAGGGGGGGGCCTTCTCATTCCCTGAACAATGGGGACTGTGGGAGGAAGCAGGCAGCGGGCTTTTACGGCTCTGGCCCACCGGAATGCGTCGAGACCTACACACATCGCTAATCCTGCATGGATGCGATCATCTCTGCAGGATGGCAGCCATTCCTGAAGAGCTCCAGCTTGCCAAAGATGCTCAAGAAAGAGGGGGGATGTAAGATCGACCACAACAGTCGTTCGAAGAGACCAGTGGCACATCATCTGAGACCTGGCCACGGCGTAGAGGAAAGAGGGCACATCTCCAAGCGTCCCACGATATCGAGGCAATTGCAAAGTCCCAAACACAGGGGTATTCTTAGCCCAACTCGAGAGATCTCGAAGTGACATGTTTAGGGCATATGCATGCCATGGACCCTCAAAATAGACTTCACGAGATCGAAAACTTCTCGCTCACGATAAGAGGAAGGTAGGTTTCAAACGCATGTTTGATTAGACTTGAACTTGGTATGGATGAGGCGCGGTTGCCCCTGGTCGAATCCTTGTTAGATATTGTCCAAACGTTGGACTAGGCCGTGGACGCCGCATTGCTCATCCGACCCCAACGTCCTCGAAGACCCGGGTCATTGGCACACCCTCTGCCCAGCCGTTTTTGTCTCGTTGCAGCAACGGATTAAATCGGTCTAGAAAAGACAGGCTGCGGATGGACGGGGTAGCTATTCCGCGCTTCCGTCCGATAACTTGTATGTCCATCCTGCAGAACTTCGAAAGGTCGGTACGACACGGAGTAAGTTCTGGATCGGGCCGCTAAATGCAGCCACGGATCGCAAGTTGGTCGACGGAGTACTGAGGGAATCCTTGAAGCCAGAGAGGTTGTATTCTGCACCTCCGTTCGAATATCCGTCCCGTCTGAGAAGTTGCGTTGACCATACGGTCGTGACCTGGCTGAAGACTTGGAGATAGGTCTTCAAGAAAGTGGTACTGGTCGGTTTCAAAATACGAAGCCACCTGGATTCAATGCACGGATGTATGTATGGACATACGGTACGTCGTTCTTGCGAGCAACAATCGAAGATAGTTTCATTATTGCATGGAGACACCTTCCCATGGTTCGTTCGTGGATGCAGGGCGGCAGGCGCATTTGGTTCTTGTGTATTCAAGGCTTGCATCCCACATGTAAGTCTTCGTTGAACCGAGTAAACAACAATAACTTTAATCGGTGCCGATCTTGCAAGACTTTTGAGGATTTGGATAGATCAACTTCGGAGATATGTTTGTTTCATTGAAACCAGGCGAGGACCCTGAGAATCATGGATCGGGACATATTCGTGGACGGATGGCAGATCCGGCCCATTCAAACGCATGGATGGCGCAGTCCAGACAACGACGATGAACTGGCGCAGGATGCACATCCCATCCACTTGATTAGCCTGCGGAGAGAACACGCACTTGAGGGAGAAAACTACAGAACATAGGATATTTCCTTATCGGTCTAGGATCGAATCGTTACCAACAGGACCCTTGCCTAGCCTAGGACAGAACCAATAAACCACCGGCGACGTGGCCGAGAGGGCTGCAGCCTACACTCTCGAGGCTCGAGCACAAGGACAGTCAAACAAGTAGCCATCACCATTCGAGCTTGCATCGACCCGTCAGGTCAGAACCATAGTTCGTGCTGGGGATGTCTGACAGGAAACCGCCGAGTTTAGCTTTAGATACCTCCAAGCCGCCCATTCATGCAGAGTGCACTTCGAGGTGCAGCAGTTAGCGTACACTAAGTTTTTCCCCGACTGTTGCGCTATCGTGCTGTTAACCCAGGCGTTGCCCTACGAGTGACAAGGAAGATAGCTTGTCGCTCGCCACCGCATCTCGTTCTTGCGTTCCGCACCTTACCATCGACGGACCATGCAATTGAGGAGACCTCGACCAAAGAAGTGGTTGACGAGCCTCTCGATCCGAGACAAGTTGCACGGACTGTCAGGCATGAACTATTGGCTTCAGGTTTCCCATAAGAGGCGGCCGGGGATTGTCGGGAAATGCGTCCAAGCACATCATGACGACAGCGGTCAACTGAGGGATTATCTTCACGGGCAAGGGACGGCCGGGTGGGACCTTACATGAAGATTGCTGGCGGAATGCGGCAGAAACCAATCAACACGGTTATATTTCACCTTCATCTCGAATGATAATGTTTCCAGGAATATAGAGTCCCTTGAAGCCTGAACGAACCCGGCATCTTCTCTCAAAGGTTCTGGGTAGGGTAGATACATTACTGAAATCTTCTAATCCCGGATCATGATGATTTCCTGCAACATTTGAGCCATATCAAGTTCTGCCAAGTATCTATTATGATTGCCCTCGTTTCCAATCTTGAAAGTGAGATAACTCACACCTCTCCAGCGCAGATCATAGAATAAAATTTTTCAAAGAACTAAACAATATCATACAATCATTACATGCAAGGAGGACGTATTTTCAAAGCTGGCCGTATGCGTCGTCGAGTCATCCATGAATGCGAAAAGGGCCTTTCAACATGGACCGTTATGCCAACGCCCAAAGGGTTCAGATAACTCCCGGAATACATAATGCTCCAAGTGCACCGACACCCCCACCAGAGTAAACGAGCTGAAATGCGAAGAAGATGCGCAGTACTCCGCAAAGAACTTAAAAAATAGATATACTATGCATCTGACTGCAGGAAGGCGACGTTTGCAAGGCAAGGAAAAAAGCAACTCCAAATTAGGGAAACGATGGCGGGAAGGGGGAAAAAGCGGCTCCTCTTTATCCACAAAAGTCAAATCTACATAAATGAATTGAAATCTAAGCCAATCGTTTCACTATCCAGGGTAGAGCAATCGGAGATCAACCCTCCTCCGCCAGTGCGTATGTTGTGATAGAAAATTGGAGATTCAGGCGGGAAGTCAGTGCAGCCGGAGAGATCGCTAAAATTGTAACCTCCTAGAGTAAGATTCATTTCAAGATTCGCTGGAGATATGGGTTGCTCCTCTTCGCCGTGCGTCGTATAGGCCACGATGCCTTCAGAGTTGTCAGACTGCATGTGGCGGGAAGAAGAATGATTTTCTCCTGCTCTCTGTGCTTCTTGGAGGGCTCGCCTAAACTTCGCTGCTTTTTTGGCTGCGCGTCCACCTTTTGCTCCCGATCGTTGCCGCTGCGGCGCCGGTTGTTCAGACTTTGTAGTCTTTTTATGGATGCCTGGCTTCCTGTACCTTGTTGTTGACTGCACGCCGTGTTTTATCGCTCGTTCAGTGAGAACCCAAACATTTCCGGATTTCTTTGGCGATCCTCCAGGGGAGGAGATTTCTCGAACCGCTTCGAATGCCTATGGGGACTTTTAGAGTATGACACTGTGATTGACGAGACCCACGCAACTTACAGCATTCATGGAGAGGTTATGACGAATACTGTTCTGCCAACCTTTTGAATCTGGGTCTTTGGCCTTGTTGGTGTGCTTTTCGAACCATTCGTAGATTTCTTTGAGGACCATGCCGTGCCCGGGGGCAGACATAAGTGCTTTCCAGATCAGTATTGCATACGGCTCATCTGATGGAATACCATCTGTATCTGAATCTTCCTCCGAGAGCCCGATTCCTATGTCAGGCACAGAGCGTGGTTGTAACAACGGCAGCAAATCCCCCAATGGGCTGGACGCCATTGAATTATCGGTGTTAAAGTATGAATAAACGGCGCTCCCGGGCCGTGAAGTGGAGCCTTCAAATGACGGACAAGATCCAATGCAGCTTTGCAAATCGTAAGATGGAGCGATTTCCTTGTCGGGAACCGACACAGAAGAATTCAACTCTTGGTGCTCATGCGCGGTTTGGAAATCTTTAAATGTTGCCAAGTGGTCAATGTTCTCGGGAGTAGGGAATGATCTGTTGATATCAATCCAGCTTTCATGTTCGTATTGAGCATGTCCGAAGCGGGATGGTGAAGAGGGTATGTTTTCTAAAACATCTGGAGCTTGGTGATAGAAGAGCCCAGAATCGCCGGAAAGCTCATTCATGTCGAATTCCCAAGTATATGGATCGGAAAGAGAATCTTGCACTGAATGTGAACTATAGTTTCCTGAAAGGTCCCTTGAGTTGAGCATGTTTATGGCAAAATGCGAAAGAGAGAATTCATCAAGGGGGCCAGCTGGAGATGAAACAGGTTCAAGAGGGAATGATGGTTGCTGCAAGGATAGTTTCTCATTCAGGCGCGGTATGTTTAAAGGGGTGTAAGTTGTATGTGCCTGTGCACTATGAACAGAATGAGACATGGGAACTTCTTCCATCTTCCTCTTTGGCGTAGCTGAACCACGCAAGTCACTTTGTTCAAATTGTAACCAGGTGGGGTCAACAGATTCTATGAACGTGTGACTAAATTGAGGAGAAGATATTTAAGAACAGGGCTTGTGAGACTAAGTTAAGGAAGAGAATCAGCAGTCTTCCGCAAGTAAATGGAGCATTAGAAAAGCAAGTAGTTGAAGCAACTTACAGCATGGGACGGGGCACAAGGATACATGCTTGCTCCCCGCAAGCCGTTGAGAGGGAATGATAGAAAAGGAGCAAACAAAGAATGAGTATCCAGAAGTTAGACTGCAATTCAGTATAACATGGTGTTTAGCCTGAAGGTAGAGTCCTTGTGGAACAGCAACCAGTCCATATGTATGTAAGGCCAATTATTATGCAGGGATAGCCAAGATCCGCCTCTACAGTAGCGTGGTAGAACCGGGAAAGGAATAGAAATGTGTCAAACTGCCTAGGTCAACGCATAGTGATTCTGGATTGGGCGCGCACGGGAAGCTGCATGAGGATTGGAAATCTGTCACTAGTTACATTCTGCAAAACTGTAGCGCAGCAGGTGGCTGAGGCCACTAAATAGTGGACAGACAAAGCTTCTGGAAGCCTTATTATTTTCTAGATCATCCCCCACAAAACCAATAAGAATCAGGCGTGTGAGAGGCACATGTAACAGATTCCAAAAGTCTCTGGTCACTAGTTCAACATGAAGATCCCAATAGAACATATGTATGCTTTGAGAATCAAATTACCACCTGAGTGTAATACGTACCCCAGAATTCGAGAAATAGCCACCGGTTTGCTTGCACCCAAAACATCCGATCAGCTTGGCCATAAGAGAGGCGACCCGGCATTTATTTCACTGCCCGATCTCGTTCGAAGGGAATGGCGCGAAAAGATCCTAAAGTTTCGGCAGGCATTTGAAGTCTTTGCGATGCTAGAATTAGCATTGGATCTATATTCAGAAGCCTTGGAGTTACTGAATATTAATACTTATAAGCCTGAGGCGAGTTGTACAGTGTCCCAAATCTGCATGGCGGCTAAGACCCTGATGCTTAAATATATTGCTGCCAAAATAAAAAAGAAATCGGCCCGATATTCATCACCGACATAAAGGGATCGTAACGGATTGGCTGATCCGGGATGCCACAACTGGTGTACAACACAACTGCATACAACCAATGAAATGCTGGGTCGAAATCCTTTTCACTGGGACAATGGCCTCATTTGCGGTAGTAAATCTATGATGATTACTGTTAGAGACTTGACTCAATTTAACAACCTCAACAAAACATACCTTTTTAAACTGGAAGTGTAACTGTAAAATACCCTGTAGAAAACAGCCTATGTTAAAATACTGTCCAACTACATTGCGCAAAATGGGATGCTTACCTTTTCGAAAGTGCTTTTGAAGCCTCTTTCTCGCTTGGCGCTGTAGTCCCATTCTTTATCCACGATTCTAAAGGCAAGATCCTCATACGGTGGACCTGCAATGAAACGAATGATGCACGTATCTTCCTCCCCAGCAGGCGCGAACGATTGACCACGTTTTCTTCCATGCTCACGCTCTATTTTATAGGTTGGAGCTTTAGTTTTATCGATAAGGTCGGGATAAAATATATTGAATTTGTATCCTTGAACAACCTTCGGTGGCGGGTCGTCATAGTCATAGTGAGTCTGATTGTATTTATTCCATTCATAGCCCATCTGAACGCGGTTAAAATATCGCGGTTTACGGGGTCGATATTTATTAGCCCAAGCTGGCTTGACCGTTGTGTTTACAACTTCTTCGCCAGCGAAAATCTCTTCGTTCTCGCTAATACCCCTGGCAACCTCTCTTTCATAGAGGGCCTTGGTGGCTTGGGAAAAGTCATCATTCGGGGCTGACATAAAGCGAGGCGCAACCGCAGAGATGGTGGACGATTCTTGAGTATGAGAGACAATAGGTCCTGACTTGTCTGCTGATCGCTGGCGTAATGGCGCGTAGCCCATTTTCAGGATTTTCTTCCGGTCAGATGCCTATGCTAGGGTTAGCACCGTGAATAACATAATTTCAAAACTTGTAGCGTACCACTCGAGAAAGGAACGACTTCTCGTCAAGTATTTCAAGGGATTTATCTTGGGATTGGAGCTGCAAAAGCGGTTCTGGATCAAGCTCCCGGATTGTTTCCTCCTCTTCCGGAGACATTCCTGTGGTACCAGCTCCTTCATATGGCGCAAGAGGAGCCAGCTTGTTTTGCACATTCACTGCTTCTTCCCGCTGCTGCTTCCGTAACTCTTCGACCCTTCCTTTAATTACGGCTTGATAAACTCGTCTGAGCTTCGCTCGAGCTTTCCAAACCGTGAGACTCTTCAATAGTTGCTCCCAGTAATCCGTATCAACCGGCTCCTTCGAATTCAATTTTCTTCGTATTTGTACCTCAAGGGTGGCTAATTCCTCGTACGACTTGGGGCTCAATATTCGATTAATGTCTGCGGCAACGGAGCTCACCGCCCTATCCTCCGGCGCCGTAGATTCGGCCCGCTGTCGTCGATCCCTGCAAATCACGTTCATGGTCTAGACAATTAAGTCAGTCTTAGTCTGTTGATACTGTGCGGTATTTTTGGAGAACATGCCTTCCAGTATTCTTGATTATCAGGATTGGTTTCAAGCTTGAGAAATGTGTCGATATCTTGCTCAAGACTCATCAGCTGGGAAACAGACAAGCCCTCAAAAACACCTTCAGGATCCACTAGATCAAGTTCGGAGTCGGGAATTTCATCGTCAAGAGGGTTCCTGGTTGGATCGATAACGCGCAGGGTGACCGTAAGCCAGTCAATGGGCTTCGCTCGGCCTTCTTTTACCCGTATTTCAGCCTTTTTTTTCGCCTGTCTAAGCACAAAGGTATCCTCTTGCGCAACCCACTGGCGCATTTGTTCATCTTCCTGGAGTTGGTTGAGTCGTGCTTGTTCTTTCATGCTCCAATGCTGTCGATTGCCATCGTTCGCGCGGGTCCTATCGACGTGACGGATCTTTTCAGGGCGCTTCCAAGGCGGAGACCGAGATCGACTCCGCTTTGATCCGGATTTATCGCGAGATGTAGAGGACATATTTGCAGGTTGTGGTGATGCTGACGGCGCCAGGCTTGGTCTTGGGCCACCGGTTCCTTCTCCTGGTCTCGATAGAGTCTTGGGGAAAATGGGAAACACAGCCGAGTTCGGGAAACCTTCCCGTTCAACCCCGACGACGAGTTTGAGTACTGCGCAAAGTAAACTTAGGCATCAGCTCCAGGCTGCACATATGGAGCGCTATAAATTGTAAAGGAACAGCTGTCCAAAAGTTTGAAAACTGTTCCAGCTGCCTTTTTTTTTTTTTTTTTTGATTACTACTGTGTTTCTGGAAATGCGGCCACTCTGGAAAAGACTGCCGCTCGAAGGCCAGAGCTTGAGCCCTGCGCTCTACATCAGCTTTACCACCGGCTCAAATGGCTACGAACTTCTCCTCACAGATCTGGCGCATGTCTGGTCCGAATGTCTTACTCGCAAGCAGATCCTTGTGAACTCATCGAAATATGACACTACCATCGATCCTAACCAGGACGATGACCAGTATTTTGTTTTACTTCAAAAGATTGACGACGCACTAAGTGGAAAGAAAGGATCTAGACTTTCCCTGCGTGGGCAGAAGCATGGGAATGGTCTCAATTTATCCACAGAAACAGACCTGCCCTCGCCGCTGGAGCCTCTGACATGGAAAATGGATTTATCCCAGCTACGCCAAGCGGCTTTTACCAAACACGTCTTTCTGCCAGTTCTCAGGGAAGCAGCCAGCACCGAATCGCGGATGCGATCACTTATTGACAAGCTGAAAGAGAAAGATTGGGCGCTGGGTAAATTGTTTGATAAAATAGAGGCCTCTGGGATTGATCTCAGCACGGTGTTTCCATCACTGACTGGTGTGAGACATGGTCGCAGGGAATCAGTATTTTCACAGGCGTCAAAAATGATTAAAGGCGTCGCTCCCTTCGATGAGAATGCTTGGAATTCAGAATGTATGGAGCAGTCTCCTAATGAGTCAATAAAAGAGACTATAATCAAGGACTTTTCGGCCACTGAATCTCCGCTTGATTTGGAGACAGTGGAGAATATGAATGATGATTGGTGGACTCGAATTCGGGATTCGGATTCTGCTATCATGGGCCCTGTTGCGTCTCGTAAAGTAGCTACGAAGAAACCACCGCCAAAGCCGGCGGAAGAAATTTCTACTGAAAGTGACGATGATTTTGAGGTATGTAAATGAGTCCGAGTTCGAGAGGAAATTCAAAGTCGCTAACAAAGCTAGACTCGCCAAACGCCTCCCCGTTTTAAAAAACGCCCACGAGCTCCTAGCTTAGCAGGCAGTGAACCTGAGAGCATACCATCCCTTGGGAAGGGAAAAACGCGCGAGTCCACTGCAAGCCCTGAACCACCTCGACCAACTGCACCGCCAAAGCAGACAAAAAGATCCAAGGGTCTTGGCATCATAGGCTCTAAGTCGTCAAAAAAGGAACTGCCAGCCGAGGGTTCGACTGGCTATGATCTCTCAATGCAACCAGAGAAGCCGAAGGCCAAGTCAAGCGGGTTTGGGAGAATTGGTGGCAGAAAGCTAAAAGCTCCGAGGGTCGAAGACACAAATTCCGATAGTTCAACAGAATCGGATGTCCCTCCTGGTGCCTTTACAAAGCAGCCGTTGGCGCAGGAGCTATCAACGGAGTCAGGAGATGAAGCAGATCTTGCATTACGTCCAAGCAAACCACAAAAGCCGAAGTCAACAGGCCGCGAAGAAAGCGACAAACCCTCGCCACCTCCAAAGAACAAGTCAACAATGGCGGGCGCCGGGCGAGTCCTTGGGCAGATAGGTGGCAAGAAAAAGGACAAGGGGCCCAAACCGGAGGAAAGCAAAAGCAAAAGCAAACAGCCACCTCAAGAAAACATAGATGACACATCCACGCATGACCAAGTCGAACCTTCTCACGCTACCGCGCCCAAAATGGCGAAACGGGAAAGCAAGCTCGGTATGATTGGGGGCGGCAAATCACCCCGTAAACAAGCTGCAACAAAAAGCCAGGCCATCACCCCTTCAATAGCTACCCGGAAAGGTGAAGCATCCGACAAGGGGAACGGCCCGATATTCATAAAAACGGAGCAATCAGAAGCTCCAAAACGGTCAAAATCTCCAACACTGCAAATCCAAGCTCCCCAGAAAGAAGGGTCTGTACCAACAAACGAAACTCCAGAAGAACGAGCGAACAGAAAACGAGAGGAATTAAGGCGGCAGTTGGAATCAAAGAGTGGCCCTGCGAAGAAGAAGAGGAGGTTTTGATAATCACGCCATTCAAAGTGTGTCCCTTCAGCTGCTCGATTTCGATATTTAATTTGTCTCTTAGCGAATTGCCTTGTCTGATTAATGATGAAATACTCCATATACCCACATTTACTCTGTGCCTTTCGAATTTTCTTTTTTCTTTTTTTTTTTTTTTCCCTTTCTTTTTTGCTTTCCCAGTCAATATCTCACTGCTGGAAGGATGTTTGTCTTTCCATACGGCATCTCATTGGCCAGGCTTCGGCGAGAATGTGGCTTAGTTAAGCTTTTTCTTGCGCGCAGGCCATGACGTCACCGCCGCCGCGACTGTCATCAGAGCAGTGAAAGCTGTTGGGCACACAGTCAACTCGACGGCCGAAGCGATGTGCTGTACATGGATAAGGCAATGGTACTCCTATGAGCACAAGCGTTCAGGCACCATCAACTTGCGCAACACTTCCAAGACCCCGCCCCAAGCGTACGAAGTAAGCTAATGCTAGAACGGCGAAACGCCCAACGCAATCAATCAATCAATCATACAATCTGCTACGACCCTCTCACAGCATGTCGGAGTGACTCATTAGGTATCATATAGTGCATATGACTTCAGATTCAAGCATTGAGGCCCACACTATCGCGCTTAAAAATGCAAGATGAAGCGTCAATGTGGGATAAGTAGGATGTGACACAGAAGAGCAAACAAAACCTGCCCACCATGCAAAAGTAGCAAAGCCACGCAAGGAAAAAAGAAGCCTCACTCGTTCCCAGGAAATAAGGCTAAGAAATAGAATGCTCCATCAATACCGGGCGCATTATGTCCACCCATGCTCATAAATTGGGTAAGCCAGTTTCCTTGCCCTAGCGCCTAAACATACTCCAGCCAAGAAGGGGGAATACAACAAATATAAGAGCAAAAAAAATTGACGAATGAGATAAAATGATAATGCAAAAGAGATGGGAACAGGCGCCCATTTTGAAACTGCGGGGACAGAACGCACAGGAGCCGATCGAGAAAACCAGAGGAGCAACACTCCAGGATGGCACGGACTGTGTTCTCGAATTCAGAACCGAGACAACCCCAAAAGGGGTTTAACTTCCTCGTCCTCGCTTTCCACCTTTTAGAATATTTCCTCCGCCCCTTCTGCCACTAGTATTAGTATTACTATCCTGCCTCTTCCCCTGCTCCCCAGGCGTAACTAGTCTAACCTTCTTTGGAGACAGCACTGCCGAGGCACCACCACTCCCAGCAACGACAGGTGAAGGCGACGACGCGGCAGTTCCAGAGGCAGAAGCAGTCGCGACTCCCAGCATCCCCCTGACCCTTTCAACAGCCTTGCTTTCCCCTGCAGTCCAGGAGTCCCGTTTCGCAAAGGATACACTTGAGCTACGTAGGGATTGCAGATCCCGCGCCGTCTTTCTGGAGGCACGGGCGCGTTCTCTTACTGGGCCAGGCCCACAATCATGTCCACAGCCGGGAGTAGCGCAGCCACCTTCGCTAGATGATAATTCCGTAAGCCAAATGACCTGACAGGCAGTGTGCGCGCCATGGCCGCATCCTTGACACCAAGACCATAGCGTTAGGCCACATTTTCCGGATGTTTTATGATAGAGTCCGCGCTCTCCCTTATTAAGCACGGAGGGATTGAGGGCAGCCGCGTTCTTCACCGGATCCTCTTCCAACCGGGACTGTGCGGCCGAGAATGGTGAATTGGACTTGGGCTCTGTGCCGAAGGTATTCATTAAATCAGAAGCTTGCATAAGCCAATCCTCCGGTGGGTTGCGGCTCATGCAGATCGAGCAGGGCGACTGTGCAACATTACAGCGCTGACACAGTTTATTATTACGAATAGAGTTTTCATATGGCTTATTGCACTGAAAACAATAAACATTAATGTAAGAGTCCTTTTGGGCATAATCGTAAACAGCGGGGTAAGTCGGTGCGCATTGAAGTCGGACCTCAGCGGCTTCAATAAACATTTTGCGACGTAAAAGCTGCTCGTTGTACGATTGAAGTATCGATTGCCGTTCTTCGTAGGGGATAATATCGTCAAGAGAACGAAACAGGATATGCAGCTTGTGTAAAAAATGGACTGCACTGACTAGGTCGACAGTGGAGTTGGAGGAATAATATTTTACCACCTCCCTCAACATCGACTGCGGGCTCCAGGGGGGGGATACAGATTTAACCGAGAGAGGAAAATTCGTGATTTCACTCTGAGCTCCTTCACACGCAGCAATATTGCTTTCAGGATTCGCTTGGCCGTCTAACAAAGCAAGCTGGTCTCTCGGTGAGTGTTCTTCTTCTGAATAATTACTGATTGGAGAGGACTGCACAATGAACGGAAGTGGTACGGCAGGCCGTTCCAGATGAATGCTATCCAGATCAGGCAGAATGTCTTCAAATGACATCCCACTCAACGATGCATCGCTCTCATTTCTTTCTCTGCCTTTTGACGGAGAATTATCCTGAAGCTCCGGGATAGTTTGTAGCGGACTGTCTCCAACCGCCGACCAGGGGCTCCCCCCTAAATCAGAAGTATCCTGTTTCCTCTGAGGAGAAGCAGCTTCGTCAGCAAGAGATTTTGCACGGTGGGAGCTATCCGTGGAGGCGGAAAACATAGGAAAGCTCTCAGCGGAGTCATGCCGAGCATATGTCATCGGTTGAGGCGGCCTGGTGCCCCCCCGGGATAATGTATCCAGAGACAATACATCTTTAGAGATCGGCTTATATTCCCGCAAAGCGGTCTTTTTCTCCTCCGCTATCTGATCATAATCATTTTTCTGTCGATCATCTTGGGGCTCAAGTGCTCCCTCATCTTGAAGCCTCCAGTCTGCACGACGAGCAATTGCACGCGGCGCAGACCTGTTACCGCCGGAGAGCGATTCCTTCTGAGCAGGCTCATGCACTTTCAATCGGTCAGGCGACAAGCTCTGTGAAGCGGGGAGAGGCTCGTCCGTTGAGTGTGGCTCACTTTGCCTAACATTATCAGGCACCTCATCCTGTGTAGCCGCCTGTTTTGACCACTGATTATGCCCCAAAACTGAGGGTGGAAGCGGTGCAAGCTCTGGGGGATCGTCTTTTAGGCCCGCCTCTTTATCACCGCCAGATTTACCCACTGGGACATCACACTTCGGACGTGCTAGAGGAGTGGCAATGTCAGATCCATTTTCAAGCTCGGCGGCCGTGAGCGCTTGACCCTTTGCCTCAGCAACACCTTCGAACAACCGGCTCGAAACTTTTCCAGTCAGTGGTTCCTTATTTACAGGTCGTTTTTCGCCGATCTGCTCATCCTTCTGGGACGATGGTTTCTCTTCAAGCATTGGCTGTTCTTTGGCACGAGCTGTAAGTTCCATTGAAACAACATATTTGGCAATCTTCCAGGTTCGGCCCAATTTGTACAAACCAACACGTTCAGCCTGTGCCGCATTATGATCGAAACTGTCCAAAAATAGTTTTATTGCTGTGGGCGAAGCGCCTTGACTAAAATAACTGGTCAACAGAGATGAATAGCTTTGGGCAAGATATGTGAAGATGTCTTGATCAAGCGTGACACCAGATATCCGTCCAATCATCCCAGTTTCTGTTGGTTCATAAGATCCACTTTTAGCAACAGCCTTTTCAAGAGAGACAACCTGCGGTGGTTCATCTTCTGAGATAGAAGATGCACCGCTGAGTGATTTGGATAACCTGGAGTATGCTGTTCTATTAGGTCGCTTTCGATGAGGCACCAGTGGAGGCTCATCGACTGCATCATCAGTGAAACTAGCATTCTTTTCATTCGACCCGGAGTTATAATCATGCCCAAGGAATTCCGCCAGACTATAGCTAGTGCTAGGTTGGCATCTCCTTGCCCGTTGATGAGCGTATGCGATATCACCAGATGGACTCCACGCCACGGCACAAGGCCTACGTCGTTGGATGACCTGAGGCACATGGTTTATATCTGCTTGTGTAAACACCCCTTCGCTGTTTACGGACCAGAGCAATTCACTTGAGAGCCATAACATGTCAGTTGCAGAGCGACTGTAATGGTCAAACTCCTTGAAGGGAAGATGTGGCCTTCGAAAATCCCAGAGATGAATACGCGGGTCTTCTTGATCGTAAGCGGTCACCACCTGCGTAGATTGCCAATCCCCGGTATCCGCATCGTCTCCAGTCCATGAAGCCGGGCGCCATCTGACATTCGACAGTGATTGAGGAGTGCGAAGCTGAAAGCACGGTTTCTGCCTCCGATCTGTCGATGAGAAGTCCCAGACTTTAATGAGTCGGTCTGCACTGCCGCTCACCAGGTGCTTTCCGTCCGGGTGCCAGTCAATTGCAGAACATGGCTTTTCATGTGCATTGATTTTCATTAAAGGGGCATTCTCTTTGCGTACATCCCACCGCTGAATCGCACCGCTATCCGTGGCTGTAGCGAATTCAACCCCATCGGCCGGCGACCAACGGACATCTCGCACCGCTTCACTATGTCCATTGAAACGATGTTTGCTACCGAAGTTTACAACGCCCCTTGTGCCCGACAAAACGCGCAAGTCCCACATCCGGATCGTCGCATCTTGGCTGCCTGACAGGAGCCACGCGCCCCTATGCGGATTGAAGGCTAACCTGTGAACCTGACGGGTGTGCTCATGAAAACGGCCCAACTCTACGCCAGCGCGGTTCAAATCAAACACGGCGATCCGGCCGTTGGTGGCAGCGGTTGCAATTACTTGGTCGTATTCCCCATTCGACCATTTCACGTCCCTTGCCGATAACTGCTCCTTATGCTTAGACGAGAGCGCAGCCGGAGACGCGTTGTGGGTTGCAGAATAACCTATAATGGCTGAACGAATATTGACCTCTTCGGAACAGTGATCGGGCGTCACTCTGATCGTTTTCAAAATTTCTCTACCGGCGAGGATGGCATGCGTGCGCTGGGGAGATACGTCAAGGGCAGCGATCGGAATGCCGGTCTTGTGGGACACTATAGGAGAAGCTCCAGCCCTGCAGAAAAGAGGGATAAAGTCAGGCACAAGGATCTCACCATACCGCAACCATCACGGAACCGATTAAAGACGGGGCCAGGCAACGAGGGAACTTACGTGGAAGCAGAGTGCTTTAAGCCCGCAGGTATGGTGCTGGTCACGCGCGGCGAGTTTTGCTGGGGACTGGGCGGACGTGACCCGTAGAAGAACGGATGGGCGAACCGCGCGAACGCGCTTGTCGCTCTGATAGCATATCTTTGCGGCGGCAATGGAGGGGGAGCAGGAGGGAGTGGGGGTGCTGGCGGAGGAGCTGCGTTCGCCGCAGACCCTTGATTCCGCGGAGAGTCGGTCATCATTTCATGTGCTCAGGTGGCGGGGTCGAGCGAGCTGGGAAGTGACCGGCGATCCATTTCCCTCGAGCCGCGGGACGGAGGCACAGCTTGTCATCTGGTGGGATAAGGCGACACGGTCGGAGTCATGTGCGCCTCTGCTGCGTCGTTCGGAGGTTGGTTTCTCGATGGAAGATTGTGAATCGGCTGGACGTGATTAGCTCCCGCACGGTCAGCTTAAGGTTTCACACTAGCTCGCACCGTCTTGGCGCTGGGGGAGTGGCAATCCAGCAAAGCGCTGCGATCGCACCGGCTCCCGGTCTGGCCAGCGCGCGATACTGAGACAACGGGCTGCGAGCCTCTGGTCCATCGCGTCTAGAAGCCTCCGTCAGTCGTCGCGCTCGGGTTCAACAGCCTGGGATTCATGGGGGGCTTCGTCGGGTATCTCGATACCTGCGCCAGAGGGGCTCCATCGGGGAAAACTACTCCTCACTACGGAGTACTCCGTACAAAGTACTAAATTACATGAAATCAATTATCGCCTTGTTGTCTGTGAAATCTGGACCCTTGATATTAGGTTTTGTCGCAGCGCTGCTTTTTGGGTTGGGTGGGCTGCCAGGACTTGTTCCAAGCTTTAGGCCAAGTATGGGCGCAAAACGGCCTTGTCTTCTTGTTCTCCGTGCTTGCAACTCCAGAGTTAACTCCCGATAGCCGTGGGGCATAGACGGCCCTTTCCGCCATCATATACGTGCATAACTATACCCATGGACACTTCTATGGGGCGGTTCGTCCCTCGCTCGGCCTGAAGAGCTTCATTGACATGGGTTCAAGTATGGATTTGGAACCCCAGACATTGGTCTCCTGAGCAGCTCTGGGTCATTGCTGCATATGCCCCACTGGGGGTTTCAACAGATATGCCGTAGTTACTCCGCAGCTCCCCACGCATGTAGAGTACAGTATGTATGTCCTCCGTACCTACGTGCAGACGAAGAAATGTCTCTGCATAATACCAGGTTCGTTTCAACATAAATTCGAGTGGGCCGAGCAAGGATGCCTGGAGAAGCAATCCTGCAATATTAGTTATAATTTGACCAGATGCCCTGATGGCTGAGCATGATGTTGTCCCACCAAGTCTTTCCTAACCGAAGTACCAAATGAAAAGGCTTGCTCTGGATGAATCTGCAGATCAATTCGTATTTCGCAATTCAAGAAGAATAACTGCGACCTAACCTCAAAGATCTTCTCGTTAAGTCTCGGTTAGTATCCCTGTCTTTAAGTACTAGAAGCCTTGTTAGGCGCGCTAGAAAATCCTCGAAAAAATAAGAAAACAACAACCAAAAAAAAAAAAAAAAAAAAAAAAAAAAAAAAGAGAACAAGCAAAGAAAAGAAAGGAAAAATAAAGGAAAGGAAAGGAAAAGGAAAAGGAAAAAAGAAAGAAGGGTCAAGGCCGAAAGCCCACCAACCGCAATGTCGAGGCAATCGGTTCTTGCGTCTCGAGTTAGAGTGATATCATAGGAGCGATGATGTAAAAGTGCAAAATTCGATCCGCCTGACGTGTCATCCTCCAATTGCCGTTTAACTGGATATGGAATGGTCCCTCTCGCCGGGATAGTAGTTAGCTCGAGAAAGAGAAATGGGCCGAGCATGCTTACTATCATTCAGGACAAGAAACAACCAATTGCACGAATAAAGTCCCTGCAGTCGGATGGGATGTACGTCGTGGTTAAGTAAAATCGTGGAAAGGGAGGGAAATTTGCGCTCGAAACCGCCCAGCGCAGACACAGCGGGTAATATATCCTGATACTTTTCAAAGTTTCATGCTTTGCCGCTCCCCACGGGGCGGCAGACGCAGACCACTCCTGCGTGGCTCCAGGAAGGTAAATTTACACACGGAGAACACACAGCATACTGTGATGTACTCCGTACGGTATATGTGTGGCAGAGTCGGATCTGATTGGCATGGAGATATTTCCGTGAGAAAGCTTTCAAAAGCCGTGGAGTCGCAGATGTGCCTGAACCCATACGACAGGGTGAGCGTGGACCAGGGTGTGGAATTTGTTGTCAATCCCTGCAACATGTAGTATTCCCCTTGCCCCCAGGTCCAGACCATATACCATATGCATACGGCCACATATTTTATTTCATTTTTATTTTATTTTTTCTTTTTCCATTTTTCTTTTGTTCCATATTTTTCCTTTTTTTTTTTTTTTTTTTTTTTTTTGGGAGCCTCCACGACGAAGCTCGGTGGTTGCTCCGCACCCGGTAGAAGCATGATGCGCGGTGCGTGGGCATGCATCCAGCCCGGCGGAAATTCTGCTGGTGGCCCCTGTCTCACCGCCCTGGGCTAAGCTGCTAATTAGTAGCTAGGCAAAGCTGGTTCCGTCGCAAGACACTCACCGCCCACAACGCGGAAACTGAGGACAAGAGCTAGTCTGGATGGTGTCTGGGAGGGTTTAATTTGGAGGAAAGGTGAGGGAGGGTTGAATCTTGGGAGGAAATACACTGCGAGACCGTGCAGTCCTGTTTGAGCCGAAAAAAAGAAGATAAGTCGTCAGGCTCTGCTGTCAATTGACGTGAAGAAGTCTCCTTGCCATTTCGCCACAACTTGTTCCATTGCTCAGCCGGTGATCGATATTTGACTTTCTGGGGGGTCTTTCCGCGCCAGTCAGAAGACCAAGATTGAGTTGGAGCTGTCTTTTTTTTTTTAAACATCATCTCTCCATCTTCAGATACGCCACTCTCTCTCTCTCTCTCCCTCTCATTTTTTTTCTGCCTCAAACCCACACAGTACCTCTCCTTTTCCTCCTTCTCACTCTCCCTGCCTCTCTTATTTTTCTTTTTCTTTATTCTCTCCCTGCCTGTCCGCCCTGACCTTCACCTCTGTGCTCTCCCTCTGTACCACCATCCCGCAACAGTTGTCACCTCCAGTGACGTTTGGGTAACTACCTCCCCGCCCTTTTGATCTTCACGCTTTCCATAAAATCCCCCCCTCCCAAGTACCTCTCACCTCTCGTGCTCCTGAACTGCTCCTCACACCACCTCACACGCGTCCTCGCTTTCTGCCAGCTCTCTAATTGTTCATTTGCTCCTCCAGCTCTCGCTCTCTCTCGCGCTCTGCCCTGGGGGTTCCGGTCCTTGCTCCAGTTGATTCGCAAATTTTTCTTAATTTTCTTGTTTTTTTCCTCTTCTCTTCTCTCGGGACAGACCCCCTTTCAGAAGAAGAAACACAAAAGGGCTCTTCAACTGCGCTCATTTGCCTCGTGTCGGAACTCTGTCATAAACCCTTTCAAGAATTGTGCCCCTTGCCCACCTGATATCCCACTTGGTCACTGTCGTTTGCGCGTGCCAGTTCTTCCAGTCAATAACTTTCGTGTCATTCTTTCGTCTTCCCACTCACGACCACACACCCTGTATCATGGAAACTGCCCAATCACAATAACGGTTGAAGAAAGATAAGCACCAGGCTCGATAGAAATATGGAGTCTGTTGCTACTGCCAACGGCCTGCGGGACCAGATCGAGAATGAAACCCTCAGAAGCGCCCTGCAGTACCTGCAGACCAGTTCACCTATCATCATCGTCATTGTTTTCGCTATAACCTTTGTAGCAAACTCGATCATATCCGCCAAACACATCAAGAGCAATGCTGCTGTTACGACCGGCCCTGGTGGCAGACCCCTCCCCAGGCGCATGCGGAGTACGGCCGTGGTCACAACCCGCTTGGCACCAGATTTCTCGGCCACGACGAAGCTCGCGTTCAAATGGCTCTCGGTCGGCGTGCTGTTGACCTTTGTCGCCGATGCAGCCTTGACCATGGTCCACACCATCTTCTATCGCCAAGAGCATTGGTGGGCAGGACAATCCGTCGTGGTACGTAAACCCCGTCGACGCTCGCATTATCAAGTGCTAACCGTGTGGCTTGCTAGATCTATATCGTGGGTTCGTTCTTCGCTTGGGCCATTGTCTTGGTATCTCTGGTCGATACCACTCCGTCTCCAACCTTCGCACAACTGTACCCATGGGTGCTAGCTATGCCTCTGGAAGTGGCTATCCTGGCCGCGCATCTCGCTTTGTATACAGGCCCTCACCATGAACCGGCCATCGGTGATCCGAGCGGTGGTCCTATTAGGAAAAGCATCACTGGATGGGAATCAACAGAGGTCGTCATCGCTATTGTTCGCCTTTTGGCCTTCGTGGGAATTGTCCTGCTGTATACCTTTAGCTCTGTTGGCTGGATGGACAACAACAATGGGGCCGGCGAGTCCACAGAAACAACAAGATTGCTGAGCTCCGCATCTGCCATTAACAACGGTACGAATGGGTACGGATCGTCTCACCAAAACTCCAAAGCTCAGAACCCTAAACCCGTTGAAGCAGAAGCCGCTTGGGTTCGACCAGTCTCCGTTCCTTCAACTAGTTGGTGGGAATATCTCAGTGGATATTCCATTTTTTTCCCTTATCTGTGGCCTTCAAAATCTCGCCGATTGCAGTTGACAGTGGTCTTTTGCTTTGGCCTTGTTATATTGCAACGAGTAGTCAACGTCCTAGTGCCGCATCAGATCGGTACAATAACAAACGTCCTTTCTCAGGATGGGGGCGAATCCTTCTATATTCCTTGGGGAGGAATATGCCTATACGTCTTTTATCGCTGGCTGCAAGGAAATCAAGGTTTGATCGGATCATTGCGTTCGTTCCTCTGGATTCCAGTCAGTCAATATTCCTATATGGAACTTTCTACTGCAGCATTTGAACATGTGCATGGTCTTAGCTTGGATTTTCACCTTGGAAAGAAAACTGGCGAGGTGATTTCAGCATTGAACAAAGGAAATTCCATAAATACTTTTCTGGAGCAAGTGACCTTCCAGGTGGTGCCCATGCTTGTTGATTTGTGCGTTGCGGTCGCTTATTTTGCTATCGCATTTGACGTGTACTATGCCCTGGTGGTAACTGTGGTCACTTTTGTCTATCTTTATGTGACAGTTCGCCTGGCACAATGGAGAGCAGAGATGCGGCGACAGATGGTCAATGCAAACAGACAGGAGGATGCAGTCAAGTAAGTGTGGAAGTTGTCTTTTGTTGTCCTTGAGTGGAAATGAAGTTTTTTTTCCCCCCTTTTACCTAACATTTGCTGCAGAAATGATTCAATGGTGTCGTATGAAACAGTGAAATATTTCAACGCCGAGCAATACGAATTCGACCGTTATCGTGATGCCGTCAAAGACTTTCAGAAGGCAGAGTATCAAGTTCTCTTCTCACTCACATTGCTGAACACAACTCAGAACACTGTCTTCATGCTGGGACTGATGATAACCTGTTTTATTGCTGCATTTCAAGTAGCCACAGGAGAGCGCAAGGTAGGCCAATTTGTGGCACTGTTGACATACATGGCGCAGCTTCAGGGACCATTGAATTTCTTTGGCACATTCTACCGGTCAATTCAATCTGCCTTGATCAATTCGGAGCGAATGCTGGAGCTCTTTAGAGAACAGCCAACCGTCATTGACGGTCCCTCAGCGTCCACATTGTCGCGTTGTACTGGGGATATCAAATTTAACAATGTTGAATTTGCATATGACTGCCGCAAACCGGCGTTGAATGGCTTGACTTTCCACTGTGAGCCGGGAACCACTACTGCTCTTGTAGGGGAGTCCGGGGGTGGCAAATCGACAGTGTTCCGTCTTCTCTTCCGGTTCTACAACGCTCTTTCAGGAAGTATCTTGATCGACGACCGCGATGTTGACACCATCACGATTGACTCTCTTCGTAGCCACATTGGCGTTGTTCCGCAGGATACTGTCCTTTTCAATGAGACTCTGATGTACAACTTGAAATATGCAAACCCGTCGGCAACTGACGAAGATGTATTTGATGCATGCCGCGCTGCTAGCATTCATGATAGGATCCTTACCTTCCCAGATGGTTACGAAACTAAGGTTGGAGAGCGTGGTCTTCGATTGAGTGGCGGTGAAAAGCAGCGAGTAGCTATTGCACGCACCATTTTGAAAAACCCGCGCATTATCTTACTTGACGAGGCTACCGCTGCGCTTGACACTGACACAGAAGAACATATCCAGGGGGCCTTGTCTACTCTATCCAAGGGGCGCACAATGCTTGTCATCGCTCACCGTTTAAGCACTATAACTACTGCTGACCAGATTCTTGTGCTTCACAACGGGCAAGTTATTGAAAAGGGGAATCACGAGCAACTGCTCGCGATGAGAGGACGATATGCCAGCATGTGGCGAAAGCAAATCCGAGCACAGCGCGCGGCGGCAGAGGCGCAGGTACTGCAGGTTCGTGCAGAGCGTCTGCGAACTGCGTCCACAACAGCAGGAGGTGAGGACAGTTCAAGCCAGTCAGACGATGAAAACGTCGGCGGCGATGGAGCCACGGACCCAAAGCCTGTGCGTCCATCTTTGGGCCAGCGGTCGTCTAAAATCTCCGACACCAAGGGCCAAAGCCACTAAATTCCGCTGCTTCATAATATTCCAGTTCGAACGATGGTTAAGACGGACATGAGGAAGGAGAGCAAGGAGGAGAGGAGACAACGAGGGACGAATTTCTACTTGATGCTGAATGCGCATTCAACTCATGGCATTTACCAACGGTTCATCATCGGAGGCGTCAAGGTCATTTGTCTTTTTTTTTTCTTTTTTATGGCATTCTCTTTCTACCCAAAAAAAAAGCACTGGGACGAAGTTCATGATGTTTTCTCCTCGATATGCTGTTTTACTGTACTCGAACGCATCCTAGGCCATCAATATCCATTTTCTTTTCCTTCTCTGGACAGGACAGTTTAATATTAATTTCAACTGCTTTTTCTGCGCATTATCTTTCCGGGGAGTGTGGGGGAGGGAAGGCCTAGAATTCTTGAGTTCCATGACCGTTAAAGTTAGCGCGTCAATAAAAAAATGCATCGCTTTGCTACAATATACATTTCTTGTTCGGCTTGTATTCAGTAAAAAGAAGAGTTCTCGTCGCCTGGGGCCATTGCGCTGGGGTCGCGACGAAGCCCTGGGAGGATGTCTGGAGGGATGGACTGCCAAGCACAAGCGGAGCGGAATGGCGCACGCCAAGGCCCACCGACGCTTGGCTGCTGAGCACAGTAGAAATTCGTCCCGTTCCGTGGAACATTGTCTCAAATATGTATGTACTCTTGCGAGGTGATACAGAGCCCTTGACTTTCATTAGCCGTTGCAAAGGTGTGACATAGGCAACAAAAGCATGCATTGGCTGTGCATCACTCGCTGGAGGAAATAAAAAAGAAAGAAAAAGGGAAAAAAAATACTTTGTTTTTCCTTCACTTCTTCCAATTCCCGCAACACGCAGCGATTTTGCTTCAATAGCCGCGACCACGGGAACACTTTCGCCCGCGCGGGATAATAACTACCCGATCGCTGGGGCGACGAGACATACGTACATATGTCCGAGGTGCATGCTGTACTCTTGCATTCTCATTTTTGACACGAATCACAAAGTACACCGAAGATGCATTCTCCATCCACCCAGCTCCTTCGGATATTGCGAGCATCCATTACGTCGTCCGAAAGGGCCATTGCGCAACAACCACATCTCCGCCGGTGTCCGGTTTCCCGACCCGCCAATCCCCCCTTCATCGTGCCGATTTCGCAGCAACACCGCGCGATATCCTCTTCGGTCGACCTGAATGGCCCGGAAAGCAGCAACCATGGTGGCAACGGCAGGCAACCGCCCCTTCAGCCTCCACGACGGGCGCCGCCGCCACAGCCTCGTCGCCGCACTGAGCTCACCACCGCAGACCTGAAGCCGAAAACCCGCTACCGCGGGCCGCCGCCGCCGGAAGACTCGGACACGAACACGAGCATGCGGACGGATCTTGGGGCGTTGGATGTCTTTGCCAACGTTGCGGCTCCATCCACGGCGATTGATGCTTGTTTGGAAGATGGGTTTCATCTAAATAATGGGGTTAAGATTACCGATGGGAGTGGGTGCTTGTTGGTCGATGGCGAGGTGTTTGCGTGGAAGCCGTGGGAGGCTGGGAAGGGAGCCATGGTCAATGAGAAGGGCCAGTGGGAGGTTGCGGAAGAGGCATGGGGTGTTTTGAGTTTGGTGTGGCCGAAGCCTGGTGGGTTGAGAATGTCCTTTTCCTGCTTGTTCAATTGGTCTGGGAGGAGATGTGATATCTTTTTGGTTCGCTGACTTTTACTAACTCCTTTCTGCTCTTCGTGTAGACCTGCTTATCCTTGGTCTTGGTAGAACTATTCGCCCGATTTCGCCGGAGACGAGAAGGCATATTAACCAGCTCGGAATACGTATTGAGATCCAAGATACAAGAAACGCCGCTGCGCAGTTTAATCTTCTTGCTACGGAGCGAGGAGTTCGAGAAGTTGCTGCGGCACTGATTCCTCTAGGACGGAAAGGTTAGTGCCAATGCAGAGGGAGTTGTATACTCTACGGATCGAAAGCGTGTTTTGAGGTTTATCTACAAGTTGTCGAAGTGTACAGATAGGATTGTAAAGACGGCAGGGCTATGTTTTCCTTCAAATCGGCGAGACGAATATTGGAGGAAATCCGGTGCTTTTTTTTTTTTTTTTTTTTTTTTTTTTGGTTTGGTTTTTGGGAGGCGCATCTCCACTATTGGGCTGGATGGTTCGTTAATTACGGAGTGGATAAGCTAACTATCCTAAAGAGTTGAGCTCTCGGATAGTAAAATAAAATAAATCGTATCGAGACTAAATTACATATATCTATCAAATATCAAAGCCTTCCAAGGTCGCCCGCGTTCCAGTGTGCCTGAGCCGTCAAATGACCAAAACGGGGAGGCTTGGCGCGCCAGTGACACCAACCAAGGTTCAACAGCCCGGGGGGAGGCGCCCGTATCAGCATCATCAACCTCAACAGTAGCCTTCTCTCTTCCTGGCCTTAATCTCCTTTTACTATGAGGTGACTTGGATGCCTCTCGCTCCTATAATATCCAGTCATTTCCCCGGGTGATTTCACCCGAACCTCGCTCTGCGTTTAGACGACTGTCGTCATAATGTCCCGGAACGATCCCTTGCTAGTACCCTCCGACCACTCGCCGGAACGAAGCGATGCCGAAGAAGATGCCCTCCTCACCGGTCAGCGGACTCATCGAAGCGAGCGTCGCCGTGGTCCATCATTCTGGCGTGAAGTTGGATTGTTCTCTTGGGCTTTAATAGCCACTGCAGCCGTTATCATCCTCGCAGTCGTGTACCAGCATCAGCAGTCGACCGGTAGACGTGAAGGAAGCTTGGCCCCCGGCGATAAGCCGGCAGGAAAACGGAATCTTATTTTCATGGTCTCTGATGGAATGGGCCCTACGAGTTTGTCGATGACACGGAGCTTCCGGCAATCGCGGGATGGCCTTCCCATCGACGATATTCTCGTTTTGGATAAGCATCATATCGGACAGTCTCGAACAAGATCATCGTCTAGCTTGATTACGGACTCTGCGGCGGGCGCGACGGCATTTTCTTGTGCGAAGAAGAGTTATAACGGTGCTATCTCTGTGCTGCCCGACCATAGCCCATGCGGGACCGTCCTAGAGGCAGCGAAGGCGGCTGGGTATATGACAGGGTTGGTGGTTACAACAAGAATTACAGATGCCACCCCCGCCTGCTTTTCTTCCCATGCCAACATGCGCTCGTATGAGGACTTGATTGCAGAGCACCAAATCGGAGAATACCCGCTGGGACGCCAGGTTGATCTTATCATTGGGGGAGGCAGATGCCATTTCCTTCCAAACACTACTTCTGGCAGCTGTCGTGGTGACGCCAGAGATATTGTGCAGCTTGCCAAATCTAAAGGTTTTTCATATATTGATGACCGTGAAGGGTTCGATGGACTTAAAATGGGCAGTGCGGCCCAGCTTCCATTACTTGGCCTTATCGCGGAAAAGAATGTGCCATTCGAAATTGACCGTCGATTTCAAAACGACATATATCCTTCTCTGGAAGAAATGACTCGCACGGCCTTGAAAGCCTTAAGCGATGCCACACGCGATAGCGACAAGGGCTTCTTTATTATGATTGAAGGTTCGCGTATTGACCATGCTGGCCATGGCAATGATCCTGCCGCCCAGGTCCATGAAGTCCTAGCTTATGATAGAGCTTTTGCTGCTGTCCTGGAATTCCTTGAAAAAGACTCTACTCCCGGTGTGCTTGTTAGCACATCGGATCACGAGACCGGAGGCCTATCGGCGGCCCGGCAGCTTCATGAGTCGTATCCTGACTACAAATGGTTCCCAGGTGTCCTTGAGAATGCCACGCATTCCTCTGAGTACTTAGAGACCAAGCTCTATAACTACCTTGATGACGAAGGAAAATCCGTGCCCAAGGAGGAGCAGCGTGCGTACGTACGTCGACAATTCGTGGAGAAGGGACTTGGAATATTTGATGCGAAAAATTCCGAAATCGACCAACTCCTCCAGGCCGGCGACCCGGTGCCGGCCGCGTATGTTTTCGCTGACATGATCAGCCGAAGAGCCCAGATAGGATGGTCAACTCATGGACATTCCGGTAGGTCTTGTGGATTTTCTTCTTTTTTTTTTCTATTTTCTACAAAGCAGCTATCTGACTTATACTTTGCACTAGCTGCGGATGTGAATATCTACGCCTCTTCCCCAGAAGACGCCTTGGATCTTGTCGGTAATCACGAAAACACCGAAGTTGGCGACTTCTTAGCTAAATATCTCGACTTGGATCTTGATGCAATCACCCAAAAACTCAAGGAGACTCAAACTAGTCCAAAAGCTGCCACCCATGATTACGCCTGGATGGGCGAACCATTAGCTGATGATGTCGTCGTCGATGAACTCGACACCTACCATGGCGACTTCAAGAAACGTAGTCTCTCTGGGAGGAGCGTCAATTATATCGGCAGTGGAGGATGTGGTTGCGGAGCGGTGCATTGAATCAGCGCTCACCTATTGATTGGTCTCCTACAAGACTGAACCATTGCTTTTAATCTGGTGGAGATATCCACGTTCTGGCCCACGTGCATTTTCTATTTCTTTTCTTGGATTTTATCTGGCGAAGTGTACGGCGTTCTTTTATCAAACCAAGTGCGGAATTACATACATTTTTGTAGAGACACGGGGCCCGCTAGCTTGAGTCTCGATCGTCAATCTTGTTATCAGACATTATATTGGAGAACAAGATGTAATATCAAATGTGTTTTCTTTTTCTCTTGGCTGATTAGAAAGTACGCACAATTCTCTAAGTTTTCTCTATCTTAGCGGCATTAATGGCCCCAGAAGCCTCTGAGAAGTTTTATTGATTCCTCCTGCAGCTGGATCGGAACTAGCTGCGTTTTCTTAAAAAAAAAAAATTCCTGATGCGTAGCGATATCAAAGCCATTGTCCACCCTTGTCCGTGTGCTATCCCCCTTCCACAGGTCTCAACCAAAATTCCAACCTCCCCTTTCAGATCACCTCTTTGGGGACGGCTGTATCAAGATTGACGCCACATATTACCATGTCTATCATCCCGTGCAGAGAAGCTCATCCCCTCCAGTTCCAACCAAAGGGGCCCAGCTTCTTTTCTTTTCTTTTCTTTATACCAGCAACAAGGGGGAAGGAGGAAAAGGCGAAGTTCAAGTTCTTCCCCCCGTTCCCACAAAAAAGCAGCTCGCGCCTTCAAAGAACCTTCTTTCTCGATCCCTCCAAAGACAGACATCACACGGGTGTGGGGAGTAAATCGGGCCGATTATGTTTGTCAATGAAGGGCTGCAGTTTGGGCTGAGCTCAAAGGGAATAGCGTAGTTACTGCGCTCCCAGGAGTCATTTATCCGTTGGAGTTGGAAGAAGACGTCGTAGCAGTTGTAGGCGAGGATGTAGTCGAAGTGGTTGCATGAGTAAATTGCCCGGTTATAGAGGCACATTGTCTTCCAACGGTGAGGGGAGTTGAGAAATAGAAAGAAAAAAATAAAATAAAATAAAATAAAATAAATATAAATATAAAAATTTTCAGCTGATGAGCTGTGGTTTGCGGATTCTCTTGCCCTTATCTTGATGATAATGGCTTTTCCTGTTGGATTACCCGCGTTGACAGGGTAATATGCCATACGGATAGGTCCTACACTTAACGAGGAAAAGATGAAACAAAGAGAACGGGCTTGAAGGATATCTCCATCTTGGATATGTTGTGTTTGTATCCTGTAGACAAAAGCCACAGGCAAACCGCCCTCTCTCATAGGCCTGGCCGCTAGTTATATTTGCCATCTCAAGAAAGAAAACGAAGGAGAAAGCCAGTATGGACAATTTCGGCAATCAATCCCCGCCAAAGACTCCCCCGCCCCTCGGGACTTATATCCAGCATGCTATTTATGGCTTCACATAATCAATTGGGTCTCTCATCCAACTGGCAAGGAGGAGCATGTTTCCCTGAATGTAGTAAATATCATTAGATAGCACAGAGGTGTTTGGGTAAAGCAAATTGTGCTTTTTTTGGTCCACACATGGAAGGGGCCTGTTGAGAGCCTCCTTGATATCTGTTTGTTTGGGTATCGGAAAGGCAGAGCTTTCTGGGATATAAATCGCAGAACTGTCTCAGTGTAGGCTGACCCGAAGAATGGATCAAAGCCCACTTGGGTAGTGTAGTGTAGTGACCAAAATCTCATCGCAAATCCTGTAAACAAATATTTTAGAAGAAAACCAACCCCCCCCCCCCCCCCTTCTCCCCAAAACCAAAAAAAAAAAAAAAAAAAAAAGGAAAAGGAAAAGGAGAAAAGAAATTCAAGAGCAAAAAGAAGCTTGAATTCTTCTTGTTGGCTAAGTTCCACAGCACTTTAGATGAGGATTTTGTTCCTTTTGCTTGCTCTGAGCAAATGGACATTGGCAACAAACAAAGATGCACAAACACATAACATTTTTAACAGCCGCTGGGTGCTTACCCTAGGAAGAAATGTTCGCTGTCAAAAGAGTCCATAATACAGGATAGATACTTTCAAAACCCGGAAGAATTGACAACTGGAAATCAGTTTGTCTGTGATCGATCAGGGGGTGGGATTCATGTCTCATATTCCCTGTCAGCTTTCGAAATGTTGAACAGAAAAGAGAGAGAGAGGAGAGGGGGGGGGGTTTACAAACAAACTCACTAGTTACGCCCACAGGATGCTTAGGTTGGGCCGGCTGGTGTATGTTTGCTCTTTTCACAGAGTGAAGATTGTAGAGAATATCAAGCCAGATGGTACCAGCACGTTGCAACAGTTTTTAGACCACAAATTTCCTCGACCCAACTTTGTTCTTGGATCAGCACTGATGTACTGCCAATCGTAATAAAGTTTCCCGCAGCTGATATACTACAAGGCCGGCCCGGATCGGATGAGAATGGCAGAATCCAGCTGGGGATTGGTATGGATACCCACGCATGCTGCTATAATGTCGAAGAGAGTAAAACTGTTTGTGACTTAGTGCTTGAAAATTCAACCAGCAACCTGAGAGCTATCAGCTGCAAGAAGTAGAGAGGCCAGTTGTTGCTAATCTGATGAATGGTATTTATCTTGAATCATTATTAGTACCTATTTAATGGTGCAGACCGCCATGCTGAAAATGACATTCAAGTACTCCGTAAGCTAAAAAGCGTCAATTAAAGCGTATAGCTCTAACAATCGAGTATCCCAACTGCAAGCAGACGTGAGGGAAAAAAAGATTTTCCCTAAAATATATACAACTGTAAAAAGAGCATAGAAATATTACATGGTAACAAGGACCACAAGAGCCACAAGCACTGCAAACAGGGACCCTTTCAGCACTTGCTCGTTTTGGGGTGACGCACCGCTGCTCTCATTGCCCCGGTCGCCACCCTGAGAGAAGTCCGTGGGGTTTGGTCTATTGCCGCCGTTAGGTGAACCACCGTCGGAGCCGTCGCTGTCTCCTCGGTTCCCATCAGCTCCGGGCCCGGCACCACTCAAACCGGGAACGACTGCAAGATCGCTGGTCTGACTGGGTCTCCTGGTTCCACTGGCGGATGGATAATCCTTATCGGTGTCACGGCCGTTGCCCAGGAATGACTTCAAAACGGTATTCTTATTGGTAATCTTGACTGTATCTTCGGTTCCCTTCTCATCGGTGAAGATGTAGGACTTGCTGCCCTCAACCTTGGCGTCCTTTGGGGGATCGTAGCACTCGACGGTGACTTCATCAAAGAGAGCATAATAATAGCCGTGGTTCTTGATGTCTTCGTGGTTCCAATCAACAAGCCCGCCAGCCCATTCGATAGTGCCCTCACCATTACTTGGAAGACCGGCCGGCCAGAGGGAGAGTTGCACACGGGAGGGGGTTTGAGGGTAGGCGTATTGGTTCGAGGTCTTGTTGAAGGTTTCAGATCTCTTCTTGACGCGGACGGGCTTGCCGTCGATGGACCACGTGATCGACTCAGGCTTCCAGTCGATCTCGTAGGTGTGAAATTCATCGAAGGTGTCAGAAGCAGACGCGTTTTGTCCGTTAGTATCTGCAGGCAATATGTGAGTGCCGTTCTCAAGTACAAGAATTTTTACGAAAAAAAGGTCAGGGGAGAAGAGGAAATTGTGACTAACAGTCGGTGATTCCTTGGAAGTAGTAGTTGGTCTGAGCATTCTGCAAATCGACGCCGACAAACTCGAAGTCGATCTCGTCCTTCATGTCGGAGAGGAGGATAAATGCAGTGACCACGCCCTTGCCACGGCTAGTCTTCAACCGAGCAGTGGTCTTGCCGTACCACATGTAATGGTTGTTAGCCATGAGCGTACCAACGGTATCGGGAGCCATGGTCAAGATGAGACTGCCGTCGCTCGTCAACGGCTCGCCACTCGATACCCAGTCCGCCTTGCTCGCATCGCCAAGGTACTTTGTGTTGGGGGCGACGCCATCAAGGTTATCCCACCTGTAGGTCTTGCTCTTGCATACGGGCGCCGGAAGGCAAGAGTCGATTGCGAAGGACCATTTTGGGTCGCAGCCACCGAGGCAGTATGCACCGGAGCCGCAGTCTCCGTATTCTATATGAACAACAGCACGTTAACGATCGAGCTCCGGCGCAAAAGCATACGGAGTCGGGGTCAGTAAAGGTTTCACACACGAGAACAGCACGGAGCGCTTTCAGGGCACTTCTGGCTTGGGCCGCACTTCTGCGGCTTGGCGGCCACGAAGGCTTGGGACGAAAGGGCCAAAGCCAGTGCGTATGCCAGCAGACGAGTCATGGCGAGGAGATCGGGGGAGCAAGCAGTCGTTCAAAGGGATTTTGGGTTTTCCGCGCCCCTGGCGATGTAGACTGATATAATATAATGGGATGGACCGTATATATAGGGAGGCGTGTGTATATATACGGAGCAGGCAGCGCTGGATATTGTTCATAAACGATTTGCCCGAAAGAGATAAAAAGTTCCCGTTTCGACGCACGATCTGGGAAGGACCTACAACTTGCGCCGGGGGGAAAGATCGATGGAGTTTTAAGTGGAGATCGAAGCGGGAAAGAGCAAACGGAAGTTTTTATTGTTGGGTGGGGGGGAAGCGCGACTTCCACAACGAGGGACTGCGAAACGGGAAACCCGGAAAAAGGGGTTGCGGGAGGCAGGAAGGATGGGAGGAGACGGAAGCCCGAAAAGAAACACCAAAAAAATAAAAATAAAAATAAGCAAAGACGAAGAAGAAGAAGAAGAAGAAGAAGAAGGACGAGAGAATGAGACTCGATCTGCAAAGGGGAGAGAGCGTGAAACGAGTGACTGCTGCCTCTGGAGACGAGATGGGATGGGGTGGGATGAGAGAAGAGGAAAAAACGAAAGGTGGAAGTGGACTGGGAAAATGAGGGTCGAGGAAGATGCCAGGGAGGGCCCACTGCGAGCATGATATAACTGAGTTGACAGGCTGTGACTTGACTGACTTTGCTACCGGCTGCCACTTTCCTACGCGAGAGCGAGCAAGCTAGGATTCAGGGGGGTGTCTTCTGATACCACGCCAAGGAGAGCCCACGGAATTTCCAAAGTCAATTGCCTTGGTGAGGCTTCCACCAATCAGCAGCAACAGAACTTATAGCCACAGCCAATCAGAACCGCCGTCATCCGAAATATCCGGAAGAACAAGCATTTTGGCGCGGAAAGTCCGCAGCCGATTTGAGGGGAGAGTTCGTCAACTGCAGCCAATCAGCGGGCGAGTTCGATGCGACTTTCGTCCGTTTAGGTTTAGCGGGGCCACTTCTCATGCCACCTGATGTCTCACTCGCATAGGACAAATACAGGAAAGGGAAAAAAAAAAAAAAAAAAGAGAAAAGAAAAAGAAAAAAGAAAATAAGAGTTTAAAAATACAGGGCGGACTGCACTCGAGACAGAGCTCGGATGGTCATTCGCCGCCTCTTCCCCGGGGGTGTACGTGGAGGCGGAAAGCCTGGTCTCTTCGGGCTGTTGTTTAGCCAACTTTCGTGGTATTGTTTCGTCACAAGACGTTTGGCATGGCCTGACTTGTCCAACTTCGCCTCCTTGGGGGTGTGACTGACTAACCCGACCGGCTTCAGAGACAGACGTCTCACCAGAAACCCCATCCGATGCCCCTTGGTGTGACGCGGTGCGTGGATGTCGGAGTTTTTCCGCAGCTCCTCGATCGCCCAGCAGTCACACACCGGAAAAAAAAAGAAGAAGGGGGAGAGGGCGGGAATCAGATGAACAGGATGCCTCTGCATCACGATGGCTGATGGTCTTCTTCTGCCTGGACGTCATACATTTTGGCGGATGCGGCTCGTTCCAACAAGATGCAGGTAAACGGCGTAATTTCCAGAGATTTTGGCTGCTGCGGGGGGTTTTGGTTTGGCTTGCCGTGGGTCCCGGAAGCATGTACAGGCGGGACCCGCCTCTCATGCGTCGAAACATTACCACGTCCCCCCAGACATTTCGATCCAGGGCGTTGGTTGAAGTGAAACCGTTTGTGACATTCTCTTTTTTTGTCCGATGTTAACTCAACCTGACACCACAACCCATCAACAGTTCGAATTCTCTTTTCAACTCGCCCCTCATCCTTCTTGTTCTTTTCCTTTTTTTTTCTTTTTTTTTTTTTTTTTTCCTTCCCTCAAACAAAGATCATTTTGATTGGAATGGTTGCCCACCTGGAATACTTTTCTTTAAACCATGGTTTTCGTGATCTATCAATTTCAAACCGGACAAGCTCAAATTAGTGTTGTATTCACGTCGTCCATGGAAAACAAAATCATTTGATACGCGTGCAATCAGCGTGCCAGGTGTGCTGGTAAAAAGTATTTCCACTGTGATGGAGCAGAGGATTGTCAGAAGTTCAGACAAATGAAGAGCAAATGTCGGTCCGAGCGGCTGATTTAAAATCACTTGCATTCCCGACCCGCTCGCTTCGCTGATCCCCAGCTGAAGAATGCGGGGTTTTAGCGCGTCGTCCCGCTGCTGCCTGGCGATGTCGCGTTTGTATTTATTCTCACGGGAGTTGTTGGATCAGCGAATCCCCCATCTGGCACCACCACGAGGGTCACTCACCGCCGACGAGATGTCTTCCACCGAGCCCTCGCCAAACCGCCGTGGCTACCACGGCTCCTGCCACTGCGGCAAAGTGCGTTATATCGCCTTCGCTACTATACCTCCGCCGGTCGGGCCCGGGATTGACCGGAAGAACGCGATGCGGTTCTACAAGTGCAACTGCTCGACGTGCCTCAAGATGGGGATTTTCCACATGCGTTTACCCAACCCCGCGAAGGACTTCGTTCTACTCTCCCCGTCAGATCCAGCGGAACTTTCGAACTATACCTGCTTTGAAAAGAACCTAGATTGGCGCTTCTGCCCCACCTGCGGCGTGCGATGCTTTACCGTTTGTACGAACGGTCAGAGTGAGGAGATCGATCTTGAAGCAAAGCTGGGCAAGCCGAGCGAGGGGAAGATGACCAGAATATGGAGAATGGGCGAGGAGAAGTGGGAACCCGGGTCGAAGGGGTATCTCAGTGTCAATGCCCATACGATAGACCAGGACCAGGAACGGTTCGATATGAGGGAGCTGGTCGACAAGAAGTGGGTGGAGTATCTCGACGGCAAGGAATGGGCACAACCGCCGCGATATGACTATCCGTATCCCGGGGGCACATGGTAGTCGGGAGTAGTACGGAGCAGACATACTCCTCATATGTCGTGACGCAGCGTAGTCTTTTCCGTCACGCTCGAGGTAGAGCTCTAGCTCACGTGGTGTTCTAGTTAGGCTGAACAAAAACTCCACTTCCTGCTGATTTTTGGGCTTCACAACGTTTCTTCTTTTACCTTTCAACCAAAGTCAAGTGTCTGGTTTAATGGTGGCAAGAAGAAGAAAATGGCATGTAAAGACTTGCTATTCAACCGGTGGTGATTTCAAGCTATTCATAAAACATAATATCGCCACCCTGAAATGGACATTCCGCATCCAAGTCATTCCAACCCATCCACATCGGCTGGAGCTTCGATCCGAGGATCCCGGAGCCCCATGCCCCGTGGAAGTGGGAAGGGGGAGAAAAAAAAAAAATAAATAAAAGAGGACGGCTGAGAGAACAGAAATCCAACCACGAAAAACAGCAGAGCGGACCAGTTAGCCATAACCTCGACGATATTCCCTGAAGCAATCTTGAAGACAGTGGTCCACGGGGAAGGGGAAAAAAAAAATCACTCCTTTACAAACATCGTCGAGGGTTCTGAACATCTGGCCACGAGAGGACTGAGCAGACAAGCAAAATCAAGCACGGGCCCGTAAAATCCATCCCACGACTCAAATCAACTTTGGGGAGACAAATTGTCAATCAATGCGGGCAGTTCACGAAACGAGGCTGCGGGGGTACTCACTTATGCCCCGGCTCTCCGTCCCCGGTTGCGACGATGCTGCGGCACACCGATTTGAGATTCGAGGTTCAGCTGTTTCTCGCACGGATCCGTCGAGAATGTGACCTGAACGTCATAGTACGGGTTGGATTTGTGGATGGCAAGATCGAGGAAATGGTCGCGAACAGTGCGTGCCGTGGCAACGCTCTTGAAGACGGCGGTCACTACGCACATTAGCTTCCTTACACCCCAGTGAGATATCTTTGGGAGTAGAGAAGATGAGGGGAAACAGGAAAATAAAAAGAAGAGAAGGAGGGAGGGTGTTTTACCATTTCCGGTATTGAAAGCCCAGACAAACTCGATTGCTTCGGCTCCAACTAGCTGTCCCATGTCGTTCAGGATCTTCTTCACGGTCAAGTTCCCCCCAAGGAGACCTCCACGAGCGAATGTCAATCTGCGCCGCTCACGAGGCTTGGCCTCCATCTTGCGAATCTCCTTGTCCCAGGCGAATTCTGCCGCAGAGACGATCTTATAAGAGCCACCGAACAAACCCGATCCAGTTCTTGCACGTTTGCTTCGCTCCTGTCCCAGAAAAGCTACCGCGTGAGCTGATTTCTGGAAAGTGATTTCAGCGAAGTTCTGGGCGTAATTGATCTCCACGCTGAAGAGCGGTCCCTCGCGGATCTTCGAGGTCAGGAAATTGAGCGAATGAGGCCCGAAGACACCGCTGATAGTCAGCATTGCCGCCTTCTCCTCGGCCACGTCCAAGATCGGCGGGTGGCCAACCGGAACAACGGGATTGATCTGAGAAGGAATAGTCGCGGTGAGCCCAAGTGCACCTACAACGGCCTTAACGGTCCCCGAGGAGGTGGCCTGGGCAGAGCTCGAGCCAGACATTGCGCCTGGAGCTTGACGCGCGACGTCGGAGTATAACATCAAGCTCTGGCCATTCTTGTTAGCTACCTGTTTAGGAGCTGACGGCTCGGCCCGCGGTGCGACCTGATTAGCCTGAAACGAATCGTCAGTAAATTTTACAGCCTCGCGTTTTTTATTTTTAGTTTTTTTTCTTTCTTGCCCTACGGGGCAATTTTTGCTATACCTGATGCATGATCATCTGGTCATCGTTAAACTTGATCACCGCGTTGGTGAAGATGTTGATAACTTCATGGACGTTTCGTGCGATTCTATTTGCGGACTCCACGAACTCGTGAGCCCGAAGCTGTATTGGCCATCAGCATATCGTTTTCCGAGTCCCTGAGGGGAGAAATAGCACTCGAAGGACAACTTACGTGCTCAGTGATGTCGTTCATCTTGTTGATGACATCCACCATGGCATCATCGATCCTTTGCGCCATCTTGCTTGCGGGCCGATTTCGCTTCTTTTCTGAGCCGCAGTATACTAAAGTCGGTTTCAGCAGTTGAGGGGAGAAATGGAAAAGAGAAGGTTTGGAAAAAAAAGAAAGGGAGAAAGAAAGAAAGAAAGAAAGAAAAGACTAACAGTTCTTCTCTGAGAGGGGCGTTGATGCGAGCTGATTGTATACGTGAACCCAATGACGGCCCGGCAACAGAAGATACACGAAAAGACGACAACAACTTCACTGAGGGTTAAAAGGACGCTGATAGTCCTAAGCTGAAATAAATATCACCAAGCCAATGCTGACAAGCAGGTGTTGAACAAATTCTGCTTGCAAGAAAGTGTGATAATGACTGAAAGGCTAAGCAGGTTGATGAACGTTGACACTCCTCAGCAACAAGAGACAACTGTGAATGCAATCGGATGTTCAAGTGACATATGTGTCGCTGCGGCAAAAAGAAAAAAAGAACAATTACTTGTGTGATACTGGCAAATAGAAACCTCCCGGCAACTATCTTGGGAAGAGACCTAACCGAATCTCTTTTCCCCCGGCCCTTCCCACAATCCAGCTTTGACAATAAGGCATATCCAGCCACACAGGAGAGAAGAGGGAATGTGTGTCTTCGTGTGTTCAGTAAGGATTTCCCACTATTAATTCAAATATATAACCAGTGAGTTCAAAGTATAATTGAAAAAAAAAAAATATAAATAAAAATAACGCTTCGAGAAAAGTCTTGAAAGCAGGAACAGAGAGGGAAACCAGCAGACCATTATCTTAACTCTGTATTTTTTTTTTTTTTTCCTTAGAGAATGGCGGATATCTCCCGGGCCTTTTGAATGAGGTACTCCATAGGGAGAGACTGTTTTATGTAACGGTAACCCACCCCTTTTTTACGCGTTTAGAGCCAGCCATGTGGCGGATTTGCGCGCAGCAGGGCAATCAACAAGCAATCTACTGCCTTGACTCTTTTCTGATAAACTTGTACGCTCATGTCCCTCCCTTCCATTTTTTTTCTTTTTTTTGTTTTTCAAAAGCAGAAACATCCATTGAAAGATATGTCCTTTGAATAGCTTCTCATGTTTGATTAACTGACATTCTTTGTAGGAGTGAGGATCAAGAAAACAGCTTTCTTTTGCTTTTATATATATATAAATATATATATTTGACATCTGCAAACATTCAAAACGCTGTTTCTCCGCCCCTGAGGAAATTATTCGACCGAGCCGTGGAGCTCTCAAAGCTTTTAGCGACAAAAGTTTTTTCGTTTTCGATTTCCGTCAAAAAAAGGGGACACAATGCAGGCTACTCGAAAGCAGACAGGAAAACGTACCCAGAAATCAAAAATAAGCGTGCAGCGAGACATCAAAGAAATGCATTTAAACATAACTTTCATTATCACATTGCTCATCGATCATTAACTGTCTAATTATATCTATTTTGGCAGCATCAAAAAAAAAAAAAAAAAAAAAAAAAAAAAGGAAAGGGGACAAAAGAAGGGAAGAGGCCGGGTTCTTCATTTTAATTCCCTCCCAACAATCGTCTCTTGAGCTCTTTCACCATGGCTCTACGGGTATCCCCCGTTCTCAGAGCGGCATCCCGGTTCTCCTCTCCCCTTCGCAGCAAATATTTCGTGCATTCCCCAACGGTACCCCATATAAGCGCCTTATACGGCTTTGGGATCTCCAGCTTGCCTCCGTTCAAGTCTTGAGCTTGTGTACGTTGCTGGACGAGTTCGCAGCTGATATCGTCTGCCATTCCATAGAGCTGGCCGTACGACATTTCAATTTGATCTTCCCCCCGTCGAATTTGCTCCTCGCGGATATTCAGAGCTCGCTGGATGGAGGCGCGGTTGTGCGACGCGAGTACGAGATTGACCTCGGGGAACGATCCCGGCCCGTTGGGAGGCTTAACAAGCAATTCGCCATATTGTCGTCTCATCACACTTTCGGCAAGACTATCGTAAGCCTCGTCTGTTTTCTCCTTTGTATCCCAGATGAGATGTCGCGGTTCAGTCCCAAGGTAGGCGCCCCGCACCAATTTAACGCCGAGCACGAAGCCCTGCGACTGCGCGATAGCTGAATGTTTGGCGAGCGTGGACGGGGTGGAGCGCAGGTAAGCCTGGTAGGTGCCATATATCAACGCTTGGCGGCTGGGCGCATTGTTGTACCGTCGTGCGTACTCGATTGTCCACTCGTCTATTGTCGGCTGCACCGCCTGCTGTTCCGCGTCGATGAGCAACCGCACTCCGCGGTCTCTAGCTCTATCACAAATGGCGGCTATTGCCTGCTCGAGGTCCGGACACGGACGCTCTCCCCTGACCAGCTGCTGGACGGCCTTCCGCCCAGCCCCGGTGAACTTGACCGCCACGAAACTTCCTTCCCCCGCCAAATCGACAGTTGCGATTGTTCCATCCCTCCATGCAAAGATATCCTCCTGCAGCTTCTGCGCAGTGCCAATTTGAATTCCAGCATTCTGCCCCATCGCAGATGCTTCACGCTCATCCATGACTATCTCTCTCGCATAGCCCAGGATCACGCCAGAATACCCAAGATGCTTTATCTGCCTGACGCATTGGCGTACTTCGGCAGGGGTCTCACCGGCGCAGAATTGCGCATATATGGTGTTTGCCATGACATACTTCAGGGCGAAGTTCTGATCAGGATTCAGGATTGAAGACTTGGAATTAGCTATCAACGACATTACACCTATAGCAGGGGCAAGCAGGGACGGGGATGAAGACACTGTGGTTATCAACAAAGAGCGCAGAACAGCCGACAGAGGTAGGATGGAGAGCGGGGAAGGAGAAGGGGTTAGAGTGAGGGCGGGCGGGGAAGCCACTGAGAAGATGGACTTTGGAGGAGCAATGGTACGGGGAAGACCTGAGGAGAACCTCCCTGAGGTAGGACCTGAGGTGGAAGACAGGTCAGACTGCTGACGCTGTCCCTGATGGACATATCTGACATGATTCAGGAGCTGGAGCTGGAATGTGCGCCCCGTGCTTTGGATCTTGGTGTAGCGGGACCAGCCATGTCGGTAAGTAAAAGCAACTGGTCTCATCCTTGCAGCACGATCTCTTCTGTCGTCTTCTTGGATAGCTGTGACAAGGTCAGGCAGGTAAATATAGGAGGAGATTTGACAATATTTAACAGCAGAAAGAGAGAGAGAGAGAGAGTGTGTGTGTGTGTGTGTATATGTGTATGTGTGTGGGGGTCTGGATTGCTATGAATTGGAGTTGGCCTGGATGGAGAGCTCCCAGCCTACGTCATGTGCCTCACGCGCTCTCGCCCGAAAATTGCAGCCAGAGAGGACAGTCAATGCTTGCCTGGGTGTACGGGCGGACAGTGAGAGGGGGGAAGAGAGCGAGAGAGTGTGTGAGAGAGAGAGAGAGGGAGAGGGAGAGGGAGACACGCTGGCAGTGGCTGTCGAGGAACCAGTCCAGGCCACGCCGCCACCAAAACGTTAAGAGCGCGCTCGTGACGCGGTGGTTCCGGGGGGGAGAAACACCTCATCAAGCACCCCGGGACCACAAAGGGCGTCAAGTTGGTTTTCTGTGCCATTCTCCGCACGACTTCCTGGCCATCGATGCGGATCACCCAGCAGCGGACGGCGCAAGCTCGCACACAGGATGGCGGAACTGAAGGAGTGCGACAGGGGATAGTACCGGCTAGGCCAGGTAAGGCCAGTTTGATCCCGGTTATTGTCCCCCGATGGGAATGTTTCCCCGTCTTGCTGCTATGTAGCTGCTTGCTTTGCTGGTACTCATCCGTGCTCCGTGCTCCGGTTTAGGTCGGTCGTCGCCATCGCACTCCGAGGGGAGGGGGCTTTTGGCGGCGGCGGACACGAGGTGCATGCGTGTACATCTACCTGGTGACACCCCGTCGATGCGTGCAGAGACCGGTCGAGGTCACCGGCACAGCGGAGTTAAAGGTACCTCCGGTGACATTTGGTGGAGATCCTTTCTCGTTATCTTATCTCTTAACTACATAACTAGTACGGAATAGTTAACTAGTTACTTAGTTAACAAGTTAAGTTAACTACGGGGCCCCACTTTTCCCCACAACGTTCTTTCCCGGAATTCTTTTTGTTTTTTTTGGCTGCGTCATCAAAACCGGGCAGGATCCAACCTTTAGTAGCTGCCCTGTTTGAAAAAAATGGGTTGATTTTTGCTCACTGCTTTATTATTATTATTATTATTATTATTATTCATTATTGTTGCTCACTGCTTTGCTGCTTCCTGCCATTGCTGTCTTTTACCTGCTGCTTCTGGTTCTTTTCTTTCTTTTCTTTTCTTTTTTTTTCCTTTTTTTTCCTTTAATATAAAAACATACCTTTGCCTGCCTACATAGGGAAGTGTCCCGCCCGTCTAGTTACATAGTTCGACGTCACGAGGCAAGTAGTTAGTTTCCCTTCAAGGTAACTTGCTATGTAGCTCGCAAAAAGGAACCGAATGTCGTCGTTGCACCGAGGCCGGGTCGGTGTGTTCGCTTCGGGCCTGGTCACGCATTCCGACTCGCCAATCCCGGGACTCCAGAGTTCGGCCCAGACCCCGGCCTCTCTCGCAGGTTGAATTCTAGACCCGACTGAAAGAGGCGAGCATCTTGCTCAAATCACAGTTCGAAGGAGAGGAACGGAGCACCCAATCAGCACCCGCGCCATGTGGTCTACAAGGAATATTAACCGTAAATTGGGCACGGCAACCGATGTGAATTCCTTTTTCTTTTCTTTTTTTCTTTTTTTTTCTTTTTTTTTTCAACTTGTGTCGAGATTCGACCTGCGGGCGGCAACTGGACGATGATGACGGGAGAACGGAGACATTGTCGCCAAACTCGCATGTTGAGTCTGCTTTAGTATTTTTTTTTTCTTTCGTTAGGGAACAAGCCAACACGTCCCACCTGCAAAAAAGAAAACCTCTCTCTCTCTCTCTCTGTCTCTCTCCTGAGACGTCCATTTCGCTTATCCTGCGCAAGTAGTGCTGCTGCGGATCAGTAGATCTGCCGGCTGGGCGGGCGTATTCAAATGACCTTGACATTCCGCACATATCCACTAGTTCATTTTCCTCTCTTGTGATCCGCACCTTCAGCGCCAAAAGGATCACGGACACTGGCACTCAGCTAAAATGGCCTGAGGTCCTCCTTTTTTCCTTTTTTCTTATTCCTTTTTTTTTTTTTTTTTTTTTTTTTTTTTTTTTTTTCGATCCACGCACGCTCTCAATGGCCCTTGGCTTGGACAACCGTGGGCAGCGATAGTCGGGTCGTACACTCTTCCGCGGGTGACGATCTACACGGCACCAGACCATTTCAATACGGATGCCAATAGGCCCTTCGGGAAGCAACAATAATGACCTTTAGCACAAATAGAGTACATCGAAGTGGCAGGAGACAAGATGACCTTTGATAGCCAGGCTCCTGTCCGACAAATTCAGTAAAGTGTGCAAGCGCTTAGATTGGGTATATAAATCGTGTTTATGTATAAGCAGTATGTATGTACATAGTTACATACTTTTATTAAAAAGGACTTTCGCTATTCATTTCAAACCCCTTTTTGTCTAGGGACAGTTTACTGTCAGACAGCCATGGGACCTCGAATGACGCCAGGATCTCCATAAAGCCTTTTAGGAAAGCGGTGGTAAATTTCGCACAAAGCTGTCGAAATGAAAGGAAAAAAAAAAAGGTCAGTATATGAATCATTCTCACTTGAAGCTCGCAACCCACGTAAAAGAGATGCAAATGGAGGTTTTTTTTTTTTTTTTTCACATACTGCGCAGGGCACTCGTATCCGCTTGGATTCTTATGCAGATACAGCTGATGATAATCCTCGGCATCCCACCACTGCCCGATAGGCGTCACAACGGTCGTCACCTTATTCCCCCACCACTCCTTGTTCACCTGATCCGTGATCTTCTCGGCGATGCGCTGCTGCTCGTCGTCATGCGTGAAGATAGCGCTACGGTACTGCGTCCCGATATCTCCGCCTTGTCGGTCTAGCGTCGTGGGATCATGCATGCGGTAGAAGAATTCTAAAAGCTGGCGATACGACACGACGGACGGGTCGAATACCATCTGTAGCGCTTCGGCGTCTGGAGAGGGGAAAAAAGAAAAAAAGTATCGGATATATGATCAGCAAAGAACAAAGAAACCCACGCCATCCCAGAAAAAAAGAACAAAAAAAATAATAACACTAATAAAACACAAAGTGATATCAAGTACTCCACTCGCTTCCCGTAGAGGAAAGCAAAGGAAACCCAAGGATACACCAGGCCACAAGAAACAGCTAAAAAAAAAAAAAAAAAAAAAGAGACGACAAGGCGGGGGAGGGTAGGATTCACAGCAACTGTAAGGAGATGTATAGTCTACATACGCCCCGTCATGCCCGAACACACACTTCTATACGTAGGCGCCTTTGTATCTCCTCCACAGTATCCCACCCTGGCATCCAGGAGACCCTTCCCGTTCCCAAACTGTTTCCGGAACAGGTGTTCGACCCCCCAGAAACAGCCCGCGGCGATGGTGGCCTTCTGTGCGTTTGCGGGAAAGTTCAGCGCGGCGAGGGATTCTGCCGGCCCCACGGAGAGCGAGGTATTGGCGGTGGAGGAGAATGGCCGAAAGAGACGCGAGAACAGAGACATGGCGAATTGAGGTCCTGAAAAGGCACACGAGGGGATGTAGGAGATGGGAGTGTGCTTTATAAATAGAGAGCGAACGAAACGCAACGCAGAGGGAGTTGATAGATACGCGGGGAGTACTGAAACTAACAAGTCAATCAGTTATATATTTAGGATAGAGGCGATTTATCGATAAAAAGGGCCCCCGCAAATGATTCCATGCGTGATGTCTCAGTCCTGGGCAGTTGGCATCCCCTCCCGATTTCCAAGATGTCGCAGGTCGACGAAACGCCACCTTGCGACTTGTGTTTGGGAAACATTCAAGGATTACATCATGGCGAAAGCCGCGGATAGTTTCAGTCAACCGCCATCCAAAACGGTCCCTGACTCTCGACAGAGCATCGAAGCAGCAGATGCGGACGGAATTGTAATCTGCCCAAATAAAATTATGTATGATGGCCCGCCTCGTCCATTAAAATACACAGACACAGAGACACCCAAAAGACAATATTCAGAATACACATGAGAATGAAACAAAATGATTAAAGACGAAAGAAAGTACCCCGTATGAACCGACGAAGAGCGAACAAAGGGACCAAAAAGGAAAAAAAAAAAAAAAAAAAAAGCCCTCAAACATGTTTCCTTCCCCAGCAGTCCCCCAGTGCACGATGCGCCGACTCTCGTGACAAAAACGAAACGAAACAAAAAAAATTAAACCAATTCCCAGATTTACCGATACGTCCCGCTTGCAGATCCTCGAGGGCTCGCTCGCAAACTTCCGCCAGAAGAAATGGCCGTTGCGCTGAATCGAACGTTTTCTCGGCCCGCAATTGCAGCTTCACGGGGCTTGATCTCGGCGGATGTGACTCTTCGCTGCCCGGGATTCTTCATTACGGGGAGCGTTCGAGGACTCAGTACGTTAACTCTGAGATCATGGTCCTTTTCGCTTTTCACCATGCGCCTCGCTTGGGATGCTGTGAACATCGTATTTTCGCTGTTGATAGGGCTGGACGATGCACTAGTGGGACTCTGGCTGCGACGGCGAATTCGAGTGATGGCTGTACCGGACCTGAGGTTTCCCGCGTAGCTTCCGGAGATGCGTCTCATGGCCGTGGTGATCTGCATCGCCTCAAGCTTGTCTATTTTCCAATTCTCCTCATTTTCGGAGGAGTGCCCGCTGGATCGATCAAGGGACTGCCGGTTGAGAAAGTTGCTATTTTCGATCTGTCGAAGAGGTGAGCTCTCACTATCAGAGGATGGAAGTTTTGTTAGAGTGGGGGGTACTGGCGTTGGAGATCCGCTCGGTCTCTTGGATAAGAAGCCAGTCTTGAATCTGCTGCTATTCTTCATATGGATTGCGTTCAATTCTGGTGGAGCCGGAGCCGGTGAGGATTCCCTGGAGCCCCCAGAAGTCGGTAGTGGAATAGACGACGCCATGGTGGGAGCTGGTGGTAGGGTGGGTTCACATGATGATGGAGCTTCCGGTGATGCCTGGTGTTTCCGCGGAGTTTTCTCGAATTCAGCTAATGCTCCATCTTCAACGTCGTCTTTCCATCTGACAGATCTCTTTGAAGGCTTTGGTGCCTTTTTCGGAGTAAACGCCACCGCCTTCTTCGGCGCAGCTGCTTTCCGTCTTCTCGGAGAATTCTTGGCAGGTGACTGAGATGTACCTGATACCAAGGAGAGACGAACCGGTCTGGGTAGTGCGGCTGTACCCCCTAAGCTGAACTTCTTTCGTTTCTTCGGACTGCCAAGCTTGGGCGTTGAAACGGGTGCAAGGCGAATCGGACTTCCGTCAGGTTTGACGACCTGCGATGTGGTAGTAGTGCAGGTTTGAAGAAGCTTTCCGAGAATATGTTTGCCAATTTCAATGGCTTCGTTTTCACTAAGCTGGGTGATATCTTCAATAGCGGCAATCGTCTCGAAATTCGCCTGCAAGAGCATTTGCACCGTTTCCATGTCTCCTGTCTTGTCTTGTTCCGAGACTGCACTTAATGCATCTCTTTCCGCCTGCGCTTTCAGAAGCTCAGCCTCTCGTTTAAGGTTCTCCACATCCATATGATCACTCGCGTCAACCTCTCTGAGCTGCTTAATGCCGTTTTCCAGGGCCGAGTTTAAACCTCGCTCCCAATTGCACTTAGCCAATCGTTGATGATAATGTTGACGGCTACCCTCTAACTCCAGGAGGATGCCCTGGGCAGTTTTGCGAATCGCCTGGAGGTTGCCCAGCCCACCCTTACAGCCTCTGCTGTCACAAACACCATCAAAGGCAGCTATCCAAGAGGAAAGCAATGTGATACGGCGACTGACTTGTCTCAGACGCAATTTGTTATTAACTTTCTCCTCCCTCTCAGGAGCCGCATGTTCGTATGCACTGCGAAGCCGGGAGATTCCTTCCTGGACAATCCCATCTTTCTTCTCCGCTTGCTTTTTAAATTTTGCAAACGCAAGGTTTTCGTAATCTTTCTGCTGCTGTTTCAGCTCATTAATTAGAGCCATCTGTTCATCAATCTTCACAAGGAAGTCCTTCACGTGACGATTGACATTGTACACATTCCTGGTGACCTTGGTCTGAATGTTCTTGGCTCGATTCGCATATCGAAGAGTGTTCTGGGTCTCATCGAAGTGCTGGCTGGACGGACTAACGCAAACGATCATGACAGTCTTGCAATTGCCTCCAAGAGAGAATTTGAGCAATCGCGTGAGTTTTGAATTACGATAAGGGACGTGGTTCCGTTTCCGTGGATCACAGAGAGCATTAATGCAGCTGCCCAAAGCCAGCAAAGACTTGTTGATGTTTGCTCCCTCAATAAGCCGCTCTCCTCGGTTCTTGGTAGCGCTTGCGCGTTCACTTCCAGCGAGGTCGATGATACTAAGAGTTGCCATGGTGTGTGGTTCGTTAATACTGGCGTTGCGGTCCTTTTGAGCAACATTGATTTGCAGGACAGCGTGAGATCGTGAGGATGTTGCATTCGCATCCGTTGGAGACATGGTTCGGCACTCGTTGCCTCTCATAATAATGTCCATCACTTCCTGGACGTTCTGTGGATAATGACTGGACAACCCAGCCACAGAGACTGACTGATTGGCGTCTTCTCGGAGCATTAGGCCTCCTTTTGTTGTTGCTGGGACAAGCAGGTCTCGGATGGTTTCGTTGTAGATTTCAAGGTATGATAGGGACAGTTCTGTTACTTTTTCGCCTGATCGTTCAGCAATGCGTTCGAATAACTCCTGCATGGTTAAAAATATAATGCCGGGTTGTTGAGTAGTTCCGGTGATCGTGTGAGTCTTTCCACATCCGGTGGCTCCGTATGCGAACACCGTGGCATTGTACCCATCAAGGACACTATCGAGGAGATTGCGGGTCGTCGCTTCGTATACCTCCCCCTGCGTTGTGTTTTCGTCAAACACCCTGTCGAACATAAACGTTTGATCCTTGACGCGCTTGCCATTGGGAACGACACTTTTGGAGAATCTATGCACCGGGTTGTCTTCTGGAGGATCAAAGACCCTTGGTACCAAGCTTCGCATTAGCTATGCCAATGGGCAGATTTGCGACTCAAAACCCTTTGTTTACTCACAAGCACTTATCATCCACCACCTTGATCACGGATCGGATCCCCTTTTGCTGGAGCTTTGGCGTGGATATACCAGCCAGGGAGCCTTCGCCGAGGAACAATGGTCCATCATCGCATTTGGTAAGCTGGGCAGCTTCGCGTATGGTAAATGGCCGCACTCTAACTGTCACGGAGATCGAGGACGCGCCGCCAGTGGCAGCCATGCCGCCAAGGAGAAAGTGTAAACAATCCCTCTAAGCACGGCTGCAGAGCTAAGGACAGGTCTGAATCGAGAGAAGGGCAAAGAGGCGACAGAGAATACAAAGGTAGAAAAGAAGTAAAATGCGTTAGGGTCAATATAAGAGGATTGAGTCTAGCTATCGCATGCGTGTTGATGCTCTTCGGCTTGATAATGGTTGGAAAACACGGCTGAAAGTTTTCGGTACGGAGCACGGGGTGAGTTGTCGCGACAACGAGGAGACGGTAAACTCTAAATTGCGGTATAGAGTGGAGAATCGGGGTAATAGACCCAACAAATCCGACACTGTGGCGGAGTGGTTAACGCGGTGCCCTGCTACCTCCAATAGTTAGGCATTGCCTTCGGGCGCGCAGGTTCGAATCCTGCCGGTGTCGCACTCTCTATTTTTTTTCCCTCCTCAATCCGGTACATACACAACCAATTCATACAACTGACACCGTTTCTATGAACCTTATCAGGTTTTGAGCATCCTCCTACCGACCGCAGTTTTACCTACTCGCGCCTAGCTTTGAGCCTAGGATTTGCACCGCAAGACATGGTCACATCGAGCAACCCCGACGATGTTCAAAATATATTAAACCATGACCCTATATAGTGAACAAAGCTGCTGAACACCTTGAAACCGCTTGTTGGGGGCCCACCACTTAACCCAAACTTCCACCAAAACGCCCGTAGTCACAGTCCTCAAAATAGTAGTCGATATCATTTTAGTCGTCCTGCTCATCATCATCTTCACCCTCGCGCTCGCCCTCATCCTCGTCCAACCCCTCCCCTTCCTCTTCGTCTTCATCAGCATAGGTAGGAATCAAGACATCCCATCCCGCATCATCAATCTCCATTTCAAGCCCATTCTCGGTTTGGCTTTCATCTTTTGTCGCACGGAACCGGAACGCCACAGCCTGGGAGTCGCGCAAATCCGCTCCCTGTGGACTGTCACTGACTACGCTCTTCTTGATTCCAGCAGCATCTCGTTTCACTCCTTTCCGCTCCGTGGGGACTTGGAGCAAAACCCAGCCCTTCTCCAAATTGTTTCTATCAACGGGAAGGCCAAGCTCGATCCCAGAAGGGTCTTCAGGGACTTGGACTCCGTTTATTTCATCAATTCCTCGTTCTTTGAGAGCTTTTAGCAGTGTCTTTTTAATACTGTCAAATGGTTCCGCCGGCGACACGAGGAGTAGGATAGTAACATTATGGTTCTTGAACCGTAGCGTCCAGCTGAGCGGGTTGGGTTTTATTCCTGCCTGCGTACCTAGTAATTAGAACGGCAATCTTAACAGTGAACGCATTCCAAACTTTTTGCTTCCATACCATGCTCAAAAAGACCTCTTGACAGCCGGAATGATCGTTCGCTACCGGAGCGACGCGCCCGGCTTGGAGCACGAGAGCTCTTGGCGTGACAGCGGAAGCCGAGCAAGCTAGCGTCGAGCAAACTGAGCAAACTCCGGCTGGAGGATTTCTCGCCGCAAACAACAAGAAAGGACGAAAAACCAGCCGTCAGACAGGTTTACCAGGCAGCCTTCAATTCCACAATCCATTTGTTAGTCTATGGTGTGAGCTGTCCATTTGGCAGAGCGATAGTTTACAGACAGGACAAGCATGCAGCCAATTGACGAGTCGAATGCTCCTCACCGAGACGACGACGCCTCGTTGCCGACGTTCGATGCAGAGCAACCTCCGCCGCAGGTCGGATTCAAACTTGGCCCGAACGGATTTTTGGCCTCAACCGTGGCCTTTGGGACCGGTATAGGCCTGGGGTTCTCGCATGGGAGCACCAAAGCCGCATTTCGATTTCGTGCCGAAAATGCCCACCGGTTTCCCACCAGCCCGGCTGGCTGGTATCAGTACCACAAAAGCAAGAACTACGTTTCAATGATTGGAGGTTTGAAAGATGGAATAAAGCTTGGTACGAAGCTGAGTGTGGGGGTCATGGGATTTTCCTTCCTAGAGGAAATTATCAATCAAGCCCGTCACGGCAATAGGGATTTCCTTTCCACAGTGACTGCGGGTTTGACATTTTCGGGAATTTACAGCTTGTTTGGTATGTTTTATTCGATTTGGTAAATTCTATCTTGTTCCATTAGGTCTCACTCACAATGGTGATTTATAGCCCGCCACGATGTCTACACCGCTGCAAGGACAGCAAAGTTGGGCTTGAAGCTGAGTCTCGCGTATGGCTTGGCCCAAGACGCCCTTGCATTAGCCAAAGGAGATAAGCCGAGGTATCTTGCTTGGGTCACCGATAGGTTTCGTGGACGTGACTAAGAAAGCAGCACGACACTGTTTGACTATCTTCTCCTAGTTTGACGACGGTGAATCCATCGATTGACCATCGTCTAGTGACTCTTTTGGTTGAAACGGACGGTTGTTCTGGGACCTGCGATTCCGGTGACTCTGTCACGCTGGTATTTTTTGAAAATCGCACGGCCTATAAAAAGGGTCTTGAGGAATATCTATTCTTCTTGACGCCCAAACACTCTTTCTGCTTCAACACGCAGCCTCACTCCCCGTTCTTACAGGCCCACAGGACAATCCATATCGATCACGTCTCCCAAGATATCTTTCGAAATGCCCCAGACATTCAATGAGAACCTTCCAGGTTATTCGGAGAGCGTCCCTCTGGGCCACACAGCAAGCTCCTCTTCTCAGCCTCCGGCTAGTCAACCAAATGCACCCGCCATCGAAGGTACCTATGCTGGTGGGAGGACACGCCATCACCACCGCAACCAAGCCCGGCAAACGCCAGTTTCAGCATCGCCCGTCGATGGTAAATCCTTTCACACTCGGATTCGCTCAGATATTGACTCTGACGATGAATCCGATGAAGAGCTCTTCCCAGGGAGGAACTTGCAGCAAGGCAGGTGGCAGACAATTTTATATTTTGACCTCGATATAGGAGGTGAGCGTCTGCTTCATGTGGGCCGAGCGATGTATAACCCCCGAAAGGAAGACTTTGTACGGTCTAATCCGGGTCGCACGAGGCCACGCATCCCACGCGGGGTTTTCTGCCTGGAAGACACTCCCGAGTATCAGCTGTATCGCTACTACCTAGGGCCAGCATCGATTTACTTTCTGGCAAATGGGCTGGACGTCCATCCCGAGGTGATTGAGTACTGGTCTGACTGTTTTGGTGTACTTGAAGACGAGGATGGATGTTTATGGATGGATTGCGAGCTTCTACACTCGACTGCGGTGCGTGCCATCAAGCAATTATGGCATGCGTGTACAGTTTATCCCTGACTTCTCTGGCGCTGGATGGCCGAGTCTTTAACTCTCTCCTCTGGTATGAACCCTGAACTGTAGATGTGTGCCACTGGGGGACGGTTCTCGAATTGTGCCCAGGCCACTGTGTCATGTCGTCCTGCTAAGTGTATTCCTACTACTCACAGACATGGCTTCTTAATATCCTAAACTTAAAATTGAAAGAGATTCTTATTTGGCAAATGGTAGGCAGGGAGTTTGTAGTAGCACTACCATATCATGATGTAATTAGAATCCAAAGTAGCAAATCAGTTATTATCAACGTTGAACAAGTAGAATTTCGTCGCCTTATTCGCGTTCCATACTCTCCAGCCTCTCTTCTGCTTCGTGCTTCGCCTGTTCGGAGACTCTTGGGTTGTGGGCGGCACTAAAATTTTTGCACATGTTAAAAAACATTGCTGCAAGAGATGTCGCAAACCGGGTGGAGAAGTTTCAAAGACTTCTTACGCTTTCAGGCCTCTAGCGACGTTCCCTTGATCCTTGTCTTCCTCGTCTCTCTGCTCAAGCTGGCCGGTGGATTCAATATCGTGAAGTCGTTCTTCGGCATGTTGCTTGGCCGGCTCGGAGACTCTGGGGTTATGCATGGCACTATCATGGAACATTAGTACCTGACAAGGGCTCTCGATAGCGAGTCTATCTATGTCAACATACGCCTTGTAGCCACGGGCTTTGTTGGCAGCTTCCTCAGAAGAGAGTTGCTCGGTACGGTGCTCCATTTTGTAAAGTCTTCTTTTATGGTAGGATTTTCTTGTTCGGATTTCAATAGTTCCTTGGGACGTATTTAGATCTAGACTAAGCTCAAGAATAGGGAAAAGGAAGCTGGGTTCGCTGGATATAAAGCTCTGTTATATACGTCTCACAGGGAGCTTTTTGACCAGTGAAGATTTCACTGACCTATGGCATCATAATGCTCAGAATCATGATTTAAATTTCTTGTTGGACGATGAGATCATTATTTTATTACAGTAATGTTGAGCTCAAGCCTTGTAGCCTTGATAGTGACAGAATAACTGCAAGCTACGGATGGAGCTGCGATGGCCTTGTTGGAGAGGCGCTTCCTAAAGGATTTGACGGCAATAATGGACTGCAAACTGGATCTCCGCTGTAGATCGCATGGCTATTGGAGGTTGAATTGATACATGTAGTACGGAGTACTTCTGTTGAAGCACCCTTTGTATCATAAAAGTCGACACTAGGCCAAAAGGGGCCAGCACCTTGGCTGCATGTGTGGACCTTGTTAAACCTCTAGACCTTTGGGTCTAGCTCGGAAAGACGTTAAGCGCCGCCCGATAAAGCTACGAGCCTTTGGAAGCTCGCTGCTTTGCTGCATCCACCGGCTGGACTGCTGGCCACCCAAGTCCAAGATGAGGTCACCAGTCGCCCGGGTGACGTCACCGCCAACGGTGTAGATATGCACTGGGTGTCCTGAACGAGACCGCAGAGAGACGAAACTTGGCCTCATCTTGACATGGTATATGAAGAGGCGTATATAGGGCCCTTTATGTGAAATAGCCGAATGAGAGGCACTTCATCACTGTCAATTGATACCAACCACACCTACAGGCCATAGTTCACCGAAGACATCACAAGTTGATTTTATATCTTCAAAAATGAGTGCCTCACAAATCCACAATATCCATGGCCAGTTCCACCCTCATCATCACAAATGTGAACATCTGGAATCCCCAAAGGTGAGTCGAGGACCTATTTATTGGCTCTTTTGGGGCACAAACTATCCAGGGACGAGTTAGGTGTTGACGACCTGGGCACTGTGTAGCACAAACCCGGAGTCAAAGCATCGCCAAGCGACCATGCCCCAGAGTTCGCAGCAGAGACGTTCCCCCCAGGCACAGCACCCGCAGACAGAAGTTTCCAGCCCAATCCGGTAGAGGAGATCCCGGGCCAGGCAATGAACGAAAACGTCGAGGAAGCCCAGGGTAAGGAAGCGGTCAAAACTACTGCTGCCTCCACCCTGACGGGAGCAAGCTCTGCAGATGTGAACAAAGGACTGGGGCATGCAATGGAAGGAGAGTCGTCGGTAGAGTACAGACATGGTGGAGAGAAGCACAGAAAGCATGAAGGGTCCGGCTTTGAGGGCGTGGGAGCGAACCCACCTCGGGTTGGAGATGACCTGAGGAGACTCGAGAGGGAGGACACCACAGCAAAAGGCGGGAAGGCCGGCGGGAAGGGGATCCCCGCTGAAGAGAGGCAGCCCGAAACCGCCAGCAACGTTTCCGCTGAGTATCATCACCACCATCACCACCACCACGGCCACCACCAGCCCCAGACGGGTTGATTTTTGCGAGTGGTACGGAGCACTCCGTGTTCCCCAAGGCAAAGCATTGACGCTGCTGCTGTGTTAACCTAAAATCTATTTGTATGCGCCTCGGCAACGCAGACCAGTCCTGACGATAGTTAAAATAGTGAAACTCAACTCCAAGACGCGCTAGTCGCAAATGAAGTGATCTCAGCTCCGACTTGGCGTCGCTTCTTGTTCCCCAGATCCGAGCCGTAGAACATCTCTGGAACATCTAGAGAAGGACAGTGATGTTAATAGCTGAACTGCCAATACTCCCTTCAGGATCGAACAGCTAATCCAAGGTTTTAAGAGCACACCCATGTCTTTGCATTATGGATCTGTTGTAGGAGTTGGTGTTCCGCCTAACCAAGCTCACAATCATCCGAGATACACACTCTCCCCCATTCCGGCTCCATGGCGGAGCCATTCCAGTCGAGACAGAAGCTGTCTTCTGGACGTAGGACCAGCCGCTCGATGCACTTGTAGATCTGGCGGGAGAGCTCTAGGCCCGCCATGGCTTCCATGTTGCTGCTAACGGGCAGCGAGCAGAATGTGACCAGTCATTCAGAGCTCCAGAGGCTTTGTTTGCTTGTTTATTATTGTATTAGTGCTGTGGCGTTGTCCCGTCTGGTTATAAAAAAGGGGATCTTTGATGGCTCAGCGATACAATAGTGTTTGGTAGCAGTGTATTGTCAGTAAACAGTCAGCTTGCTGTAGCTGGGACTGTCTCTTTGATGTGTGACTATCATTTCCCCTCCCATCACTGTTGGCTGTGCCCATGCCTACAAGAGAGATAGCTGTCCAACTTGCTGGTCTCTGAATAATTACTGCTTACTTTTATCAATTTTTTTGATTTCCATCATCCTTGGGGTTGTTTCATCCTGCTGCGTCACAGACTTCTGGCAAAGTTACCGAGCGCGCTAACAAGGTCGCCATCCGCAGGTGCAACGGTAAGCCCAGATGCACATCAACCACATCCATTGGGCCTGGCGAGTGGAGACCTCTCCGTGTCAGACATCTCCAAGAGGATCCATTCCTCGACCTCTCGCATTCTCGTCCACCCAATCCTGTCTTTTTTCCCTCGAGCTGACCTTTTCCCTCGTGCAACTTATCAGCAGAATCTCCCTCGAACCTTTACTCGCATCCCGCCACCACCTAGCACAGATTCCCCCTCCCCGGGCTGTCGATTAGCCCAATCGCCATGCCGAGCAGTTTACCCCAGACAGCTTGAGATTTGATTTCTGGGATTGTAATGCCAGGAATGATGAGGCGCATGACCAGAGGCGCCAGCGCCTCTCCTCTCGCTAGCAAGTCTGCCACAGCAGGCGCTGACCCCATGTCTCTGATCAGGACCTTCAACTCGGAAACTAACCCTTCCCGCCCCCTCCACCCATCTCCTCTGGCCGCCTCGCAGATCCGGGGCATGCCTCTGGATTTGATCGACCGAATACGCTCCTTTCCTCTGTTCCAGTCCACCCCAGAATCGTTCCTCGCGGAGATCGGCCTGCATTTGCGGCCGCAACTAAACTCACCGAACGACTATATATTGACGGAGGGAGATGAAGCCAAGGCGATGTACTGGCTCGTTCGGGGTGCGGTGGCCGTCACCTCCCGCGATGGAGAGAGTGTATACGCAGAATTGAAGCCGGGCGCTTTCTTTGGAGAAATAGGCATACTTATGGATCGGCCCCGGACGGCGACAATCATCGCGCGCACCCGATGCTTGCTCGTGGTGCTGACCAAAGAGGACTTCAAGAATATCCTTCCACGTTTTCCTGAAGTTGAACGAGCAATAAGAGAAGAAGCTGAAGAAAGACTGCAGATTCTGGAGAAGAAGAAAACTCAGGCCCAGCCTTTACCTATTCGACCCGAGCGCCTCGCCGGTGAGCGCCGTGGATCTAAACGGCTCCACGAAGCCTTCACCGGGGATATGAGCTTGGACGATGAGCGCCGTCTCGATATCATAAGCAAGAAACGGAAATCTCCCAGTCCCGGCTTAGCGGAAGGGTCCACGTCGAGTGCTCTAGCAAATGGCCTCGTGAATGTTCGAATGCTTCTAAAGGAACTACCTTTATTTTCCCAACTTCCCCCAGATATTCTTCACTTTCTCGGCTTGAACGTGCAGCCGCGAACGTTTCCTCCCTTTACAGATATTATCCGGCAAGACTCTCAGGGCCGAGAGATCTATTTTATAGTGCGGGGAGAAGTCGAGGTCATTAACGAACGGCCAGAGTCTCGCGCCGCCCGTCGAGGAGCAGACGCGGAAAGCCATCGTGGTGTCCAAGTAAAAGCAAGGCTGAGACAAGGGCAGTACTTTGGAGAGGTCGTCAGTCTGTCATTGGCGCCGCGGCGAACTGCTACTGTCCGCTCTGTAACCGCAGTAGAGTGCTTAATGATAAGCGGAGAGGTCCTTTCTGAGTTCTGGGCGCGTTGCCCTAGGCATATCAAGGAGCAGGTCGAGCACACAGCTAAGAAGAGACTGGAAGCTGCATCGGGCGGCGACGTTGTCATGGAAGATGCGCCGCAAGTTTCTACATTTGATTCTCAAGAGCCGGTTATACCGGCTGCCCGGAGACAATCAATGCCTCTCCTTACCTTAACAGAAAGTGACCTAGACAGCTTTCACAAACCAAGCCGATTAGAGGATGCGTCTGTTTTGAGACCATCAGATCCTGACCCATATCTGAGTGTCGATTTAGATAACATGCGGGCAAGATCACGTCGGGGATCTCTTGCTCCAATTGTTCCCGAAGACGGTACCGCAGCAGATCAGCACACTCAAGCTCCTGGTTTAAATCGCTCTCCGCGCAGCCTATCACCTTCTAAGCAAACGAACGCACTCCCACAGTCATCCCTAAGCCCATTCAAACCGATATTTAGGCCTAGCTTTGGAAACAGTCGCGGAATTTTCAATGATGATATTCTCATTACAATTCTCCAGCACCTTGAACTTCATCATCTCCTCCGTCTCCGCTCAGTTTCCCGTCACTGGTCTAACCTCATTACAAAATCCCCGCATCTGCTCCATTTCCTTGACCTCAGCATTTATAATCGAAAAATTACAGACGAGGTTATCACGGATTTCATTTGCCCATTCATTGGCGACAGACCTCGTGTTGTTGACATCAACAATTGCTTCCATATGACTGACGAAGGATTCAATGCCTTGGCGAACGCATGTGGAGCCAACCTTCGAGCATTAAGGATGAAAAGTGTGTGGGATGTCACCGCTCCAGCGATTCTTGACATGGCAAACAAAGCCAAGGAGTTGCAAGAAATCGATCTTAGTAACTGCAGGAAAGTTAGTGATACGTTGCTGGCACGGGTAATTGGGTGGTTTGTCCCCGGCTCCCAGGCGCCACAGCAGCCGAATGGAAAGGGAGCACATAAGGGTCCGATGCAAACTCCTATTCAAACATCGGCTGGTGCAGTGTATGGCTGCCCTAATCTGAAAAGGCTCACGTTATCTTATTGCAAGCACGTTACGGACCGTTCTATGCATCATATTGCCGCCCATGCTGCTTCTCGCCTCGAGGAAGTTGACCTGACACGATGCACAACCATTACTGATCAAGGATTTCAGTATTGGGGCAATACGCAATTCTTCCGCTTAAGAAAACTTTGCCTTGCAGATTGCACGTATTTGACTGACAATGCTATTGTGTACCTTACTAATGCTGCGAAAGGACTGCAGGAACTCGATTTGGTAATGTCCACCGTTCAATAATGACCCTCCATTCGGTTAAAGCTGACAACAAGCCTTAGTCTTTTTGCTGCGCATTATCAGACACCGCAACTGAAGTCATTGCTCTTGGCTGTCCGCAGCTTACTCATCTTAATCTCTCCTTTTGCGGTTCAGCAGTTTCTGATGCTTCACTCCGCTCCATTGGCTTACACCTCCTGCCTCTCCGCGAGCTATCTGTTCGAGGATGCGTCCGAGTAACCGGCACAGGCGTGGAGTCAGTAGTAGATGGTTGCACTATGCTTCGGGTTTTCGATGTGAGCCAGTGTAAGAACTTAACTCCGTGGCTCGAATTTGGCTGCCACCAAAGGTTTAGCGATAGAATACGTTTTGTGACCGTTGCGCACAACGAAAAGCTGCTCAGATAACGATATCGTTTTTTTTTTTCTGGGGCTCAAACCCCCTTCTTTCCAGCTTGTGCAAAACCGTGTTTACCCGCGGCAAGCCTGACTCCCGATTTTATTTTTAGTTTATTTTTTGGAGAGACCGCTTTTCCAGTACGACATTTGCGGAGCCATCATGATTTGACCGTGTTTCCAGAGCCAGGCACTCGATGGTTAAGTGGCTATCCCAGGATTTGGATTTTTTGGACGTACAACACCCGTTTTGGATCTATATCCATCCCTCAACACGATTTACCCATGAATTTAACGACTGAGACGACCATCAAACGTTGGAGACATGAGCATTTTTCACTTCTGTATACCTCCTCCTTGTATCTTCCGACATTTATGTACAAGACTTATCTTGACATTTCACATCCTGATTAGATGGTTTGGCAATGGCACATTTTCTTTGCTGTATCACGCATATTAAAGCGATATGGTCCCCATCCCTCTATATTTGGTTTCACATTCGCTGTTGTCCACCGCTAAGCCTGTTACAAAGTTCATTTGGGTTCATTCTTTTGCATACATTCGTGTCTGTATCGGCGTTGGTTAGAAAAATCCGAGGAGCAGGAGTCGAGTGGGTCAGGCCAAAAAATGCTCTTGTCTCCTAACTTAGGTATCTAGTAGATACCATGTTGCGCAGTCAATGGCGCCCAGCATGCATTTACGGTGTTTCCTTTTTTTGATCAATCTGTTCTCATCTGCCCGGAGTACACTCGAATGAGGAGAATCACGAGGACTAAACCTAGACTCGGTCCATGTAGGCCGAGCTTTTGAAAAGGAGTCATCTGAGGCTACTTTATTGGTAGGAACCTCGTTGAAGAAAGTGTGTTGTTTTAGTCCCAGACCATAGATATATCAGACTGAATCAGTTCCCCCAGCTTGGAGACAACTATCGGGATACGGGCTCATGGACTCCATCCAAAAACCGTCGTCTTCACCCTTGCCAATGCGCCATCTACCTTCAGGCAAAAGTGGAATAATACATGCTTATCATCCAGTTCCATACGAGAGGTGGATGTACATAGTTGTTTTCATTTCCGCCTAATCCACCTGAGGGGAATTCGATGCTTAGGGAACTTGTGAGCTTCACCGTATTAAGACGCCCTGACTGTATGCCCAAAGTGTCATGCTAGCCCTCACTTTGTAAGCCATTGGATTCCATAAAAACTCAAGCTGTAGGTAAGGGTGAGGCGGCATCCCTATAACAGCATGCAGTTCCTATGGTTCTCATCCTCACATAAGGCATGCTGTGAGGAGTTCCTCTATCTATCTGCAGGCCTGTTCATTGTTCATATATACGATGAACAGGGCATTGTCTTCATAGTCAACGACTTATGGTATGAACAATGCAGATCGTGCTTTCAAAGCAAAGGGTGAAGAAATTTATGAAGGATGAAATAATCACTGGTCAAGCGTTAGTGTGCTCCTTCTATATATCAAAGAAGTTCTCAAATTACACTCACTCTCTCCTGTGGTTTTGGCCTTGATATGGTGCTTCTGCTCTAAAAGGGGTATAGACAGAGCCTGGGCATCTTTCAGGGCCCCTAAACAATCATCATTCTTTCTAGTTCCTGGTGTGCACAAAGCACATCAAAGGACTTCACCTGTTGGCTCTTTTGAGGAACAGAATGTCCATTCTGCCTCCTCTTTTTCGCGCTAAACAGCATGCCAGTTCTGTTCAGGGCGGGAAGCTCCGCGAGCTTTCACACAACATGCCTCACGTGCTCTTCCTTCTTCAGTGAAGAGAATATATAATTGCTCCAGAACATAACAACAATCTGCTTTTGCCAGTCTCCACCTTTTTCTCACTTTAGCAAGACATTCAGCTGAAAGGTTTCTCACTTCATTCCACAGCCGCTTGTGGAAATTCACTGAGCCTTTCTCTTCCTGGGAGCTGTCAACAGTAGCGTTTCCAGGGCCTCCTTTTCATTCCAAGATATCACTTCGCGTCATCTAACGCCTTGGATCAACAACATACCTAAAAAAAAGATGACTTCATCTAACAAACGCGAGGCACAGGAATCTCCTAACGGGCGACAGCAACAAAAGAAAGAAGATTGGGTAGCATTCATCAACCTCGAAGGCAGCGACCAGACAGCCGAAGAGGCGATGAACGGGGAAGAAGAGAGGCAACCAGAAGCCCAAGAGGCTCCAGCTCCTTCTTCTACCACGCGTCGTCGTCCTACTAAAAAACCACGGCGAAGCAAGAACAGTCCGGAACCTGATTACTCTGCTATGGTCCAAGGACAGATGGCAGGAACTCATAGAACTGGGCAGGCATGCGATCGTTGCAAGGTATGTCATTGTCTCTCACGTTGCATTGCTTTAAACAGCAACAGGTGTTGTCAAGAGCATCCTCATCGGGGCGTTGAACATGTGGAAGAGAATTTATAAAAAGCCATTATGGCCCCTAATCCCTTTCAATGACCAACAGAAAGCCTTTAGTCAAGGAAATGTTGGTATACGGCATCCTGTGCTTCTGAACAATGCGAATGTGTTGTAAAGCGGCGTGCTTGTGCCGTTAACTTCCTGCTACTGAATAGCACGAGTCCACCAGCAATAGCAACTAAATGTCGCAAAGGCTGATATTATCACTTTGCTAGGCTCGGAAAATGAAGTGTGACTCCAACCCAACGGGTTGTGCCAACTGTAGTGCCAGTAACTCCGCTTGCACTCAGACAGATCCGATTACGCGAGAATCATACACTCGCGGGGAGCTTGAGCGTTTGAGAGCTGACAATCAACGATTACGACAAGAAAATCAACAGCTCAGACAAGAACTTGAACGGATGCGGCCGCCAATGGGCGGCATCACAGCTCAAAGGCCCGTCGCTCAGTCCGGGGTATATGGAACGGTAAAGGGCCTTGGCAAGAAATAATCCTAATTTTTCTCACTTGCTAATTGGACATGTACCTTCCAGACTGGTACGGTGGGATACTCTTCTTTGCAAGGCTTGGGACCTCAGCTCCTGAGACAAAATACCCCGGTGTATCCAGGAACGGAGAGCATTTATGCGACTCCACGACGTTAGTCCAACTCTATCGAACATCGTAGGATGTATTCTGAAGGACAATCGCTGACAAACGCAGCAGGTCCATCTTTAGGTGGCGGAGGGAATGGTCAAAGCCAGTTTGGGCCAATGGCTCAAACCAACACTCCGACACACGGCTTTCAGGTTCCTGGTTCCCAAGATCCATTTGCGAGCAACCAAAGCCGGAGCTTTACAAACGGAGCTCCCTACGCATCCATTGCACCGGTGATGAGGCGCACGTTGTCACACGGGTATAACCCGATGGAAGCCAATGGTAGAAACAACGGGTTTCCGATTCTAGTTCCGACACAAGCACCCATGACGCCCGTTATGAGAGCTCCGAGTGGACCAAACGTCGTAATGCCACCACAGCCAGGTTTCACGCCGCCCCCATATCGGGGTCAAATGCAGCCTGCTGCCCAGACGAATCGCACGCCCGAAACCAAAGAAGAACCCCCGAGTCCAAGTCCCTTTGGGAATGGCGATTCACGGCGCCACTAGTTTAAACGGCTCCGAACTGAAAGAAGCGTTATCAGCAAAACTTCCCTTGCTACGGTGACAGGCGTAGAAAAAAGTTTCCAGTGCTTTTTCGGCCTTCTCGCTATCCCCGGTCGACTTGAATGGAGTTCCGGCTACATTGGTGGTTGGGTCTCGACGCTGGCTTCCATTCCCATCTTTTCTGTTTAATCAACTAAAATCTTCTGCGTCTTGTTCTCGGCGTTGGCGAAGGATAGGGAGCATGGCGGCGTATACCTATTGGACAGGGTACGCGCGATATTCGCATGAGAAATGGCTCTCTATATCAAGTCGACGAGAACAATAATGTAGTTAAGCATACGCATTCGCTAGAATTAGAAATATTTGTTGCGCGAACTCAAGTGCCAAAAGAGTAAGACACGAGAGTGCATGCCCCTGCGTTTCTGATCCCAGATGTGCGCAGATGATGATGGAGGGAGGTTGTGACTTCACGAGGCTGCCTGTTGCCTCGACGACAGCGCCGCTTTTCCGCATCTGGCAGAATCTCAACTTCCGCCAAGACCCGCAGCTCAAACCACAACGCTCGACGAAACGAGCCGAGAGTACCTGGTCAGAGCCAGGCAAAAGATCTATCCGGCTCCTATGCTGGATTGAATTATCCAATTTACAGTACTAAATAATGTCCCATCTCGACTTGACCCGCCATCGAACCCGATCACCCTCGCCAAGCCAAATTTTCGGCTCTTCGACCACCCTGGTCGCCACTAATTCGACGCACTCAGAGCCGTCGGCATCGTCGATTTTAAGATCGATTTTGGGGGAATATGCAGATCCTAAAAGGCCTGATGTCAGTGAGGCTGATCCAATATGCCGTCCTGTCAAGCGCGTTCATAAGACACCCGCTGTCCGAGCTTCAAGTCCGGGAAGAGAAAATGTGCCCGTGAGAACTCTGCAAAGCTCAAAGGACGCAAAAGGGGATAATTTCTCTGGTGATGGGCAGTTGACTCCCTGCGGGGGCCCCAGGCCACTAGCTGAGAGATTGTCTCCGAAATTACCGGCAAAGCAAACTAGGAGGAAGGGAATTGGCGCTCAGAAGCGAACTAAAGGCTGTGATCTCGTTGACAGGATCTTGACTGGTCGGTCAATTAAGGCCTCAGCAACAGCGGCCTCGAAATCCTCGGACTTGCCACAACCACAAAGGAAGGGAATCCCAACCTTGATTAAGGAGGCCAACCCGGGAGAGGCGGATTGGGAGGACGAGGGACTGCAACTTCCTGCAACGAAGAGAAAGTATAGCTGGACGCCAGTAAAGGACACGAATTTATCTATTATCGACCTCACCGCAAATTCCGGCTCATCGCCACCTAGTATACCCGCGCGTGGAGCCCAAAAGTTTACTTCTTTGGTATCTCGTTACGGCTTCGCAGAAACCTCGCCTTTGGCCATGAAAAATGAATTTCCCGAAGATTTCCCCACGAGGAAACGGCAGTTGGATGTAAGGTGATAAGCTGCATGATGTGCTTTAATGGCTTGCTGATACAGTTTCTAGCTCCTCCAAGGGACTACGAACAGCTCCTCATCTGAGGGAAGTTCAAATAAATCCTCAGGAAAATGCCCTTTAAAAGCTAACGGCACAAAGGGCAGGCGTTCTCGTAGAGCTACAACGATCACATCACTTTCTACAGCACAATACGGACTTAAAGATTCCCCTGTAGAATTCTTTCCATCAGTTGACACAACGGAAAGACCCTCCGGGAAACGGTCAAAGTCCCAGACCAAGAAAGGCGGGAACAAGAAGCCCGCAGGGGTATCGGACTTCAAAGTTGCGCCGACCACAGATGCCCTCAAATCTTTAGAGGACCAGGTGTACCTTTTCGGAACCTCAAGCCAGCTGGAGCGAGTCTCTTCAGACGAGGATAAGCTTGGGGTGCCTTCAACCCCGGCATCTTCCCGGGAATCTGCTCGTGATAGAACCTCTGTCTCTACACTTTCCAAATATAAAGTTTCAAGGAATCTATGGGCCGCCGGTTGGAGAGACTTAGATGGATCAGTTGCCGATATTGAGATCGTGGATATGGTTAACATCGATACTCCAAAATCCCATGAATCGTCCACGCTTACACTTCCGTCCACCTCTACCAACGCCTCTAATCAAGGGTTTACTAGCCAAAACACAATCAATGATAGAAGCAAACCGTCTCAAACAACATCTACAACTACTGAATCAACTGGCGTGGAGTCGGGGCAATTAGTTGTTCCGAGTTTGTGCGAAGACCTTTCAGAAAAGGCAGGTTATCCCGCTGTGCCGGAAAGGGAAACTCTATCTTCCAGAGAAATTACCAGCAGTAAATCTGCCTACATTGAAACCATGCCGAGTTTTCGAGGATTCACCACAGCAGAGCTGGCTCAAAAGGTAGCTGCATTTGGATTCAAGCCGATAAAGAGCCGTGAGAAAATGATATCGCTGTTGGAAAAATGCTGGCAAAGCCAGCACAAAAACTCAGCTCCAACATCACTGCCAGCAAACAACGCGAAACCTCCTGACTCTCATGCTAGCGGACAGAAGAACGTAGTTAGATGCAATACTGGAGGAAGCAACGCTTCGCATACAACTAAACGCGCCTCAAAAGCGCCTCAAAAGAAACAGTCGACTTCGTCTACATCTCTCAGTGCTGAAGGTGGGCCAAAACAAGTCGATTGCAGTCAGGAAAGACCTAACCATGCTTATCTCACACATGAGAGTACCCAAGCCTCGTCCCAGCCTGTTATTGTGATTCCGGATAGCGAAGAAAGTGGTGATGACTTTCAAGATACTTATCTAGGGTCACTTAATCGCACATCCTCCACCAATTATCATCCACCATCCGCCAATTCCATTCCTGACGGGAGTCCCCTATTTCTAAGAACGATCTCTCAAGCTAGTACTGAAGAAAAGACGTCCGACCCTTCTGATATAAACCAACAAATAACCAGGGCCATAAAAGCACAACCACGAATGACTGCTATTAATGGAATGAAGCGACCGACCTGGCTCGAAAAGATTCTCATGTACGATCCGATCTGGCTGGAGGACTTAACCGTTTGGCTCAACACCGAAGGATTAGATCGGGTTGGGGAAGACAGGGAAGTTAGCAGACTCACCGTGAGAGAATGGTGTGAGAGCAAGGGTATATGTTGCACTTGGAAAAAGCCAACTTAGTCGGAATACCTTTTCTTTTTTAAGTAAACCATTATGATGACAACCTGCGATATAAACTCATTTCTTGGGCTCTTGGGGATTGGTTACTGCGGGATTTACGGCGATGGTTAGGCGTTGGATCTTGGTTGTGCTCGACGATGATTCTTCATTGTCCAGGAACTTGATGATTAATGATAGAAGCGCACTATACCATTTGTCGCTAATGGCTTTATGACTTGGAGACCAATTTGAACGCTCCCGAATATCCAAGGCGATCATGTCGCACCTCTTATAGCTATTGCCCCCATCAGAAGCATATCAATGTGTTTCCTGGCGGCCTCCTTTGTTGTTTCACTTCCGTTCTTGCCTTGCTCAACCTCGTCCAACCTTTTAAACGTGTCAGCTCCGACCGAGCCAAACTTGTATACTTTCATTAGCCTCGCCCTATCGGTCATTGAAGCCAAGGACTCCTCTGTAAAAGGGCAAGGGAGAGCTTTGACGTTGTGCTCCAGATGTTTGGATACACTCTCGTGAGTGATCTCTGGTGCGGTTGAAACTTTTACCACGAGAAGATCTCGCGTGCTCTCTGATATGCCGAATCTGCGAAATGCATCGGCAATCTTTGTTTTTCGACCCCCTCGAAATTAGCATCCGGCGAGATCCCACCCCAGAAATAAATAAAAGAAAGGAGGGGGCTATTGCATACATTGTTGCTACCTCCTAGCGAGAATACTATTTCCGAGTGAACATTTTTCGATTTCAGACGGTTATTGATGTAATCGCGAACTGCTCTGAATATTGCTGCAAAAATATGATTTCGGGAGAAGATCTACCCGCCGATGCAATTAGATATGAACCATGCAAAGCCGATATAGATATATACATCCAGCAAGAAACAACCGTTTAAGTTCCGCGACAAGGAGGAGAAATATTCGAGGGGCATACCATGCTGGCATCAATGAATGCATACTCAAATTCAGTGTTTCCAGCTAGAAGCTGTTCCCGGAGAAAGGATGCATTCTGCAGATCGCGATACAGCGCGACATGTACCGGGTGGGATTCAGGGAGGTAGGAGAGGTGGTGAGTCTCGATAAGGGACATCCTTACAGAGCGGAAGAGAGACGGGGGAAATGGGATTAGCGGGGTTGCGGCTTGCGGTTCTTATTATCACTCTTTATGGAGCAAACCCTAGTATCAATAGCCAAATTCAAAGGCCACTATAGCCGCGATTTATCAGGTCTAAAAACGCCCCGTGAAGCCTTCTGGTACGGAGTAGTTAGATTACCTAACAAGCTCAGCACACTTTGATCTGTACATTACTCCGTATAACTACTCCGTATACAGTACTCCGTATATTCTACGGAGTAGTTACCAGAACATTCGGGGCACTGCAGCCGCTGACTAATAGTACTTCGACGTCACCAGCTCTGGATTTCCTTCCAATTCCGGTTCGCTTTATAACTTCCTCTTCGCCGGCTTCTGCAGCCTTGTTCACCGCAGCTGTTCTCGACAACGTCGCTCACAATCATGGCTTTTGTCCTCCGGCGCCCCTTTGCCGTGTCAACGGCCTTCCGCCAAATCCCCAAGTCCATCAACAACTCCACAGCCGGAATTCGCTTCATTCACAATGCGCCCAAGCAATCCGCGAAGGCTTCCTCCACCCCGTTTCTCCCCTCCTCCTTCGCCAAAGCCCGACAGAATTTCGGAGATGCTTTCCGCCGCACGTATATGCAACAGTCGTACCAGGTACAAGATCGGGGAAATCTAACTCAGAAGCTCCTCTACGGTGCCGCCATCGTAGGCGGGACAATCGTGGCGACGAATCTGATATTCAACCGAGAAACACGGGAAGATGGCGGGATGCCGCAGTATGAGCGCAGTTATTTGAACGATACGTTTATGCACACGGGTTTGGGGGTGGGTATTATTGGTATTGCGGCACGCGCCCTACATACAAGTGGATGGTCGTATAGGCTCATGCAAGCCAACCCGTGGGCGGTTATCGGCTTGAGTCTGGTAGCCAGCATTGGAACTATGTACGGCACTTTCTATACCAGCCCTGAGAAGTAAGTACTCTCTCTCTTGTTCGAGCTCTCCTCCGTTAGAGAAACCCCCATCAGTACTAACATCGATCGTTGCACAGCTACGTCCAGAAATATGCCCTCTGGGCCGGTTTTAACCTCGCACAAGCCGCCGTGCTCTCCCCATTAATGTTCCTCCAGCCCGCCCTTCTTGCCCGCGCTGGCTTATACACCGTTGGCATGATGGGTTCCATCGCTTTTGTCGGTGCCACCGCCAAACAGGAGAAGTACCTGTATCTCGGAGCTCCTCTGCTCGCCGGTGTCTGCGTCGTTGCCCTCTCCGGCTTCGCTCCCTTAGTCCTCCCAGCCACGGCCACCCGAACACTCATGTGGTCTGAGCGCATCTGGCTGTACGGTGGTCTTGCGGTCTTCGGCGGCTTTACACTCTACGATATCCAGAAGATTCTCTACCATGCTCGTATGGCGGAACGCGGACTTGTAAAGAGGGATGTGGTCAACGAGAGCATCAGTCTCGAATTGGATTTCTTGAACATCTTCATTCGGATGGTTCAGATTTTGGGAATGAGAGGAAATAACAACCGGAGATAAGGGACTTAACGCCGAATTTTGAAAAACGATAAATACGTGTATTTATTACGGAGCATTTATTTGGGATGAGTCATTTCAATGGGGAGGCTTCCCTCGGGCTGGACAAACTCATTCGGTCTGAGCGGGGAACGTCCAATGGTTAATTTGTATCTGAAGCCATTTCTGATTTCCGGGGCTCCCAGCGATTGTTGTTTGTGCCCTTCTGCCTTTTCGACTTTGTTCGTTTGGTGGCGCAGTTTTTATAGACATGTTTTAATACCTGGCCAGCTTCGAGGAATTGGCCTTAAAGACGAGGAATTAAACCAATCTCCGCTCAGTCCATCAAGTTCCAAAAACTAAAATACTATGCCAAACGCAGAAAGTGCATCATACTCTAACAATAGAGCGTTTCTTCTCCCCTAATGAACCCAAAACCAAGTAAATAAAAATCCGATTGTTACCCCCAAAAACACCATGAAACCGCTAGGAGTATCCGTTCATCCGCAGGTCAAATGGAATGCTACCAACGCAAATAAAAACAAACACCCCAATGGGTCGCTCCACGCCCTTCTGGACCTAGACTTCTGCTGCTTATCTCGCGGCCTTGATCCCAGCCTACCCGGTCTCCTCCCCCATTTAGGATTTTCGTGGACTTCGGTCACCCAAGACGTTTCCTCACTGGACGACACGCCGTTTCCTTTCGTTCTTGAACCGCGAATAGGCCAATCCCCAAATCCACATAACCCGCTGCCTCCCATCTGATTCGCAGGGAAAAATATCTTAGGCAAGCCATTCTCCGCTTTCACCTGCAGCGCACCCCAGTGATCAAGGGTATAATTCTCACAAGTGGTAATTTCAGTTAACTCTAGGCGTTGATGACCACTTCTCGGGATCCTCAACTGGTGGCTAAATCCATCTTCACCGTGGCTTGAGTAAATGGCTATGATATGGCGGCCTTCGTTTCCCTTACGAAACGAGGAAATTCCGTTCATGTCGGCCAATGGATAGACTTGGTGCCCAAGGTAATCGGGGTCCACGCGGATGGCCTGTTTACGTATCTTGTTGACCAAGGCCGTAAATTTATATAAAGGGGCATCCGTGTCATAGTTTGAAAGCCAAAGAGCCTCACGATTTGCAGGAGTCCCATCGCCTGAGAGATGCTGTTCTTGGCCCTGGTAGAACATTGGAATTCCATCTGAAAGGATAGTAAATGCGATGATATTTTTAGCCAGCTGTAATACATTCAGCTGTTGGTGCACGATCCCCATTCTTGATAAGCGGCACTTACCGAAAGGTCCTTGTTGAAGGATGGAAACCGCGGCAGGTCGTGGTTTTCCGCGAAAGCACCCAAAGCGAAGGTATCGTTGCATGCCAGCATTGCGTCTTCTACCTGTCTTACAAGCGCCGTCATATTTCCGTTGCCAAACGCTTGGATCATGGCGTAGTAGATAGGGTAGTTTGGGACACTTTGGATGTGTCTCTGATACCCACAAGCGGTCTCCAAATCTCTCTCATAAACCTCCCCCGTCGCAAAGACACCTGATGCGCTCACGACTTCATTCAGGTACCTCGTATCCACATGCTTCGCAGCATCTATCCGAAGACCATCAATCGAGTAGTTAGTAATGAGGCCCTCGACCCATGTCTTCATTATCTGGGTGACGGTGTCGTCCTCGGTTTTCAGGTCGGGTAATGGCACAATTTTGTCCCCAGTCCAGCACTTTTGCGCAATGTCGTAATTGTCGTAGTCAGTAATTTCGCAGTAGGGATGGAAATACTCTTCGCTATTGAAAGGGACGAAGATTGAATAATCGATGGCCTTGTCCGGGTTGCCACCGTTCGTAATGTATGCCATATTATTGATGACGACATCAACCATCAGAGAACATTCCTCGATCATGAAGGGCCTTGCTCAGATCGAGAAGATCCTGGCGGGTTCCAAAATTATCGTTCAGTTCATAGATGGTCTTAGGCCAGTAGCCGTGATAGGCATCTCCATACTCAACACTACCATCTATATTCTGAGTAACAGGCGATATCATGATCGCATCAAATCCCATGCCCTGGATATAGTTCAAGTGGTTGATTATTCCTCTCCATGTCCCACCACACGTTACGCCTTCCTTTGGGTCGCATAGCGCTGTTGAGGACCCGTCTGTCCTAGCAAACCTGTCAGTAAAAACCTGATATATTGACCTGGGTTTCCAGTCTCCGGTGTTGGCTGCAAAGGAAAAGTGAGATCCCAGGAGGCAGGTAAGTGTGATCAGGAGTATCACTGATCTTAGGATTGGTAAGAAATACATTAGCAAAGTGTTGGGTTTGTATAATAATAAGAAAAATTCATAAAGGCTGCTGAAAGACGAATATTAAACGAGTGGCAAATATACACGAGACATTAGGAAGAGTCAGAAGCCGTAAGCAAAGACGGGTATAATCTTGCAAACTTCACGGTGCACAACGACCTCAGATGGCGCAGCTGCCAGAGTTAGATATCAAACAGCATTGAAATGAGGAAGCGGCAATTGGGCAGACGGGGAAAGGCTTCACCGTCCCGTCGCAGCCTTCCGAGCCCGCCATGTACGGGTAGCATTGGAGAGCACCCGTAGGCACTCGTCCTGTGGCCATTCAAGCGCCTCGACAGTGGAGCTTTCGCGTAGTGCTATCACTCCGGCTCATAGCTTCCGAGTCGTGTATATGTGCCTGGAGCGGATGCGAATTGTTAAGAGGAACCATGTCCGAAGCAGTATGTGAAGTAATTCTTAAAATCGAGAAGAGGGATATCCCAATGTAGGCATCATCTCAAGGATAAAATCCAAACGAATGTGAACTATTGTGCTCTGTGTGGAATACATCAGTATAGCAGTGATCCAGATTTAGCGGAACAGCAGGCTGGCCTCATTCTACCGTCGTGTATCCATCACTTGCGTCCTTGAAACAAAAGGCACTTAGTTTACAATTCTCCGGAATTTGGAGGAGATATACCAAGGAGGAGCTGCGGATGCCAGGATAATGAGCCAGTCTCCTCAGGGGGCTTCAGAACCAGAATGCTGACTCATCATGACCTCGCTCGCTATGATGATGTTTCCAGCACCGGATTTCTTGCTAAGGCGGCTTCATCTGCCGCAGCGCGACTTGACTTCTTGAGACTTACTACGTTCCTAGAGATACTCTTTGCATCGAAGTTTGCCTGCCTACTATCCATAAAGATGGCTTCTGAGATGGATATCGACCAGCCCGCCTCGGACGACCGCGGACCGTCCTTCACAGGCAAGGAGACACGTACCCGCGCCGGTGCAGTCGCCGTTAGAAGCATAGAGGGATGGATCGTTCTAGCGACCAATATTCACGAGGAAGCTACAGAGGAAGACGTTACCGACTTATTCGCCGATTATGGAGAGATCAAGAATTTCAACTTGAATCTGGATCGTAGGACGGGTTATGTGAAGGTGGGGGAGGAAGATTTACCCAATGCGTCCCTATGAAGATTCAAGCAAAATTAAAACTGGTTCCTGGCGTCGATCTGACCATCTGACTACCACAGGGCTACGCGCTGATCGAATACACGACTCTCCCCGAAGCGGAGGCCGCTATCAAAGCTCTCAACGGCACAAAGCTGCTCGACCAGACCATCGAAGTTGATTTTGCCTTTGTGCGAGCGCCGGCGTCTAATAAGGGCAAATGGGCCGGTGGCAACGGAAATCGCGGCCGGGGCACCCGGGGAAGAAGTCGAAGCCGAGAGCGAAGTCGCAGCCCCGAGGCAGACAAGGCTTAATGAGTGACGGTGGAACTAAGCACGCTCGCTATATAAGCAACAGGGCCTTTTGAAAGAGAACCGAGGAATAAAGTAAAATGATTGCCAGAGGACGCAAAATGACGTTTACATTGCAGGAGATACAGGACCTTTCTACTTGTCTGGACATGCCGCATGGGAACGCGCGTAAAGAAAGCTACGTCTGTGATGTGGTCCGAGATTCTTCTCACCAAGCGTGGTTGGCACGATTCTGAGCATAGCGGTGGCGCACCTGTTCTTGAGCCGGCTCTGTCTTCCTTAATCACTGCACCGTGCTGTGTTTTCGCGCGTTGTGGTGAGGAAGACAGGTCGGCGCTTGATGAATAAAATGATTAGGTATGTTAATAATTGGCCAATGGAAATACTACCAGTTTCAAAGCTAATAGTTCAGTTGTAGAAACAATTTATGATTTCCAAATTTAAATGAAATCTTTAATGATGCTTAGTTTGGAATAGGCACATCACTGTTTTTCGGTTCAACAAGCACATATCTGTGTATACCCCATCCCAACAATGCCCGTCCGCCACTTAGGATAGCAATGATCGCTTCACCTTGAAACCAGTAGCAAATCCATCCAAGAGGGTATGCAACGGGAAGGCCCTCCTGTCCAATCCTCTAGCAATCGGCAGCGTTCATCCCTCGTTGCCGTAGTGTGTAAATGGGAATGGTTAGGCACAAATGGTAAGGGGTTGGAAGTATATATGCCCCAGCTGCATTGAACCAAACAGAACCCAGGTGCGGCTTCCCATAAATTTGGGGCCATCTAGACCACCATAACGCATGCTTACCTGCTACTCCCTTATCCACCAGCAGGGCTTTTTTTTTTTTTTTTTTGAGAGAGCTTCTTGCGCCGTCGTTTCGGGTTTGGAACGCGATGAAAGCAGCGAGTGGGATGACTAATCTGCTGAAACCCACCGCCACGCCCGCAGCGAATGAGTGGCAGGGTTCCAGCTTCCAAGCCACTGAGGCCGGGGTCTTTCCCCGCAACGCCAGATTGAGACGCAGAAAGCGGCCGGGGAGAGTGAAGGAGGGAGGGGATCGTGCTCTTCGTCAGAGATGGCATGTTGGGGCGAAAGAGAAACACTCTCACGGCCACGGATATCTGTCCCTGCTCCTTAACAATGCTGTTCGCACGGCCGCCCCCTCCTGATTCTTTTCGATGAGTTTCGCTGCTGGCTGGCCATCCGGTTGTCCAGGCTGCTTCGGCCCCTGTCAAGCCACTGTGACTCGGTCTATCGTGGCAATTATCAGAGAATATTCATCCCCTACCTACACTATTCCCTCATTTCCTAAAGCAGGATGGGTCTCCTCTCCAATCCGCGTCTATGGAGAGGCTCCTTTCCACTCTTTCTCTGTGCATTCTTCTCGGTCACTTTTTTCCTTTGCGATGGCATCACGCTAGCAAAGCCGCTGTACCGCACCGTTGGAGGTCAGGATGATCATTTATTTCTAGAGAGACAGCAACGTCCTTTGGCTAGGCAGCAATTAGCGGGTCCGATAGATGGTCTATTTTCCGATGACGGATCCCAGAAACCCCTTCCTAAGGATCCCGGCGAGACCACGGGCACCTTGAGGTGGGTGCTGAATGCCATGAGTGTGATGCAGACGGAGTACTTCGTGATATGGCAAGCAAAATGGCCATCGGCTAATGACTGGACCGCCGCCGTCATGGGAACGCAGATTTCTGCGACTCTCTCTGCAATCTCTTCTTCCATTAACTACTTGCTCAGCTGTACTCCTGGATCCGCAGAGGCTGGCGGGGTTGATGATTCTGGCTCGGGATCCCTTAAAGTATTGGAATACGAGAATCTTATCAATTATTATTTTCACCAAGCTACTGCGTTCTGGTATGGAGAAAACTTCTTCGGCCTACGATTGCAAGCTAATGACGACATGCTCTGGGTCGTGCTCGAATGGCTGGAAAATATCAAGTTCCAAAACTTGCATTCAGATTTGCATTACCCATCACCCTCTCATCACAAAGATCCTCTGCTTGGATCCTGGCATGGGAACCAGTTCAAAATCCCGGCAGCGCATAGATCTCGCGTGTTCTACGACCTTGCCTCTAAAGGGTGGGACACCACCCTCTGCGGCGGTGGAATGATCTGGAGCCCGTGGCTGGTTCCGTATAAAAACGCAGTCACGAATGAACTTTTCGTTTCGGCAAGCATTGGGATGTATCTTTACTTCCCTGGCGATACTATCCGTGAACCTGTTTCAACCAAGACAACTTTTGACGATGATTGGGTGTCCATTCCACGCAACCCGGCCCATCTCAAAGCCGCCACCACAGCGTACACCTGGCTGAAAGATTCGAACATGATCGGTCAGAATGGGTTGTATGCAGATGGTTTCCACATCAGTGGTTGGAGCGAGCATAGCCCCGGCACCGGCAGATGCGATGTTTTGAACACGATGCTCTATACCTACAATCAAGGCATCATTCTCAGCGGATTGAGGGGCCTCTGGCTCGCCACTGGATCCGTGGCCTACTTGGATGATGGGCATGATCTCATCGCCAAAGTCATGAAGTCAACAGGCTGGCCCGACACGCATGGCCGTCAATGGCAAGGATTAGGGAGAGGAGGGGTCCTCGAGGATGCATGCGACAGTTTAGGCACCTGTAGCCAGGATAGCCAAACGTTCAAGGGCATCTTCTTCCTGCATTTTGCGGAGTTTTGTCGCCCGTTAAGGCCCCAGGAGAGACTTTTCCTTGAAAAGGTTGTCAACCACAACGTTGACGACGCTCACGACGGTGAAGGCTGGGAAGAAACCTTCAAATTACATCAAAAACGGTGTGCTTCTTATGGGAAGTGGCTCAAGCACAACGCCGATGCCGCATATATGACTCGAAACGAAGAGGGCAAGTTTGGAATGTGGTGGGGAAGGAAGTATCCTGATCAGGAGCCCAACCCTATAGAGACGTCTGTGCTGCCTCTCGGTGCGGTCGATTACCTCGACCTAAACAGCACAGAATCCGATTCTGATTTTCTGAGCCCGCGACGTCCGGGCCCTGATGTCCTTGGTAGTGACAAGATCCGAGACTTACTGAAGAGAAGCGAAGTCAACGAGCCTATGTCATCGATGGATACCAAGGCACATCAAGCGGACGTCCGCGATGTAAACGACCGTGGTCGCGGTCGGACAGTCGAGACACAAGCTGGCGCAATGGCGGTATTCCGAGCCTTGTACCAATGGGAAACCACACCCTCTCTATCCTTTCAAGGACATAACGCTTAAGGAGAGTGTTCATATCTTGTTGCTCACGATCAAGGAGTCTGAGAGAGGTGATTCTCTCTAGATCTAATCCTTCTATACTTTTATAACCGGGGTACTTGGAAATAGAGTTGGTTTCCTTTTCCTATTACATTATTGATATGCACCCTGCAAGCCGCACGCTATCCTAGAACACACTGCCGCCCATGGTCATGGCGCTATTCCTGTATATAGCCTTTAAAAAGTGCGTATGCTTTACCCCGGTGGATGCCGGCTGCTTCGTGCTTGGACTAGCGCATTCTTGAAAGTGCTGCGTGCATGTCCTTTCGTTCTCGTATATAGCCGTTAATGAATTACGAATCCATGAATAGAACTTACCTTGTTCTCTATTACTATTCACATCAAGGAGATGAGCCTTAATGAGGCAAGACAAGTCCTAAATACATACGTAGATTCGAGGCAGGCAGGCCAGGACCGTTATCAGGAGATGCGCTCCGGTAGGCACTCTTGAGTTGGCCGCATCCGAGTGTCCTGAACTTCCTCTAGCATGATATCTTTGTAAGCGATGAGATGAGCTTTGCTCTTCGTGGTCTGAAGGTAGTCGTGGTGTCCATTGGTCGGCATTCGGCAAATTTTCTTAGCCCCGGCAGGACGTCGACCAAAAGGGGGATTCCCCTTCTTCTTTCTGCACGTCACAACCTCCGACTGGGTTTCTGCGGTGGACTGTATCTGAGGACCTCGCTGGAGTTTTCCTCGTCTGAAGAACGGGGACGCAGCTGGTTTGGGGAGCGCAACATATCACAATCGTCAGTGCCATCTGGCTTGATCGTGATGTCAACTTGAAGTTATAATCATCTGTGAATTAATGCCGGCCGCATAGAGCAGCAGTATGATCTATGGTCTATAGTGTATTTTTATTACTATCCAGTATGATCGAAACATCCGATGGTACGCTCGTGATGTATGAGCTGTTCCAAGTCTCGAGATCTTTGAGAATGATATCACTGGATTCCCGAACAACGATCACTCACATTCAAGGCTACCCCATAGAACTTCTGTCAGCGTTCGATTAAAAGGTATGTGTAGAATGTTCCAATATTCTTGACATCAAAGTTAACGCAAATTTTGAAAATGACACCTTTTTAAAGCAGGTTCATGTGGCGTCTTTCCTATCAAGAGGCCCGATTTCCATTCTGCAGAGTCGCAAAATAATTATCTGTTACCCGAGCGTCATTCTCGCGGGTCGTACCCACTGTTCCCCAGTGTGGGACAATGTCACTCACTGCAGACCGTTAAGCAAGCCGCCGGCTATCATTCCCCGTCGAAAGCAATCGTGTTAGGCCAGTCTCACAGCCGCTATGAATAATTGGCGAAAATAGAGCCCATACGGAGGAGACTCGACGACAGGCCTAGCCAGGGGAGATGTTTTGTTCATGACTCGGTTATTCCAATACCATGCATATCTCTATTGCAGCTTGGTCTGACGAGTTGCGTTCCCCAGTCGTCATTGATTGGTCGATAATAATTTTCCAAAGCCAGATCGTAACAAGACCAGGTTATCTCGACTTGAGAAAAAGACCATCGGTTCCAGTCCCTCTTCAATCAGCTGGGGCACGATTCTTGGGCGTCAAAGGGGCCAATGCAATGGTTGTAAAATCGGTTTTAAGCCTGAAAAAAAAAAAAAAAAAAAGACGGAGAGATGATGCATGCAGCTGAAAAAGCAGCATCATGCAGTGGGCTCCACAGTTGGCGTACGTTCGTTTCGGGGCTGATCGACAAAAGAGACTTGTATCACGGGCTCTGAATGAGCAGAACAATGCACGGCGATTGCTTGACGATATTGGATGTACATAAGAAGTCCATACTTTGAGTTATTGTCGTCGTCGAACGAGTGTTTCTAGACTCGAAGAAGTGCCAGGTGACCCATAATGTCTGCAGACTTGAGCCCTGCACCGATGATAAACCATTCAGGTCGCACTGCTCACCGCTCCTATATTTGTCGAGGACAAGATGCAAGCCGACGTGTCCCTCCCCACGAACTCATCAATGACAGTTGGATGGATTTCTCCATTTCTTGATGATTAGTACCTGCCGGCCTTCTTTCGAAAAAACGGACCTGCACTGTGGATAGCTGCCAGCAGCTTTTAAACAAACCGTGAACGCCTGGGCGCTGTACGGGGGAACCGCGTGCGAAGCAGACATGCGTGACCTACGTGTGATCTAGGAAATGAATTCTGGAATACTCTATGAAGAGCCGAATGCCCGGGGACTGGTTCAGCACTCGTCCCAGGAAGTCTCAGGCGACCTTGCTACCAGCCTCACCGCCCAGCAATATCGTAAGGCCGCGACGAGTATGGCACTCATCTCCTGAAGGGAAAAGAAGAATCAATGAAGATGAAGAACCAGCGGAGTGCGACAACGGTTGTTTGATAAAATGTACTTCGTCAACGGAGGACGAAGGCTGGAGGTTCGGCATTCGCGGCCAGTCAATGAGCATTCCATCAACGTGGAACACATTGTGACCGGATATGTTGTATGAACGTCCGGACTTACGTACATATGCTTGGTCGAAGTCTGGGACATACATACATGCAGGCAAATGAGCAGTGTTGGAGGGTGTGATTTCCGTTTGGCCTTGCACGAACAATCGCTCGGCTTCCCCAGCAACCCATTGGTGGATTAAGAACGGGGCCGGGAAGGGAGTTCCAAGGCCAGCAATTGGGTGGACTAGTTTTGTCCGCCCATGCAAGTTAAAGATATCAAGAGGTCAAGTCGGAGTTACCCCGTCCAAAAGCAAGTGACAAGCCACAAAAGGAGAATGCCGTCGCCAGCGGGTGATTCTGTGCACTGCATTGCGCCCGTTTGATCCCACATATAAGAAGGGCGTCAGAAGCAGAGAAGCAAGTGTGCATCTCAGGGATTGACTATCGATCTGTGCTTGTCCTCTTCTTTCAGCAGCATAGTTAGTGACATCAATGCCTCCGCTGTCCGCCCACTGGAAAATGGTGACAATCCTGAAGCCCTCTTCCACAATGAGAGAGACGGAAGATCACCTGGAGAAGCAGTCCACAGGCCTAATTGTCCACGTGTTGCGTGGGAGCGGAGCCAATACGGGGGCTAGCGGGGCTTGGCACCAGTCCTGGCCGGGAGGAAGTGTTGCCGAGTGCCAGGAGCTGCTCCTTCTGGCTTAGAGCACGAATCGCGGCGGGCCGGCAACCTTTCTCCACGCACTTTTGGCTGGAATGCGCACACGGCGGTGGGTTCAAAACTAATATCAACTCGCACCAGAGCCAAGTTACCTCCAAGACTTCAACTTAACTTGGGGAGCTTAGAATTCACACAAGAAGACGCTGTCTTCCAATCACAGAGTAGTTTTCTTGCAAGGCTCCTTGCCAAAAACGGTCTGTTGGAGGGGGAAGAAAGGCGGCCGTTGCCGGTTCTGTCTGTATCCCAATCACGGTCTCCACCGATGATTCCATGATTGCCGGCAGCCCCCTGAGAATTTTCTTTCCAGAAACAAAGTTATATATAGCACTAATATCCTTTTCCTTTTTTTTTTTTTTCCAACGCGCTTAAGCGTTGAGGACAATGGAGAATTTGGTCAAGAGCCAGGTCGCAATACAGGTGCGTTGACTGGAGTCGCATCATCAAGAACGCGATGATACCTTGGCTTTGATTTACTTCTGTACGGAGTAGATACTTTACACCTCGTCTGGCAAAGCTGGTTTCGTGTCCAGCTTGACCGATGTTGGCACGACATCCTTGGCAAAGTCACTGCTCGTCGCTCGAGCCCTCCACACGATCAGTGATTGACAAGAATTGATCGGCAACTTGTTACATCAAGCGTCGCCGTGGAATCCGTCCGGATCAATTGGCTCCTTTTCCCTCCTCTTCCCTTGAGGCGACACGCTCCGCCGCATTTCAGAGTCCGCATCGTCGATCCCGCCTATCGTCGTGAATCGGACGTTTTCTTTTCGCGGAACAACCCCCCCCGCCCCCCTCCACACGGTTACCGTGTTTCTCGAAGAATCCTGGAAGTCGAATACATAGCAACTTAAAAAAAAGTCTTGCGCGGGCTATCACTTCCTGTCCCGTCTCAGGAAGAGGTTTTCCCCCACCGCCGCAGCTTCAGCTTTTTTTTTTTTTTTTTGCATGCTCTCGACATGGGAACAACCATTTTTCTCTTCCCGTTTTTATGTGTTTTGCCGTCCGTACAATGACAAAGTACGAATGTAACTTACCCTTTTGAACACCTCATTTTTGTGCGGCATGTGCCCGGAAAGTTACCGGCAAAAGCTTTTCCTCTATGATCTTCACACGCCAAAGGATCAGTTAAGCTTCGATTGCCAGGTTTGCCTCACTGCAAATCTCGTATAACCAATCCGAATCACCAAAATTTCACAATAATATCGTCGTGAGTTGACCAAAGCCAAGTTTCTCAAGTCGAGTCCACCCTCGCTCAGGGATAACCCCTTCGAAGCATCGCGAAGCTGTCCCAGCTGCACGGCTCGTGGACTTGGTCAAGCTTCGTTCGTGGCCAGCAGAAGTCATGGGCAACACTGCATATTTGTATACTGGTAGACTTAGCTGTGATTCGGCCGGTTATGGTCAGGGGAAACATTCCGGGTGCGTGACCACAAAGAAGATTTAAGTCCAATCTAATCTGGTAGGTTCGGATCGATACCCATCCCCACTATACATAACATCTCATGATGTCCTTGGGTTTCTGGATCATCGCTCAAATTCCCGAGGTCCACCACCGTCGTACACACGGCGAGTGTCCTCGGTCTGCGAGAGATATAAAATCATACAGATTTGAAATGTGAATAAAATGTATACGGAGTACAAAAGTACGGCGCACCTCATTCCTGGAAATCACATACGGAAAGCCGTGTGGTATGGACATCTGGGTGAAACAGCTTGCGTCTTCGACAGTGGATCTGCACAAGGATTCTGTCTTAACAAAGAAAATCCCCCCGACTTCCAGATCTGGAGGAGGAAAAATGGAAGGGAAAACGACCTGGCTAGTCGAGCTGACAGATTTTCGTGTTTTATTAAATTTGGTAAACGAGATAAGGGTCCTTTAGACCTGGTTTTGGCGCTGGATTCTGGTGGCATCCCTGTAAATCCTGGAGAAGATGACGGTATGAACTCCGTACAGAGAATGTATATGTAACATACAGTTGTGGCATTTTCGATGATATTTTGTTGTAAAGTTATTTGACAGTGGCCAGTCTCGAGGAGTGTACAGTACATCCACCTATACTCCGTTCTCTGCACACAATATCTGGTACGAAGTACGGATACGTAACTCACCTCAGATAATCCTGGGCGAAAGAGGGCTCCGGTGATCTAAGCGGGGCTCAGGCCCCAACTCTGCTCAGAGCCTTGTGTGCGTGTGTTGGAAGAGGACCAAGAGTTGACAGGATGGATGATGCGCGGTCCCCCTTTCGGAATGGGACGAAAATCGACTGATCCAAATTATTATCCTTTTTTTTTTTTTTTTTTTCCTTCTCGGAAAAGCATCGGCTCAGCATCTTGTCTGTAGAAACGCTCAGGGCTCGACAGTCAACGAGGTAAAGTATCCGGACTTTACCGGCCTCACACTATTAATCAATGTTCATGCTTGAAGGTATCCCAATGGGCCATGAGGCCCCGCGACACCATTGTCTTGCTGGACCACAATGTCAAATAGTCCGGGACAAAAAAAAGGAGAGAGATAGAGATAACAAGGTTTACGGTGGGCAGACCCAAGGTCATGGCTGGCGATATCCGATTAACGACACGCAAAAAAAAAAAAAAAAAAAGAAGGGGAATCCATGCAAAATCTGTCTCTGTCTCTGGGGAAAATGACACCAAACCAGTCATCACATGGATTGACAGCTGTCAGCTATCAGATCGATGTGTGACATTCTTTTTCTTTTTCTTTTTTTTTTTTTTTTTGGGCCTTACCAAAGGCATATTGGGCCGGAACGCTGTTCAAGAGACGTGCTTCAAGATGTCAAAGAGAGCGTGCGTGTGTAAGTGAGAGGACAGCGAGCAAACTTTCGCCGTCGATTGGCCTCGTGGTGGCTGCCCTTGGGGCTTCCCTTACGCTCCCCACTCTGTGCAGGCCCAATGATGCCATTCACACGGGTGTTTCCAGGGGTCCCCTTCCTGCTCGAATCTGCCCCATCGTCAAGAACGGATTTTTTTGTTTTTTAAAAGGAAAAAATTAAACTTAAAAAAAAAGACGCGCTTTGGAGCCACTGAGAGGCGGCGATACTACCCGATTCCACGCGAAAATAAAATCGAAAGAAAGTTCGGATGAGGCTAAAAGGTGCGATGTTCGGCTGGATGTACCCGCTGAGCGTCTTTTTTTCTTTTCTTTTTCTTTTCTTTTTCTTTTCGGCATGCTGTTGTCCAGCGTATGGATGGACGCATGCCCTGCCACGCCCATAGAGTTGACGTGACGACGACGACACTTTTCTTTTTTTTTTTTTCCCCCTTCTTCTGAGCTCACCCTTTTCTTTTTCTTTTTTCTTTTTTTGGTTTTGTTAATTTATTTTCTTTTATTATTCCTTTTTATGTCCTCTGTGCTTCGTACTCAGACTTTGTTATTCCGGCTAATTGATCCGGAAGCTGAGGAGATGAGAAGTGTACATATGTTGACACATGTATGTATTGCCCTGTACGGAGTCCAAACTCTGTACATGCTTAAGTTCCGTCCAGGATCCGGTACCGGGTTTCGCTGGGAAGCAAGTCAAAATACAGTTTTCGATAGTTTGAAACCACAAGCCATCCTGTCTCTCACCTTCTTTTTGCAGTTGTCTCTCTTTTTTTCTTATTTTTTTTTTTTTTTTTTTTAATTGCCTTTCTTATTGTTTATTTGGTCTTTTGGTCTTTTTTGAGGGAATCGGTGGCAGAAATATGTCCCATGTTTGTGGCGGGTCTATCTTCGTGAGCTGTGCATAGAAGCGTACACGCAGCCCAACGTGGAGAATAGAGTCCAATGATGGCTGATTCCGCGCCTCGTTGCTGTGGGTAGTCTCAGATAACATCACCCTCCCGTCCGGCTGCGAGAGGCCGTTGGGAACGCGGATTCTGCAACGCTACATTCGTGGACCTACATACAGTTAACTATGTGGTAGTGTGTGTATGTCGGGATCGCTGGGGGTCGCCGTCCCACCCTAGGTCTTTCTTTCTGTTTTTTCTCCCGCCCATCAACTTGTGCTATTATAGCAGCTCTCTTATCATGCCCTCCCCATATTATTCCATACTTGTTTCGGCGGTTCTGCAACCCCTCTTAGCTAAACCATAACCGGCAGCAGATCAAAACCCGGAGAACGGCGGCGCAAGCGTTCACTGGTCAGCTGTCTGACATTGACGCACGACATGGACAACCAGGAAGTTACTTTGATGAGAGAGAGTAAGAAAAGTCACACAAGAACCAAAAACATCCCAAAAAAAAAAAAAAAAAAAAAAAAAAAAAAGGGAAAGTCGGATATAGTTCAAGCTGCTCTCCAATCTGCAGGCACTCTGTAGTGAACACGAAAGCTCATCAGCCTTGTAAAAGAAGGGGAGAGGGGGGGGAGGTGTAAGAAAGAAAAGGTGGACTTGAGTCGCGGGGATTTTTGATTTGATGATTCGGCGGCGGTGAGGAACGGGAAGTGGGTTGGCGCACGCAGAGCACCACTGTGTGGATGGACACACGCGGCGCATAATTTGCGCTGTAAGACGACATTGTCGCAGAGTTGTTCGCATTGTAAATATCTGTCCCAAAAAAAATAAAAATAAAAATAAAAATAAAAAAAATAAAAATAAGAGAGAGGGGTGTATAACTCAACGTAGGCTGGCTCCTGTCTCACAGCTGGCTTGCAGATGTGTCGGAAGCACAGGTGGCGGCGGGTGGGCGAGTTGGAACTTTACCCAGCAGGCCCTCTGTTAGGCTATTGATTAGCACCACCGGCGGCCTCCACTTAACGCCCACGCACCCGCCGCTACAAGGACACCCGCCTGCCACTGCCACTGCCACTTGCCAGATGCTTTCCCGCCCCAGCGCCGTCGATATTAAACCTCTCTTATGGTGATCGTCTTTCTCTTCGCCGCCCTCACTCCCCTAGCCAAACCTCTCCTCTCCTTCCTCCATCCCTCGACCCATAATCCTGAACACTAAGAGCCCTGGACGAAAAATCACGCTACTGGCCCTCACCTACCCTCCCAGAGAAATGCGCCTCTTCTCGCTCGGCCTCTGCTGTCGTTCTTCTTCTTTTTCTTCCTCTCCTCGCACTCTCGCCAACTGACACCAACGCTGCATCTCTCGCTTCTCTCACTCACACTCACTCACACTCATCCCCGACATCCCCCCCTCCCCGCTGATAACCAATAACCCATTTCCAACCTCATCCTCTCTTACAAATCATTTCCTGACAGGTCTCATTTCTTCCTATTTCAACTATCCACTACTGTCTCTCGCTCTGATCTGTCCTGCCCCCTCTAACCCTCATCGACACCCCTCTGTCTCTTCCGGCTCCCTGTTCATCAGAAAAAAAGAGAGAGAAGAAAAAAAGAAAAATAAGATAAAAAAAAAAAAAAAGGAAGCAGTCGAGATTCAGACGTCCATCTCAAGGGGTTCCTACGTCAAGCGAGTTTTCCGCCGAGTATGGCAGCTGGAACGGAAGTCTTGAACCAAAGTGCCTCTCACCCCGTTCCCACAATGCCATCTCCCACCCTCAACACAGCAACTGCCGATGCGACCACCACCACAAATAACCTCAATGATAATTCCGTCCACACCTCCTCCTCCCTCTCTCCCTCGTCGTCCTGCTCCGACGGCGAAAACGAGCGGAAGACGAGAGCCGATCGCCCTCGCCTGGCGCGTAAACCAAGTGCCTCCATCCTCGTGCCCCGTGACCACCCCGAGATTGAAATTGAGGAGGAAGAATTTCCGCCAGATGATGCTCGTGCCATGAGTCCTCGCAGGAACTCCGCCGATGTTGAGAGACTGAGCAGAGAGGCGAGAGAGACTCTCAAACAGTGAGTGCCCGACTTCGAAGCCCCATCCTGGGTCTCTCTCTCACTCATAAGGCGTGACAAGCTGTCGGCTAACTCCTATTTTCACTTCTCTCCCTGCAATCTAGACAAGCAAAGACATTACAGTCCTCCTTACAGGCTTTGGCTGAACGTATCGATGAAGTCAAATCTGATCATGATCGCCTCGAGAGCGAAAACAGGTTTCTACAGGATTACATTGGAGGGCTGACGCGCACAATGTCGGCAAGGGCTGAGTTGACCTCCACGTCCGGTCACACAAAGGGGAGAAAGCATCACAAGTAGTACGCTTTTCGCACGCTGCAACAACTGGCAGGTGGACCACCTGTCGCACCTTTTCCAAGGTCGTGTTGTTTCCTTCGTACCACACACACCAAAACTTCCGGGGGAATGAAACGGCCATGGTGATAAGAGAACTTTGAAGCCAGGGTTGACCTTTTTTCTTTTTTCCTTTTTTTATTCCGTTTCTTTCTTCCCCTTTTCTGGGCCTTTTCTTTTATGACGTTATTACGCGTTATGACCTTCCGATCGCATTTAGCGAGCTCCTTTTTCAATTCTCTCTCAGCTTATACGCCACCCTAATCTCCTAATTTCATGAAGCCGTTGCGCTCGCGGATAAAAGCTTCTGTTTTTCTCCATCGGCCAGTCCTTGATGATACCCGAACGTTTCGATCGCCATCCGTTTCCGCCAGTGTATTTCTTCCAGTGGAGGCTCTGCGTTTTCGTCATTGGACCCGGTTGCCTGATGACCTTGCAATGGAAACACCATTATAGCCGGATTCACCCTATTTGAGCGAAAGATATCCAATCCGGTTCGGCATCAGCAACGATCTTCTCTCTCTATTTGTCCGACACGGAACCCTGTGTCATTCTTCGCCACTGCAGTCCCCATTCGAGTAGCAAACCAAGCAAGGACAGTCTGGGTTAATTTTTCTTCCCCCCGCCCGTCTTCTTGCCACATCCCCTTCCCCAACGACAAGGAAATTCGTGTTCCATGTGACGACGCAGCCTCCCGTCACCATCTCTCGGCGAATCACGGCGGAAAGCTTTATCTTCAGCCCACAATGATAGATGGCCATGTTTCCGCTTTCTGATCCTTGCATCCATTTCTACGTTTGTCATCGTTCCTATGCGGGAGTCGGGTGTCCTTTTTTTCCCCCTTTGTTTTCATAAGCAAACTCGGGTACGAATGTTGTCTTGCCGCGTAATTCCAATGGTATATCCCATGTGCTAAAAAAAAAAAAAATTCCATATTGGACAACTCCTTTTTTATCATATGACCGAAGGGGATTCATCATCCTTCACCCTAAAAAACTGCCAGCCGGAGGTGAAATAAGGTATGGCCTGTGTTCGGCAAATGGATTACACCGGGGTGTCTGTGTGCGTGTGAACTGGGATGGTGGCACTCTGTGCTTGGCTGTTGGGTCTCCATCCGTCTCCTCTCCTGGTTTGATTTGGCATGTTGGAAGCCAGCCAGCCGGCCAGCAAACCCCATCTTTTGTGAGTCATGTTCAGCCGCTTCGTCTGTACGCGCCCGGCTCCACTGGCCTCTGTGGATGGACCGCCAACGACATGCAGAACCTCTCGCGCTTCCACACGTGGGCTGCATTGCGTCTCTTTGTGTACCACTTGACATTTGTTTACTCTGCGCTGTGGTTTTTTTTTTTTTTTTGGTTTGCTTTCTATTTTTTGGTCTGCTTTCTATTTTTTTGGTCTACCAAGTCTTAGAGGTCCTTTTTCATGGGTAGCAAAGCCCGGTTTTGTTACTCGCCGTGTTTCGAAGCAGAGATTCGGGTCACTTTCTGGAATGAGCGGATGGAGTTGTTCCTCTTTTTTTTTTTCCTTCTTTTGTTTTGCCTTGTTTGGCATTTTTCCTTTTTTTTTTCTTTCTGAGTTTCGATGGCCCTTTTTTCCCCCCTTCTCCCTCCCCCGTTTATCTCTTCGCTTCTCACCCGGTGACAGCTGTTTGAAGATTATGATTTAGGGTTCCCCCCCTTTTCTTTTTAACCTACGTTCTACTAACAAAATTGCCATTTATCCTGCTTATATCTGTTGCAGCTTTTTTTATCTGCTTGATAACTCAGATATGTTCTTATAGCCGGTTTTCTTTTGGCTTACTTTTACCGCTGTGACCTTCCTGGCTGGCTGTTTTCTTTTTGCTCTGGCTGCGAGCTTTTGATATCGATTCTCAACAAAGTGCCTATTTTTAGCCAAAGGTATCTATTAGAAAGCAAGAGCGCAATGCATTATTATTTGATTAAAAATTAAATTAAAAAAAAAAAAAAAGGGAATTACCTGGTCCATCACTTTCAGCCCGCCGTTGTAAACGTACCTGTTTTTCTACAACCAGAGAATCCCGTCAGCTGATAGATGACATCTTTGGAGACTTCGGGCCTTGGTGGTTCCTGGGAGTCACTTTTTTTTTCTTTTTTCGCTTCGCTTTTTGTTTTGTTTGGCAACTCTTCCAAAACCCCCCGCCAGTCTTGATTGCTAGCTGGGTGGCGGCGGCGGCGAAAACGGCAAAGAGGACGAAGAGGAAAACCGTTACCGGGCCCATTCCATTCAGCCCTGATCGCAGCCGCGCCGCCATATAGTATTTTCGCTCCCCTCTCCCGGCGATGATGATATCCCAACGGCTACGTCATACCCCGACGGTCGTTCAACCATGGACCGGGAGTTATTGTTGCGCTAGATACTTCCTTGGGAACAACGGACGGCGAATTGGTCCAAGCGTTGTTGTACGGAGTAAAGGAGGGAGGGGATTAACGTACGTGGATTTTTCGGTTTGATCTTGCGAAAAAGTGGGCTGTTTTGAAATTCCTCGGAGGGGGATTTGCGTGGTTTGATGAACTCTTTTCTGTTTGCTTCCCTTTTTCTTTCTTTCCTTTTTTTTTTTTTTTTTTTGCTTGCTTTTGCTTTTCGGGGGGCGGGAGGCGGGATTTGTGAGCTATTGGGTTTGGGTATGGGACTACGCTACGGAGGGGATGGATAAGGGAATACGCATGGACATACGGGAGTACGGAGTAGTGTAGTTCGTGCTGCCAACGTTGATATCGGGGATGGGAGAAAACCCAAAAAAAAAAGAAAAAAGAAAAAGCAGCGTTAAGAACTACTTCCAGCTTTGCTTGAGAGATCGAGAATGTCTTGTAGAAGAGCCGTAACTAGAACAAAATCGTGACTAAGCGGAGACTAGACTTGGGGGAGGGAGTTTTTGAGGCGGCGGGCGACGATGCAAACAAACCCCAGATCCAACCCTCCTCTCAACCCAACCCCCCCCCAGCGGAGTACGCGCTCCGTAACCAGCACGGGAGCGAGTTGAATTGCAATCGTGTTGGGTTCTGATGTCATCCAACGGGGGGGTTGTTTTTGAAGCCATCCAATTGCCATACTTATCATAGCCAAGGAGTGACTGTGTGCCTGGGATGTTTCTGCAGCCCGCAGGGCTTTTTGTCCGATTTGACATCCAAACCCGCCGCACCTGTGCCGGCGGCAACAACAAAAACGGCCCTGGAAATCGGCCGATGACATGCAGGCAAATGGGACATATCCGCCAAACGCGGCTGTGTGATCTGATCCTGATCCCACGCAACCCCTGGCGAGGCTGAAACTTGCCTCTCTCGGCGCTGGGAATAAGTTGAAGAAAAAAAAAAAAAAAAAAAAGAGGAAAAGCCCACTGGGGGTGTGTTTTGGACTGCGTATCGCTGGGCTTGTTCAAACAGCTGCCCGTGATCTGATGACGGAGTACGGCTAGGAGTGATGTCATGGGCGGGCGGTTAGATGGCTGGTACGGAGTAGGGATTTTGCGTTTTTAATTCTCTCGCTCCTTATCGTCACTTCTCGTTTGTTCTCCTCGCCTGAGACACCCGATCGAATAACGTCCCCCTGGAGTGTCATGTGCCACTTCTGAATCCTTCTGCAAGTGGAGAGGCTTTTTTTTTTTTTTTTTTCTTCGAGGGGGAAAACTGGCGATGCTGAGTTATATTGGACCATATCATGACGTAGTTACATAGTTTTGGGGGGGGGGGGGTTGTTTGCCTGAAGAAAACCGCGGCGAGGCTGCACAAGACATCGCTCCAGCTGACGGACAGGGGATGGGGGGGTGGTGAAAGGAGCGAGAAAGAGAGAATGAGAGGAAGAAAGGGAAAATCCCATGCACAGCGGGTCCAACGAGGCAGGGAAAAGCGGGAGAACGACATCTATCCCACTGGCCAAATACGCAAAGACACAGAATCCATTCCATGCAGCGCTTAGGATTTGCTGGTTAAAAAGGTAGCCCTCAACACGCGTTCGTGCGCACACGGCATGGTCCCTGTCGCCATTAAAAGCTTGTATTATGCCTTAAAAGTGTCGCTGGCTAGGAACCAAAGCGGCTGCCCATAGCGCTGAAATGAGACCCCGTCGGATTCGGAGTAGTTAAGTTCATATTGTCTTGCTATGTAATTGATAGGCTCTCGGGTTCGATGGGCGTTCTTTCTTCTGGTCCGTTTAATTAATCGGTAGGGGGTCTGGCGTTCGAGGGTCTGTTAGTATCTACTAATCTTACGAAAATGCGGACGAAAAAGCTAACGACGGTTAATGGGGCTGTTGATGTTGGTATCACCTTTGCCAGGACTACATCCTCACGAGAGTTTATCCCCGCGATGCCTGCCCCAGGGAATAGGAATTCGAGGCGAAAGCTACTATCGCAGGTATGAGGAGTTCATTGGGTGGTAGACGCTGACTGGCGATGCAGGTAAGCATCAATATCCATTGTTCATCGAATAACTACATCCAAACACCAAAAAGAAAATCCTGGAGCAGCCAACATGGGGTAAAAGTATTACATATTCAACAAGCTTCTTTTTTGTTTTCGAGTATGAGCGTGAACTTGAGTTTCTACCACTGTTAAAAGCTAATTTTTGTCTCTTTTTGTAGACGCGTCTTAATGACAACCACCAAATATCCCGTCGGACTCCATCAGCTGCGAATAAACATCTCGAGCAAAAGACCGGGAAAAGCAAGGGAGTAAAACAGTTCAAGCAAACAAAGTGATAAACGGAACCAGTGCTCCCTGTATACCGTCCGATCTAGAAAAATCCCCTCCAACTTTACACTTTACTCGGCAGCCTTGGGCTCTTCGGCAGGGGCGCCCTCCTTGGGCTGCTCGGCGGGAGCAGGGGGTGCAGCAGCAGACTCAGGGGCCGGCTCAGCTTCAGAGGAAGTCCAGAGGGTCTTTTGATAGAAAAGAAGAGCACAAAATTAGCTTTCTTATGCGCATGAACGTCTGGGTCAAGTGTGGGCAGCTTACCAAGTTGTCTCTGAGGAGCTGCATGATGAGAGTGGAGTCCTTGTAGCTCTCCTCGCTCAAGGTGTCAAGTTCTGTAAGAAAGCGTTAGCCGGGGTTAGTTCTTAATCAAGACTCCAGAATATGAGACATAAATACGTACCAGCGATGGCGTCATCAAAAGCCTGCTTGGCGAGATGGCAAGCCTGGTCGGGAGAGTTGAGGATTTCATAGTAGAAGACGGAGAAGTTCAGGGCCAAACCCAAACGGATGGGGTGGGTTGGGGCCAAGTCAGTCTGGGCAACCTCGGTGGCATTCTTGTAGGCCTCGAGAGAGTTATCGGCAGACTTCTTGCGGCGGTCACCCAAAGCAAATTCGGCAAGATAACGGTGATAGTCACCCTTCCTGTAAGCAGTGACGTAGTTAGTCCGGGTTCAAATACCCAGGCGCATATCGTGGGCGACCGGGGGGGGGGGGGAAAACGCCTTACATCTTGTGATAGAAAACCTTGGATTCACCGCTTTGGGCAGATGGAATCAAATGCTTATCGAGAACGTCCAAGATATCTTCGCAAATCTCTGCCAACTCGGACTCAATCTTCTGGCGATATTCTTTAATGAGAGTCACTTGTGCCTCGTTTCCTTTTGACTCCTCTTTCTGCTCAATGGAAGTGACAATTCTCCAGGAAGCACGGCGGGCGCCAATGACGTTCTTGTAGGCGACAGATAGAAGATTGCGTTCCTCAACCGACAGTTCCTTATCCGCAGAAGCGACGACCTTCATATTTTGAACCATTTCTGTGGCACCATGTCAATGATTCTGGAAGAGCAGATCGCAGAGGACGCGGTGCCTGTACGGACCTTCGTAGCGCTCAGCCTGTTCGGCGAGCTTGGCGAGGTACACCGCATCTTCAATACCCATGATGAATCGAGATTACTAGGTCAGATGGAGTCAGTATATGAACGGGTTATACGCGTTTTGATGGGGGTGTTCAAGCGTGGACTGCGGCCGGTGCTGAAAGGAAGCAACTCAAGGAGGGGTAATTGAAGTAAAGGGGAAGTTCCGGGAGAAAAAAGAAAAAAAAAAAAAAAAAAAGGGAGGAAAACGCGACATTAAAAAATAAAATAAAAAATAGGTAGAATCACGAGGAACACGAAACACGCAGCAAGGATAAATGTGTAGGCGTTCAACAGAGGCTGAGGTGGTGGACGTGGTTTGATATGGGCGGGTTGCAGCGGGTGGTCGAGGGCGAAGCACCAAGGAGCAAGATGGAGCCTCGTCGCCATCGCACAGGGTGACGATGAGGTCAAATTTGGGGCAGACAAACAGAAGAGCCAGGAGGGAATGAATGCGACTCAGGCAGCAGAGGCGTTCATGGGCGGGGATTGTGCGTCAGGAACAGGGTGCAGGCAGGAGGCTTGTGAGAAAGGGTGACCCCGTTCGTGGGCAGCGCACATGTCGACAGGAAAGTGGCTTACCGAGAAAAAGAGCAAACGACCAAAGGCGAAGGCAAGCTGGGCTATGGTAAGGGAAGGGGGATCAAGAATCGCGGAATCAGCAAAGGAGACGGAGAGGGCGTTGGTTGATGATGGAGATGAAGAAGAAGAGCAATGGAAGATGGTGGAAGCAAGTGAGGTTTTGTTGGACGAGGTTGACTGGGAGTAATACGCCAAAGGGGAGGTGGAGATGTTTTGGGTGGCCGTCCGCTTTGGGCCTAGCGCCGTCTGCGTGTACAGTCAGCACCGGCCGCTTACATATGCAGCCCGTGGGCCGGCCAATCACACGCGCCGCAGGGTGGCTCGCAATGAGGTAATGCAGCCCAGCGCCCACTGCCAGGTTACGGAGCGACGCCCCTTGAACGCTCGTTAGGGTCGATGGGAGGGAGCTCGGGCAAGTTGGGGCCCTTGGGAACCACGACCCCGGGGCTTGCTGGCCCGGCCATGCGCAAGTGCATTCACCTTTTGGTTGAAGTGCCAACGCTGTGGAATGCTCAAGCCCGCCCCGGTGGAACCTGAAATAAAAAAAAAAAAGGAGTCCCGGGACGCCCTGAGATTATTGTAGTCAATCAAGAGCTTAACATTGGCTTGTTTGCCGCTTTATCTCCGGAATTGGGGGCCGTCTTTTCTCCTGCTTTGCTTCTAAGAGCGTCAAAACGTCTTATTTGGTTATAAATTCCCGGTTGACCCTCCGCTCCTTTTTTGAAACCCTCTCAGTATCAAAAAGAAGCCCTTTGCAGCGTGGCTCACGATTTTGCCACATGTATCCCTCAGCTCCTCGAACGGAGTAGGAGACCGTCGGGTGCACACTATTGACACCTGGCCATAAATAGTTCGGCGGCAATAATGACCACCCACCGTATCCACTGCATTGTAATATAGTTGTACTCTGTACGAAATTACAATATAAATCTCAACTCCTTAACAGGCATCTTGTGTTGAAAATATTGATGGCTCAGCAGGGGGGGATTTACGATATTCTCCGGACTTGACACTGACACCATAACCCCTGGCAGAGCAATCTCGAACACATATCAAGCTAGTCCAAGGGCCCCAACCAGTCACCGGCTGCTGAGATTTGATGATGTCGTCGTCCCAAATGGCCCGTCACATGACGTCGGCGGCAGAGGGGGGCGAATAGCCGCTAAGCCTATCTGGGCCTAGCTCCATTCGAAAGCCACCCAGCTGGCCAACTGAGCTGCACATCAAGGCGGGAAACGTCACTCCGGCCAGAGCCACTGCGAACTGCCCATAACTGCCTGCAATCCCCCCAACCCAAGCTCGAGGTAAGGAAGAGACCTCTGCTCTCATCTCAATTGTCCTCTACGTGGCCGTACATTTGTAACTAGACCACTACCTGATCCTTCGAGCTAACAATAACCCGTTGCAATCCGAATTCACAGTTGCCACCGCCCACATAATCACAACCATCTCACCTACACCCTCTTGACATTCAAAGCCATGCTCCGCCTCTCCATCGCCAGAGCCGCTCAAGCTAGCAGACTTCCTGCTTACAGATCCTTCTCCGTTGCTGCTGCCAGAATGGGCGAAGGTGATACCGGTGCTGTCCGCCCAGGCGGCGTCCAATCTGGGTTCGTACAGAAATCATAGAGAAGCCACTGAAAAAAAATTTAAAAAAAAATAAAACGCTGACAGTATTTGCAATTCCAACAGTGACGCCTGGACCAAGAAGGAATCCGCACAGGAGAATATGTTCATCAGGCAACAGGAGATTGAAAAGTACGTTTGCTCTCAAGAAAAGAAAGATGTCCCTGGGATGTTCTCATATCCCGCGAAGCCGGCTACTAGCATCATTATAAAGGAAGTAGAGTACTAACCAGCCTCTTCACAGGCTCCGTGCCCTCAAGGAGAAGTTGAAGCAGCAGCGCAAGCACCTTGACGAGCTTGATGCCCACATGTACGTTTCTCCTCCCCACTTTCTTAGAAGCTTGCTCCCCAGTTAAAGTTTGCATTATCTTACGAAATCCACTAACCGATTGCTTTTGTCCCAAATATACAGTGACGAGCTCACCAAGCAGCAAGGCGGTGAACATCACTAAGATAGACCATGCTCCATTTTTAGCGATGAGCCTCGAAATCGAGTTGGTATAAAACCTTGGTGGCTACTTTTCATGCATCTCCACTCTTAGCCATTGATGAATATTTGGTATAAAGCGTAACGCTAAGAAGAGACAAAGAAAAATTAGTTGCTTGGATTTTCCAGGGCGATGTGTATATAGCCTATGTGCATCTTGTCTAAATACAGCCAGAAGAGATATAAATCTAGCATCCTGTTTAGTAGCGGGTTTATGATGGCCTTTGGGCGAAGGTATACTCCGTAGATCGTGGACCCATGGGGATGCCGCTGCATTCTAGCAAAAGATATTTATCTGGATATCACATGCAATCCTTTTTACTTCCTTTTGTAACTTGTTTCTTTTTTGTTGATTTGACATATCTCTAGAAACCCATATGCAGATGGTCTAGGCTCATTTTTCACCTATATCATTAAAAAAAAAAAAAAAAAAAAAAAAAAAAATTTAATTCATAAAGCAGTTTAAAAAGAATTTCCATACCTAGTAACCACAATCTTGTTACAAACAATCCATCCATATTCCTTTGAGCACAAAATTTGGATATCAAGGAAAGGGGGGGGGGAAGAAGTGAAGAATGTGTGAGTGAGAGAAAGAATCCAATTGAAATTTCACCCAGAAGTTAAAAAGAAAAAAAAAAAAAGAAAAAGATTTACCGCCGGCCCATGTACGCTCGGTAAAAGTCCTCGGCAGCACTTCCACTTACGCTCCCAGGCGTTCCACTTCGATACCCACCATATTGGCTCTGGAGCCCATTGAATGAGCTGCCGGCCATCTGGGCAGTGTTTATTTTTGCACGCAGAGCTGCGGTTCCTTGGTCGATGAGCTGAAGTTGGGAGAGATGTGAATTGAGGATGCGAACGATTTGGGAGATCTACATGATGTGTTAGTATCATACGTTGATGTTATGGAAGAGATAAGGGTGGTAAAAGCTATGCTACGCACAGGTTCATCTGCCTTCGTGGTCTTGCTTAAATTTGCGGATGCAGAGTTGACCTCTTCGATCATACTGGTAAGGTCTTGACCCATGTCATTGAGACGCTCAGAGAGACGTTCGGCGAGTTTGTAGCTGTGGATAAGAAATTAGCACTGCAGCATACCTTTATTTCGCAATTAGGTAGCAACTTACGTCCTCTCACGCTCCTGATCTGGTCCCTGCAGTGTATCTCCAGCACCGACTTGCTTGGATAGCAATGCCTCAACCTCCTGCTCATATCTATCGAGCCAGGAGCTCAACTCGTCCTGCTGACCTTCAACAGCTGCCAACTGCCGTTCAACTTCCTGTGTAGCCCGGTCTGCATCGACTGTGCTTGCGTACAATTTTTGTGCTCTAGTGATGTTTTCTACCAACATGCGGTCCCAGTCCGCAACTTGTTCGGCTTGCTCTTGAAATTGCTTTTGATATTTCGCCAGATCTGTTGCCCAACGTGTGATGATTTCATCCATGGTCTTATTCTTTAGACGGGACTGTGCGGGGGGCGCAGGGCCGACTGTGGATGCGCCTAGAGTGGTAGCGCCTGCAGTGGTAGTAGCTGGAGCTGTAGTGGTTGGGGCACCAGTTGTGGGGGCAGAAGTTGCAGTTGTAGTGGCTGTAGTCGTAGCGCCGGAGGTGGTTGCAGGAGTTGTAGCGGTAGTTCCTAGTGTGGGTGCAGCCGATGTAGTTTCCGAAGGCTTAGTGAGTGAAAATAGAGAAGGGGGAGGTGCTTGTGTGATGGCTGTCTTCGACGCATCGGTTGGGGCAGAGGTTTTCGGGGTGCCGAGTGCGCCAAATAGTCCTCCGGTCGCGGGGGCCGTGGGAGTGGTAGTAGTGGTTGGTGTACCTGACGACGTAGTAGCGGATGGGAAACTAAAGGCTGGTGGTGCGGGTTTCTCCGCTGACGTTGCGGGAGTCGAGAACAAAGATCCGGTCGCCTGCGTGGTAGTGGTCGGTGTTGACGCGGGGCCAGCAAATAAATTTGGTTTCCCATCTCCTTTTACTGCTTGATTCGTCGCAGCTTGCTTATCACCACCAATGTTCCCAAAAAGCCCTCCCGAGCCGAATGCTGGAGTGGAATCACTCTTAGCGGCTCCGCCGAATAATCCTCCGCCGGCAGCGGCAGTTGGCTGTGTCGACGCTGTTGTTGTTGAAGGCGTGGCAGATTTGGCGCCAAAGAGAGTAGATGCTCCGGCGGCGCTTTGAGGAGCTTGGCCGAAGGCAGGCTGTCCGGTAGAAGTGGGAGGTGGACCGGCCGGAGTGGTCGATAGACTCCCAAACAATCCTCCACTCGCGGGAGCAGGAGTGGCGCTACCTAACATTGAAGGGGCAGAGCTCTGTTTGCCAACCTCTCCAAACAGGTTTCCACCTTGTTGCTGCCCAGACTCGGCAGGCTTGTTGGGGGTGGCTCCAAAAATAGGAGCTGACGGCTGTTTCTGATCCGCTGGTTTTAATGAGAAGGCCGGGGAGCTCGACGAGCCCTGTCCAAAGAGAGAGCTAGGTTGAGTAGTAGCAGCTCCTCCAAACATGGGTGGTTGGGCTGGCCCAGTCGTCAAAGCTGAACCAATGTGGCCAAAAATCCCACTTGCTCCAGAAGAACCGGAAGCGTTTTGGCCGAAGGGAGAAGTGCTGGGAGCGGTCGACTCGCCGCTGGTCGTCGCGGGTTTACCGAACTGGAATGGATTCGACATTGTTCTCGGGAGGCACGCGTCTGCGTAGCAGTTTGAGTAGTCTGTTGAGCAAGTGTCACCAGCGAGAGAGAGACTGTAGTTAAGCACGTACCTTCGCGCACTGGGGATGGATAAATAATGAAAACAACAGCTGGCTAGCTAAAACTGCAAAACATTCATAGCTGAAGGAGAGGCTCAGGGTGTAGAAAGAAGGCGGTTGCACGATGGTGTGATAGACTCGAGTGACTGGCTCGGCTGCGGGCACGGCGGTCTGCGCAGGTCAAGATGGTCTCTCTGGCGCTGTCGAGCTGCAGTCCAGTCCTTCGTTTGTTCAGGCGTTCTTCGAAGAGCGACGAAGTGAAGATGTAATTTTGATACGCAGCGTTACCGGTAGCGGTGCGGATTGTGGGCGGTAAGATTGCGCTGCCCTGTACTGCCCGTACCTGCGGTCTAGATCGCTCTCCGCAACGGCAGCCGCAACTTGGAAATGCCAGAAAACAGCCGTTTCGCTCCTCTTATCCTGTCCTTGGTTCTTCTTCTTGGTCTTGTTCATTCTTATTCTGTTCTCCTCTCGTCTAGGATGGCATGTTTCCCGCGTTCCACCCTCCGGTGATTTGCAGAATTTTCTGTCTGACTGTCTACCCCGTCTCCTGACCCTTTCGACGTCCATAGCTATAAACCCCCCCCCCTTTCTCCGTCACCGGACGGCTCTCACCACCACCGATGACAGAACCCACCACGTCCCGCCTTCCAAGTGTCCTGCTGGAACCTCCTCCAAAGGGTGTGGAGTTGGAGGACCCCGGAGCCCAGGAATCCGGTAAGTCTCCCACGGATTGGCATATCTACTGTTGCTCATTTCCTCCGTCCTTAGCTGTCGAAAGTGATGATGAACATTTCTCCGATGCATCCGAAGGCCGGAACAACACTGGACTTCCACGACTTGACATTCCTCAGCCTCAAGAGGTGAAAAGCCTTTGCGTGAACGTGCCCCTTAGCCCTGGCGGCACTCCCATACCACTCACTGTCGTCGAGAAGGTGGATCCAGACGACACAAGATACGGCGACGGACCCGGGACTCCGGCATATAAAGCTCGAAAAACGGATGCAGTTCTCGATCTGGTTTATAAAATGGGTGAATGGAACCCCGAACTATCCGATAACGCTTCACAAACCCCGTCACAGAGTCCTTCTACCTCTCCTCCTGAGACAAAGCTGTCCCGTGTGGATTCTCCACCGGAAAGGATATCCTCGCCATCATCGTTTTCTGCCCATAAACAGAGGCCAAGTGATGCACTTCCCGATGTCGTGGAAGATGTGCAAGATATCGATGGTAAGCCAGCCTGTTTTTCATATCCTCCTGCCAGACTTGAGAAGGACGATTGACAAAACCAGGTTCAACCGCTTTGCCCGGAGGTAGAGCCTCTTCACAAGAACTAGACCAGAATTCTAGCCCGATAGCCGGTGGATTTGGGAATGGTCTTGCTTATGATGAAGAAGATGCACCACTTGGGGAGGACTTCGACGATTTTAAAGAGGGCGATGACGACGCGGAACACGATGACTTTGGTGATTTCGATAATGAGTTTCAGGAAGCACCTTCAGATGCTGCTATCGACATCGAGCATACAGAGGCCGGCTTTACGCCAATGGAGACCTCTCCTACGTCGGCTGTGAGTGGCCTTATTTATACTGTCCATATCTGCCCTGAATGCCTCCCGTGGTCATAAATCTTAAAGCACTGCCGCTGACATATTTAGATGCAGCCTGCTCTTTTAGACCTTAGCTCTATTGACTCGCTATCGAATCTCCTGGAAGTTACGTCGGATCACCTTGATGCTCTCTTCCCCAAATCGGCAAGCCTCTTCACACTACCTCCAGTTGACCCTATCCCCGATTCTTCCGCAATATTCAGCACAGAACGCTCCTTATCACTTTGGTCACAACTAGTCGCTCCACCACCACTCCAACCTCCAAATTGGACGAGATCCCGCATCCGTCGCCTCTTCCTTGTCTCCCTTGGTGTACCCGTTGACCTCGACGAAATCCTACCCGCATCCAAACAAAAGAAGTTAGTCCTTCCCTCAATTACAATCGACGAAACTACCCGCAACTCCCACGATGCATCCAGGCGACTACGAAGCAACCCCAAGAAATCACATGAGGGCAGTGATCGAACAGCCCGCTCATCCACATCTACCGACACTAGGCGCTCTGGATCGCGCAACCGTCCCTCGCGTCGTCGCCGTGGGCAGCCGTCGGCACCGGAATTGGATCTATCCGCCGTGCGACGATTATGTGCAACCACAGATGCCGCGCTGGACGGGTTCACGGACGAGGAGATGCAGCAGCATATTAAGATCCTCGAAGAAATGACGGTCCGGGCGAGTGGGGTGCTGGAATACTGGTTGAAGAAGAGAGATGGTCAGGTCGGCGAGAAGGAGGCGTATAACGGCGTTATCGAAAATCTGGTGAAACACGCGAGACAGGTGAGAAGTTGAGATTTGGGAGCGCAGAAATGGAGCAACGAAGATGGAGAAAGAATGCTCATCTAATCATGCGGTTCGCTCATTTCGGATTTAACATGTATAAAATCCCCTCCTAATCAAATATGAGCGGAGGAAGGCTGGATCCTTCCTTTTGATCCTTATCTTCAGCCCTTATATCGTTCGATATGTACTCTTTAATCTATACTACAGTACCATTATTTTCTGATTCCTTATTTCTGGATTTTATAGTCGTCTGGCAATAATATTTCTCATCTGAGAGTAATGTTTTATGCCCCGACTTTCGTATGTACGTCCATGCATCGCGGTGTCGCCTGTCAAGATTGCACCGAGTATCATTTCAAGCACCGCTAGGTGCCGGCTTGACTCGGGAAGACAGGCACAGAGCGCATGCGTATTGAAGAAAAGCATCATTACAAAAGCACATGCAGCAAAGTCAGCAAAAGAAGCGCAAAACAGATTTCAAAATAGCCGAGGGCACCGGTGTCTAGCTTTTCCTGCCACAAACACGCTTATACCCATTTTTATGACGCATCCAACCCAAATGAATTAAGAAGGAATAAGGCAGAAAGGAACGTGACTCTAAGAAAAAAAAATCTTTTCACGGTGATGCGGTTTTAGAGCAAGATGAGCCCAATGCGTCTCAAACTGGGAAAACAAGATACGCAACGCTGTAGGATCTTGGGGTATCATAAGTTTGAGAACAATCATACAAGCAAATCGGATATTTAATCGATTTCGATAATCTCCGGTGCTGGCCTTTTCATTGACGTTTGGGGGTTCCTAAATTCAGGGGCGGCGATCCCAGGAATGCTGGTCTCCTTCTTGTGTGTTACCGGCGATTGCTGGTCTGATTCGGTTTTCGGAATCCAAGTACCATCCAGCTTGACCAGAATGGCCTTTACTTCATCAAGCTGATTTTTCTGAACCAGCTGAGAACGGATGTCAAGAAGGAATTCATCTATTAGCAATGACTGAGGCCGTGCATCTTTGCGGCATATTGGACACTTCCAATTTTCCGCCATACTGTGTCCAGTACCTGTAGGACGAGTGGCGAGGAAAGTGTCAAGATCGAAGCATTCCCAGTGCGAACAGAGCTTGCCACGAACAGGAATTTCAAAAATACGGCCCATAAAAGGGTCAACCAAATCAATTGCAATATAATCGTCAACAATAACAACTTCATCGTCATTGGCAATCGCATCTTGAAGCTTTCTGATGATACGGTTGAGAGCGGTGGCTTTCGGGAGAACCTCAATAGCGTTTCGTAACGAACCACGCTCCTTGGTTTCAAGGACCTCTATAGCAGCAGCGTAGGAAATCGAGGTGCATTCCTCCGGTTTGCGCAAAATTGTTAGAGCGATCTTGTTATCACCCGGTCTCAGAGAGCAGGAGATGTTAACAGGCAAATCCTTGCCATTGTGGAACTTGCGACAGACAAAGTGCTCCGTGTCATTAACATGAATGTATATCGCGTTGGGCCAGCAACAGTCCATCGACGCCCACTCTCCACCGGATACCCCCTCTGCGGCTGATTTAATCCTGACACATTTCAGCTGGTAAGAACGGGTTCCCGACGTATGAAATTCCACAGGAGAGCCTTGTTCCGGTGACGATTTTCGGACCGGAAGTCTCTGAAAATCTTCTGCGGTTAATTTTATGTTGCCGGAGAAATTAATCCTTCGACTTCCAAGGCGGAAAGGAGGAAGGGCAAAAGAGTGGACGTAGGTCAAGAGAAGTTTCGAAGGATCAGCACTTTGATTGTCGACTAACTCCCGGGTATTCACCCTCAAGTGCATCTGGTGTAGCCCGACTAAGTAAGGATGTGGATTTGATAACTCTGCTGTGATAGCTCCTTGGGGAGGAAGCAACGGTGTGGGCCTCACAGGAGGCGGGTTGGGGAAAGAGCGCGAATGCGTGGTGACGGGGACACGCTGAGGAGCTTGAACCACAATAGGCATATTCAGAGCTACCGGCATGGGAGAGCTTGATAGGACAAACTGCGGGGAGGCAGAACTAAGTCCGTGGGAATACTGTGTCACATTTGCGGGTTGGGGAACTGTCAAACTCTGGAGTGCCAGAGCTGGCTGAGCCCCTACCCTGAAACTGCCTTGCCTGATGCCGCTGATTGTACACTGGCATTGGTTCGAATGTCCATGTTGAGGCGCGATTTGGGGTACATGCTGTAGGTGCTGTTCCACCGCCACTCCAGCATTAGCCCTTATGGAGCCACTGGGTGGATGCTGGATCTGAGGTTGGGCTGGAATCGTATGCCCGGGCGCAACACGGGTTGAATGCTGTCTGGGTCCGATTGTACGCTTTTGTTGAAAGGCAGCATTGGGAATATGTTGGAACCGTACTCCATTATGCGGGTGCACAGTGTAAGAATATCGAAGGTTCTGACCTTGCGGTATTCGCATCTCGGCTTGCTGTGGAGTCTGAGGCTGGGTGGAAGGGATAGTTTGACGGTGTTGATAGGATGTTTGAGGGAACTGAGCCTGTGTAGGGAGCGCCGCACTCTGGAAGTGGACATTTGCAGGGGTTGAAGTAGTGGAAATGGACGTAAGATTCGTAGTTTCTGAAGCACCAGCTCCGGCGGGCTTCTCGAGGAGCGAGGAAGCCTTTTGATACTCGCGCACAATACCCTCGTTTTCCTTATGAGCCTGCTGCGCTGGTACAGGCTTCCCAGCCAGTGAATTGGCAAGCCGTGCATCATAATAAGCTCTGTCCTGTCTAAAAATAGTTTCAACCCTGCGCGACCATTCTGTAACACGATTTGAGCTTATGAGCTTACAGCATTTAATGAATAGCGAGTGCTGAATAAGGGTCGATGGTACTCCGAATTTGGACACAAGCTCATCAATGAGCGGAGGATATCGGCGCTGAACAATAGTATTCACAAAAGCTGACCAGCCCTTTGCCAAGAGGGGGAGGCAGTAGAAAACTGACTCTATTGATTGCATGTATGCTCGGCTGTTATGCATGAGCTCCAGGAAGGCTCTAGGAAACTTGCAGCATAAGGTCAAGAAAGGAGTAAAATATCGACCCTGTGCAAACCAGTCATCTTTAATTGATAACAATCCAGCAAGTTGATCCGGTCCAAAGCCTGGAAGACCATGAAGAAAGTCTGGGGACACAAGATGGAGGCAAAGTATTTGGTGAAGAGCAAGGAAGAAAAGGTCATGTGTGTTGCAAGCCTGTTGTAGTGTTTCCACGCGGCCACGCTCATGAGGTGTGGCTTTAGATTTCAAAAACTCTATGTTGCGAGAGATACCCTGATCGACATAACCTGTTATCAGATGGGACTCTGGTCCCGCTCGTACCGAGAAAACTGGACGGTCCTCCACAGACTGACTATGAACTGGAGGCTGATTGGCAGGCACCCGGATGCCTGATTGGGTGAATTCTGCGGGCTGGACAGGGGCTGTTGCGTTGGACGAAATGGTCTCACCGGTCCGCATGCGCTTATTCCCGTGGGATACGTGACCTAGAGATGGACTTTGGGTCGTGGCTGTAGCAGGCACGCAATTGATGAAATTATGTGGATCGTTATTGGGCGTGCTACGGTGCAAATTGGTCGAGTCTGGTCGGGGATTTGCTGACTTGTCATTGGTGACATTGGACTCCAGGAGAGAATCATTGATTGTGGCTCCAGTTCCAGGTTTATTTCGCGGAGGAGCTGGCGAAGGAGCTGTCTGGAAATCACGCGGAGTAGGAAGTCCGGAGTACTCTGGGGACCGCGACACAATCACGACCGAGGAATGCGACGCAGCCGTAGCTTCGGGACGCAACGGCATTTGAGTTGAAGAGTAAGTCGGGGGCTGTGGTTCTGTTGCGGGGACGGGTAATAACAGCTCCCCATCGGGAGGGGATCGTGGCGATAGCAGCTGGGCTAGATCAGAATTCGTTCCCTCAGCACCTTTATCGTTGGATCTTTTGGGAGATTTTGATATTACGGGACTCAGAGGAGTCTGGGAGGTGTGATTTGGAGCTGTTGCAGAAGGACCTTGCATCCAAGACCTCTGGTGGCCACCGAGGAACGTGCTGGCTGTTGCATTTGCAAGTGACATCGACACATCGGTGGACTGAGATCCCGTCGGACAGTTGCCTGGTGGACGGCGCGTAACCTTTGATCTTCTCAGCAATGATTGGTCTGACATTTTTGATCTTGGTTCGAGTGATCATGAGTTCATAGTATTGTGCAAGGGACAGTGGACACGGGTGTAGAAAACACCAGCAGCCTAGTCGTGTAATTCAGGTGGTGTTAGCGAAATCTCTTTCTTATGGAGAACAGGGCTGACCAGGGTATAAGTAGGTAGATGTGCTGGAGGGGCCAGGTAAACTCTACTTTTCAGAAAAGCGAATGTGAGGAGGCGAAGTGAAGATGGAATTCATAGCAACACGCTCAATTCACAAACTGCTTATTTACCTGATGTGGGTGCGAGAGTGAAGTGATAGCATTGAAGTTGAGCAACTTTGTGTGTTGGAGCTTTTGCTGTGCATCTCATCAAAGAAGGGGATCTTTTCTCCCCTTTTCAGAGGCACAGGTGGTCAGCAACCTGACTGCTTTGGTCTCAGGCTTTCCCCTCCCTCCTCCATTGAGGCTGGTGGGATTGCAGCACCAGGATTCATTCTGGAGCAAGCGAGCAGGCTCTCAACTGTTCCTCTCGCAATCTGATATGTCACTGCGGCGGTTGGCCTTGGCGCGTGAGCTGCCATACTAGCGGGTGGCTCAGTTATAGACAGCCGCCTTCCATTGGCCAATTCCAAATACCGCTAGCGTGGCGCCCGCAACTGTCACGCGCTAGTACCGTCCAGTGGGGTAAATTTCACCGCACTAAAATGGTCTATATTACGTAAGCTGATCTTCTGCCGCAAGTTTGTATTATATAAGCCGACCATCGAACGCCGACGTCTTGTCGTCCCACGTTGCTCTGGCTGGCGGTTCCGTTGTTTAAAAATTCGAAATTCGTGGGCCATCTGTCCCTCCTCCT